CAGATTTCGTCATAATGGGACGTCTCGACTTCATTCTACAACATCATTCCAGTACCCTGAATAAATATCGACATTACCGAACGAGATTATGCATGACGATGACGTCAACTTGGGTACTTCATTCCGAGTATGACCTTCACCGTGGATTAACGGATAGTGTGTCTCTCGGGAGAGTGGGAGATCTATTCCCAGTCGTGTCACACTATATGACGTTAAATGATGGTACTTGTTGTTGCCATGACTGGAGGTCAGTATTAAAAGGACCCCCCCAAAAAAACCAAAAATAATAAAAAATAAAAATAAAACAACTGGGTGACTGAGGAGCTTTGAATAAAAGACGTTGTTATCACTTTATTTTATCAGTATTGTACTTCCCAACTTCTAAAATGCCAGTCGAAACATTTTAGTTGCTTTGAGTAGGTATCAATGTTAAAACTCTGAAAGTCCGGAATATTTCGGACAGCTAGATGCGCACACACGCACACCTGAGTACTAGTGAACTAATCTTGAGAAACCGCATTCACCTCACCCCTTATAGAACCTAGATTGTATCCAGGATCTAGACACGGCAAAGTACCCCACAATATTTGTTGTAAACGCCATTACATCTCGTTACGAATATATCATGAATACACACCTTTACGTTTTGAGACCTTGCGAACTGAAACACTCACACACGCACACACGACTCACACACTTGTGCAGGACCTAGAAACAAGGAAATAAATTAGTTATTGTGTTAACAATATATCAAAAATGAAATCTTACTCGTTTGTAATCTTTACGTTTTTCAAGATTCAAGATTCAAGATTCTTTATTCAATATCAAAGGCTTCCAGTCCAGAGGTGTATATATATATAGTGTATGTCTAATCTTAAGACATTGCGAACTGAAACAAGAATGAAATAATTGTCCACATATTTTAATATGATGTAAGTAGTTTAACACCACATTATAGCTGTTGGACGCTGCCGGTGGATAATTGAGTGTGACAAGACAATACAATGATTTATACTGTGGACAAAGACCCACACCCTCCTTTGAAGACAGCACCCATTCGCTAAGCCAGACTACTAGATCTACCCGTGAAGAGCCGGGTTACAATTCAGCAACCCATGCTTGTCGTAAGAGGCGACTAACGGGATCGGGTGGTCGGGCTCGCTGACTTGGTTGACATATGTCATATTATCCCAATTGCGTAGATCGATGCTCATGCTGTTGATCACTGGATTGTCTGGTCCAGATTTGATTATTTACAGACCGCTGCCATATAGCTGGAATACTGCTGAGTGCAGCGTTAAACAACCAACCATCAAACCACTAGATCCTTATAAGTTCTGGAGACCAAGTCCAACCAACCTGGAATCCCTCCTGGGTTACATATGTAACATAGGTAATTTGCCCTTAATGAATTTGACATTTATGTTCAGGAGACTGTCAGCTTTAAATAAGACCACATTATTATTTTCTCTCCCCCAACACCACGACGACATCAGCTCCACTGCTATCAGCAACGTCGGTTTCTACGACGACATTATAAGCAGACTGAGGATGTACTAACTGCATGAATGAGCTATTCATAGTCATTATATCCATTGACCCATGCTTCCATCTACGTAACAAGGACCATTTTCAGGACAGGTATATATAGATATCTATACATATACATTCATTAATTATGTAAAAGGTGATAACTATAAATAACATATTCTTTTTGAGATTGACAGAAGTTGATTTTGGGTGTTAATATCATCTGAGATAAAAATACCGCGATACAACAACTACAATGTATTGATACGATTACCTAACAAAAGCAAAATAGATCTATAATCAGTGGTTGGGTAGTGTACCCGTTGTCCATGGCAATCAGACACAATAATCCCGGAAGCAGGCTAGACACACACGACGACACAAACACAGTATTAATATCGTCTAGACTGTGAAATAAATGTACATTATGTTTGTCTGTAGGAAGAGAGGGGAGGTAGGTTGAGGAACATGTATGTTCCTACCACTAGAAATAATGATGTTTGGAACCACTGGAATATAGGTTTGTAGAAATATCAGACATGGTCAAATGATCGGAAAGGTATATTTTCTTGCTTTCTTACACTTACATACATTTTGGATTTATTGTCGCTATGCAGCTCTGAAATCACACCCACGCGACGTAAGATTTTAACTCGCTTATTTGGGGTGAGGTGAAATTGGGTTTAACGTCGTGCTTGAGAATATTTCGCTCATATGACGACGTGCATGCGTGTGTATGTGTAGCTGCTTGTACTAGCCCAGACTGAAGCTGGTTTTATAGTGCTAGCCCACTGAGATACCATGCCGCAGTGAAGCATGAATACCCCACTCAGACACATTATACTGACTCCGAGCCGACCAGTCCTTGTTGTACCCATTTATGCCGAGCGCCAGGCAGGGACCAACAAGTAACATATGTTAACTTCTTTTGGTATGATGCGGTCGGGGATCGAACCCGCGACCTTCCGCTCTCCGGGCGGACGCTCTAACCACTACACCACGGAGGCGGTCTCACTTATTTGGACCACATACATGATCAATACAGTAATATAACCCATTCAAATGACCACTAATATCATACCTCGATATAACCGCAGTTGTAATCGTGAAGTTGTAAAATATTTCGTTGTAAGCGTGTTCTAGATATACTACCCATCAAAAGTTTAGACTCACCTAAAGCACTCACTATATGTTATGTATATATATATGATTACATCGAAGTTGAATTTCTCCACTAATTTGAGCGAATCAACTGCAAACTGTATGCAGATGAATTGCACGAGGATCATATATCAAATTGCTGAAAAGCATGTGCAAATATCGTGCATGTCAACAGCTGCGGTTTGGTGTAAAGTTTTGTTAAGAATTCTCCAATTTTCACTGAGTTTCATCATTTATTGAACTCATGACAATAATCTTTTCAACGTTACGACTTTGTTTTACAATACATCAGTTCACGTGTAAACAGTTCCTTTAAACAGTATGGAATATTTTGCAAAATCTAGTTTAGAACAGTTGACTGAAGTAAGTGGCTAAATTTACACTAGTGATGGGTAGTACACATAGCTGTAATGAAAACGGGTGAAATGAGTGAAACTTCGATGTATGAGCAACATAGAGACCCAAGACAAATGTTATACCTTGTGTCTGTTCTTACATCAGGACAATCAACTTGGGTCAAAAAACCTGATTCCTGGAAGCCTCCACAATTAGTCATACGTAAACATTTAGTGCTGTTAGTACCACAAATCCCTTGCTCCTTATGGGTGAGGGAAGGGCTTTCCTGCTTTTATTTATTGTCGAATTGATCAACATAATTCTCATTCATTGTATAATTGATGCCTATTGTGGGCTGGACATGACCCTGTCCTCTATAAAGGTTTGTTCATAATGTGTCAGAAGGTGTCCAGTTAGCAATGACCTCTAAGATGACAATGTATGTCTTCAGCTACTGGAATGTCTGTTGAAACAGTGATATAAATGAATTTATATATAAGAAAGAAAGAAATAACAGACCGGATATTTCCCATCGAAAACCGGATTTAAACTGGCTTTAGTTCCATTTCACTCAATCACTTCACAATGATATCAAGACCTTACTGTGTAACTTGCATGTTGGTGATATCTTGAAGGTCTCAGCCATATTTTGCTGCCTGCCATAAACGCTTTTGGTACTTGACTGGTGTTACACGCCCTTCATTTTCTAACAATATGGTTAAATCTATTTCATCAGAGAAACCAAAGATACTGCAGAATTAATCTAAACGTTATTTTATTCTTTTACAGAAATCATGAAAAGGCCATCATTGCTGACGCTTCCTGTGACGATGACCTTGAACCATGACGTCACCGGGGGTAATCCCTGCCGTAGTTCAAAGAAGTATCACTATGGGCATCAACGATTGTCGCTTCAGATCAAAGTTTAGTTCTGGTAACTCTTTCTGAAACCGTTGGCTTTGCACCGACTGGCCTGAAATGACATGCAGCAAACATGCGTTTTAACTGAAACCGAAATCAAGAACATACATTCATCCAATGAGGGGTTAAGGAACTCAGGACTTTCAAAGAGCTCATGTCGTCCCATCTACAGTTTCTGTTTGACCTTGCCCAAGACCAAAGGTCATGCTTCCACAGATCTCAGTTGACCTCCATCAAAAATAAGAGTCAGCTTCCTCCAAATCTCGGACACCAGCTCACCATCCGTTGAAACCACTGACCGTAATCATCCTCACAGACCAGACACTCACACATGCATGGCCGACACCTGATTCTGGTCCGGTGCTGACCAAAGACAGATCTGCCTCACTGGTTTAGTTTAGTCTGTCCTTTTAGTGAAGAAGCCTTGCTTTCTTGTTCAGAAGCGTGTAGTCCACATGTCGCATAGTCAGGAGTCCAACTCTACTTCTTTTTCTATCCTTTGCTAAACATCAGTACAGAACAGAACTAGGGCAATGACGTTAGGTCAAGGGGTAGGCTAACAATTCTTGTTTCTTGTTTGTTTCCAAACTGTTTGGTTAGATAGAAGTCTATTAAAGCAAAAGTCCCTTACAGCCGTCAAATACGGCTAGTTTTCTTGCGGCATCGGAAGCCCAAGGTATGGCGTAGCGTCTGCTAAAAGTTGGAATCTGATACAAAAACGGAATTAGACTTAAAAGGTACATGGTATGGTGTGTTGTACGAATTAAAGAAAGTTTATTAAGTTAATCCACTATTATATTGGTGTATTTTTGTATATGCCTTACAGAGTAGAGAAACGATTGTCCCTATTTTTCATACAAGCGCTTGAGTTATTATTTTAGATCGAATGGTGGAACAGTTTCTTTGTCGTTTTTTTACGTCCCCTTCCAGCGTTGTTGTCGACGTGTATGCTGCACGGTCGGTATTCACTTCAAATTAATTTAGAAACTAACTAACAATGACGGGCCCTTGAGTAGATGAGCACCTTCCCTGACCCCATCCCCGTTTGTTGTGATCCCTTAATATGTTAGGGGGAGGTGGGGTAGCCTAGTGGTTAATGCATTCATTCGTCACGCCGAAGACCTGGGTTCGATTCTCTACGTGGGTACAATGTGTGAAGCCCATTTCTGGTGTCCCCCGCCGTGTTATTGCAGGTATGTTGCTAAAAGCGTCGTACTACTAAACTCACTCATTAGTATATTAAAAAAAGGTGATGTTGAATGAAGCGTCTTCATTAATAAAAATATAAACGATATTCATTACAGCCGTCAATTCACCCCAAATAGTATTTATTATCTTATTATATACTCATGCCAATAATGGTTGTCACCCCCTTCAATTTTTTTAATTGGAGAGGGGCTGTGAGGTGTGTGTGGGGTTGGGGTGGGGAAGGGGTGACAACCATTATTGGCATGAGTATATTATAGGTATTGTATTTCTCTAAATAAATAATATAAACAATCACACTCATCACTCTCTCTTAAAAGGGAATTTCTAGTTTTAAATCTTTCGCGGTAAAACACGTATTCATTGATTTTGTTGAAAACTGAAATAGATGAAACATAAGACAACCGTTATAAAAACATGTTATCCATCAATCGAGAATGACGTGTCATGAGGCAGCTATAGGAATTTACAATACACATGTTTTCAAGAATAATGACAGCAGAAGAATTGTATATATAAATATATTTTCAGTTACCGATACAGTAATCAACAATCTATTCATATCGTGTGGGTCCTTATAATAACACTTAGTTTGTGCTTTTAAAACAACAATGGTCTTCTTCTTTGCACTTCAAATCTTAATTGATAAACATATTTTTCAAATGATTTCACCTCAGCAATTGTTTATTGTAGCCTTCGTCTTGGCACCTCAAATTGTAAACGAAAAACATATTTTTCAAATGATTTCGCAACAGCAGTTCTTTATTGTAGAATATTTGGCACCTCAAATTTTAAATGATAAACATATTTTTCAAATTATTTCACCAAAGCAGTTGTTTGTTGTGTGTTGGTTACATATGTTTGGTACTGTGTTGGTTACATATGTTTGGTCAGCTCTCCTGCGTATATCGTTATGTAGAGATGGATAGCTACCATGATCGGGTAGCAATAGTATTGTAGTTGACAGAGTAACGTTATCAGATACTGACGTCGATGTTTGTTCAAAACACCTTCATCAGATTCTAGCCTAATTATCAGATAATGACATCATTACCAAACTGTGAGGTCGTAATGAGGTAACAGTTCTGTTACCATTGTCAAAAACTGAATTCGTAATAACAAAAATAATATAACTGTTTTCACATAATTGTAGAATATATAAATTTGATGTCAGGCAATGATATTAGGCAATAACATCAATATAAACTTTCCGGTAGCATTATCAGGAACGGAAATTGTTGTTGCATATTTCTAGCTTCTTTCAGACTCTCAGACCGTTATCAAAGAGTGACATTGTTAAGGTCCATATTGGACCCTTTTCTGGTACTTGGTCCAATATTGGACACATTTCCGTGTTCTGGTGGATCTTACTGTGGTATGTTCATTCACGTCAACGTGAATAAAAATGTAGTTTTTTTTCCATACGTAAAATTATCATTAGCTTTAACATGTGACATACAACTCTTAAGTAGAACAGGGTGTTAAGGGTTCAAGTAGTAAATAAGCAAACATTATTATTTACATCATTATTATTCTAAAATACATATATGATACTGAGGTCGTTATCAGATACTGGTATTGAAATAGTAAATAAGGACAATGTTTTTTACATCATTATTACATAATTCTAAAATAAACATAAGATACTGATGTTGATGTTACGTAACAGGATAAGGATTAACTAATAAATAAGGAAACCAGACATGATATTTGTTTGTCGTGTCCTGATACAATAACGGAAGTGACGTCACGTACGTGTATATGACGTGGAATTGTTCTGTAACGATTCGAGTCGGTTTATGGTAGCTAAGCAATCTGCCATGTATCTGATTCCTGCATGCTCATATATCCCATAATTGTCTGTATAATTCATAATATACAGTATTTAATTAATGAACGAAGGAATGGACAAAGATGGCCAAGTCGTGTTAGGCCCCGCAATTCGCTATACAGAGTTGTTTCCCCTGGCACTCCAGGAACCTATGACCGTGGGATTCAGGTTCAATTATGTTTTATGTTTTCAGCTCCGTATCCGTTCTACTGAAATGGTAAACTTGTCCTCCCACATTAAGCTGCCACATCTTGCTTTAACTGCTATACCGAGGCGTCTAATTTAAGTCACTCACTCACTCATGTATGGGTAACAGGGTCAAAATTGCTTTGAGTACTGTTAGAGGCTTTGACCGATTGAGCGAGTGAGAGAGTTTACAGCGTAACGAGCAGGGCAATTTTTCGGTCCAATAACGACAGCCCGCCTCTGAATATTGTCAAACCGTATAATTAACGTGTGTAAGCTATTCCATGTATATGTATATATAGGTGGTACATGCTGCTCACTGACATGTACCGAAGTGTATATATAAGTGTAATGTATTTTCGCCTATACGTGTACATTGTCTTGAGGTCGCTTCTACGCACAGAATCTTAATATTAGAACAAAGCAATATGTATCACAAGTACTTATCTCACTAGTTCACAAGTGGTTGTACATACGGAGATATTTTACTTTTCTATTGCTATTTTGTAACATACTGCTGTATATATCGGCGGTGTTCGTTTTGTTTGGCTTGTCAGATGTGAATAAATAGCCTTGTTATTGCCATTTGTGCGGTTTTGTTATGATGTAAACATTTGGATTTTTCTTTCGGATTACGAGAGGGCCGGTTGGGTAGCCCCGTGGTTAAAGCGTTGGCTCGCCACGCCGAAGACCCTGGTTTGATTCCTCACATGGGTACAATGTGTCAAGCCCATTTCTGGTGTTCCCCGCCGTCATACTGCTGGAATATTGCTAAAAGCGGCGTAAAACCATACCCTTCCCTTGATTACGAGATTTACGAGCGTCAAATTTTTTGGGGTGAAATGCTTTTTGTTATGTATTTAGATATCATTTGCTATACAATCAAACAGCGTTGTGTCGAAGTTGAAGGGACCTGCGTAAATGCTTCGAGTTATCCGAGGTTCGGCACAACCGCAAGATGATGACTAAAGAAGGAATACAAGCCAAGCTTTTAGCTCGAGACAACCGTGAGCTCGACTCATCAAAGGTAGATACAGCGGTATTTCACTATATAAGTAAATTATGAAAATGACTGAAATTACAAGCTATTTAATTCTAGTGAGTGAGTTTAGGTTTGGGCCGCACTCAGCTATATGGCGGCGGTTTGTAAATAATCGAGTCTGGGCCAGACAATCCAGTGATCAACAGCATGAGCATCGATCTACGCAAATGGAATACGATGTGTAAACCAAGTCAGCGAGCCTGACCACCAGATCCCGTTCGTCGCGTCTTACGACAAGCATGGGTTACTGAAGATCAACTCTAACCCGGATCTTCACGGATCTGTGGCAGAGGCGGATCCAGGAATTTTCAAAGGCGGGGTTCAGGGGTATCGAACCACTGAACCCCACCTCGGCTCCGCCAATGCAAAACATTAGCCTCAATGTGGTCTTAAGTCATCTTCAAAAAGGGTGGTGGTGTGTGTGTGTGTGTGTGTGTGTGCTTTCGAACCCTCTGAGCCCCCCCCTCTCTGGATCCGCCATTGTGTGGCGTTCAAACAATATAAGTAGTGACAAATAAAGATGAGACATGTCCATATTTCACTCGTGCCTACGTCACTGATGTTTTAATTCTGACAAGAATAATCATCTACATCTACATCTACAAAATATGCTATACATGTATTTATAACGTAATTAACAATGAAATACTGTAATCTCTGGGAGAACATACAGTCGATATCTCACTGCAGTGAAATAACTTTATGCCAGAAAAGAAAGGCCAGATAAACCCTGGTAACCTGAATTTCGAAATGCATTTTCCAGTCGAGAAAAATGGCACTTCCAGGCAAAACAGTCTGATTCACTGGCACAATGGATATCTTCACTCATGAACATACCGATTTTGTCCGATAAATCATCGATGAGAGAGAATCATGATGAAAAACCGGTTTAAGATGGGGAGATACAGCTCATTATATAATCCGGTACAGACATCATATACATCCGGTACAGACATCATATACTTCCAAGACATACACCCATCCGGTATACAAGACATCCTTGACATTCGGTTCAGACCATTGCATTTCATACTGACATCCGATATAACCTGTACATCAGACACAGATATCCTATATATTCCCTATATCCAGCACAGACACTCAATACAAGCAGTACAGTCATCTGGCCACAATACATTTTCCATGCTACTAGAAAACATTGGATGGACTACAACAATACAATCCACGATATATCTTTTGGCCACAATACTTTCAGACCAGATGGCAACTACATTACATCCAATGCTCTATGACAATTCTTCCGTTCTACAACAACGCATCTTAAACGCCAAAACACTCAAGTAACACGTCAACCCACACGTCAGAATTTTATACATATTCAACGTACTATAGCAATAAGTGGCAGGTGGCAGGTTGGTCAGCATGCAACAGGAGAACAGCCTATGACCGATATTAATTATGGCGGACTGACATGTAATTGTATATAACAGGTAAATAATTGAGTCTGAGTCCAGGGGTCAACACGTGACCTACCCATATCCGGTCGACCTCAAGCCACCACTGCAACGCAGGACAGGTTCATACGGGTTCGTCACTTCTGTGATGGAAACCACGGCCACCTCTACAGCTGCAACGATACCAGGATTGCGTAGGATTGCAGACCAGACAGTGAAGAACCGTCTACGCGCCGGAGGTATTCGCACGAGACGAACAGTTTGAGGCGTCATTCTGACAGATCAGAATCAGCGACGTCAGTGGTGTCAAGGACACAGAGAATGGCAACAGCAGCGATAAAGACGTGTTTGGTTTTGTGAGGAAGCACGTATTTTGCTTCTCCGCACAGACGGTAGGTGTCGCGTTTACAAACTCCGTGGGGAACGTTATGCTCGAAACTGCATACAGAATATGGACAGGTTTGGTAAGAGAGTGTAATGATGTGGGTCGCCATCTCCCATACCGGTAGAACAGACTTAGTACACGTCCAGGGTGAGTCAACGGCACAACATCTCACCGATGAAATTCTTCGGCCACACGCCCTTCCCATTATGCAATAAGCAACAACGCCCGATCGCACGCGGCAAGACTGGGCCTTTTGAAGAACTAGAACATCCAAATACTGCCATGGCTATCAAGGTCTCCAGATCTGAAACCCATTGAACATTATGGGATTCTCTTGCTCAACGCCCGCGATAACATCAGCAGCAGTCGCGGAACCTCCAACAGCTGGTAAAGCACTGCAGGAAGAATGGTGAACATTCCCAATGCCACAATTCGTAATATGAATGGTTTCAAAGGGTGGTGATGTCGCAGTTCTGAACCTTGGGCCATAAGGTATTGATGACATTGACATTCGAACGTTTCATGTGTACCATACTGAACCTCGGTCAGTACAATGACCAAAATGAGTCAAATTTGAACAATTGAACAATTTGTTTATTATCTGTATAATAGATAAAATAAACATCTGAACACCAGTTTTGGGTTTCTTATCTTTGAAGAGTATATATCTCGAATTGACTATAATGGAATAAACTGCCCTGTTCACTTTCATGGCAAAGAGAAGAAATATAATTCTTGACTCATTCAGTACATCAATGACTTTTCAGTGGTGTGTTGGCATGGGGTGTTCACATCATACACCAACCCGGCGGAAGTGGATCTGATACCTTCTCGACTACTGAATTGCGACACAAGCCATTATAGCGTAATCATTTCCATTAAATCATGTACGCAAAATCATTGGAATGATTCTTGATAAGGGAGTGTAATTTGTTTCAATAGTGGTATGATAGTGCCAATGCATAGGTTTGTCGTTTTTTGAGTCACTTAAAATTTGTTGTACCTGAAACCTAGAATTTAAATTATGGTTATTTGGTAGACGTTAAGATGGAAATGGTTGTCGACCAACAAAGAAACTATTGCTTCCATGAGCCTTAAATGGAACACGTATTCGAACACATTTTCTAACAGAAGTATCTGCTTCAATCTACAACATCTAATCTAACAACACCTCATCTTCTACTATGTAGGAACTATCATTGTCCATCAACATTTATCACCTACCAACAATAACTGTTCTCTTCTTCTTCTTCTTCAGCATAGCATCCACTTCCAACGACAATACGTCTCTTTCCTTAAACATTATATCACTTCTTATCGAAATAATGCCATCTGCCAACATCAATACATCATTTTCCATAACAAAATATCATCTACGAACTTCACTTCTTCATCTTCCATAAACATGTTGTCATGAACAACAATACATCTTCTTCCATCAACAGAATATCCATTAGCGTGTTAGTAGCGTTCGACCAACACTAAGGGCTTTGTTTCCGCTCGATTCTTAAAAAAAGTGTCTTTGAAATTGACTGTAGTACTCTCTTTGCATCGAACACTCTCCACCCTCTGTATGAGATAGAGTGTATCTTCTTTTATCTAGAAAATGCATGTATCATCTACTGACTACAATACATCGTCTCCCATCAGCGGTTTATCTACTTTTATCAAGATAATATCATCTACCAACTACCATACACCATCTTCCATCAACAGTTTATCTTCTTTTATCAAGATAATATCATCTACCAACTACAATACACCATCTTCCATCAACTGTTTATCTTCTGTTATCAAAATAATATCATCTACCGTCTACAATACACCATCTTCCATCAACGGTTTATCTTCTTTTATCAAGATAATATAATCTACCGACTACAACACATCGTCTTCCATCAACAATTTATCTTCTTTTATCAAGATAAAATAATGTACCAACTACAATACACCATCTTCCATCAACAGTTTATCTTCTTTTATCAAGATAAAATCATGTACCAGCTACAATACACCATCTCCCATCAACAGTTTATCTTCTTTTATCAAGATAAAGGCATGTACCAGCTACCATACACCATCTTCCATCAACAGTTTATCCAAGCTACCATACACCATCTTCCATCAACAGTTTATCTTCTTTTATCAAGATAAAATCATGTACCAGCTACAATACACATCTTCCATCAGTTTATCTTCATCAAATAATAGTCTTATACACCATCTCCCATCAACAGTTTATCTTCTTTTATCAAGATAATATCATCTACCAGTCTTCCATCTATCTACAAGAATATCATCCATCTACACCATCTCCCATCAACAGTTTATCTTCTTTTGATCAAGATAATACCACCTACCATCGTCTTCCATCAACAGTCTTCGTTTTACAAGAATATATCATCAAAACACCATCTTCCATCAACAGTTTATCTTCTTTTATCAAGATAATATCACCTACCAGCTACAATACACCATCTTCCATCAACAGTTTATCTTCTTTTATCAAGAATATATCATCTACCAAATACAATCCATCGTCTTCTATCAAAAGTTTATCTTATTTTGATCAAGATAATACCATCTACCAGCTACAATACACCATCTTCCATCAACAGTTTATCTTCTTTTATCACGATAATACCATCTACCAGCTACAATACACCATCTTCTATCAACAGTTTATCTTCTTTTATCAAGATAATACCATCTACCAGCTACCATACACCATCTTCCATCAACAGTTTATCTTCTTTTATCAAGATAGTATCATCTACCAATACAATACACCATCTTCTATCAACAGTTTATCTTCTGTTATCAAGATAATATCATCTACCAACTACAATACAGTTTGTACCATCAACAGTTTATCTTCTGTTATCAAGATAATATCATCTACCAAACAACAATACAGTTTGTACCATCAACAGTTTATCTTCTGTTATCAAGATGATATCATCTACCAAACAACAATACATTTTGTACCATCAACAGTTTATCTTCTTCGATCAGCGTGTTAGTGTTAGTCGCGTGTTAGCCGTTAAAAGTATGTTCGATTCGTAAACATATAGTATCTTACGAAAATGACTGTAGGACTCGCTTTACATCGGAGACACTCCACCATCTGCACGAGATAGAGAACTGCGTCATTCACAATGTAGACCTCTGAGAATTGAATTACACAGAGGTGTATAACATTAAATTGTCTTTTTGACGATGAAAATACACTTTGAGTATTAAACATGTTTGCAAAAATAACAAAGCTAAATTTTGTCTTTGTTCTCCTGTTTAAACAGCACATTTGCCACGTTTTGTGGTACTTTGGTAAAAGTACAGTGTGAAGTACTGACTGACTAACGCAAAACTAACCACACAAATATAATTTTAAAGGGATCTGTATACTAATGTATAACTTTATCAGTTCCATATCAAAAAAGGTTTGCCACACATGAAGAATAGATGTTGTGACATTAGTGGTGTTCCGATGATCGATTATAATCGATCGGTTACCCATTTCCGATATGATAATCGATTGCAAAATTCATAATCGATTGTCGCTAATAATTCTTACGAAAACAGTACTGAATACCCAACTCAGACCACAAGACAACTGGCAGTTACCGATAATCATAACTTCTATCCGCTATATTCACAGAAATCACAATCATATTGTGTCTACTCACGCCCCAAAATGAAGTGTAGTTGACAGAAAATGGATGCGCATATATATTTTGTTTTGCAAAATGACATATTTATTGCAGCTGGAGATCACAACAAACTGGCATGTGTATTTGGTGTTCGGAAAAAAGTCCTTGGAAAAAAAGTACCAGTAAAAAAGTACTAAATTTGCCTAGGAAAAAAAGCCCTCCGGAAAAAAGTCCTATTTAACAAATGTTAAGAAAAAAAAATAGATATTCGGGGTTTTTAATACTTTATTCACATACAACAATGTAAATTGACAAATATACATTTGCAGAACTTTTTAATGTTTTAATATTTTATTCACATAAGCACTTTCACAAACAATAATGTAAATTGATAAAAAAATGCATCTGCACTGATACATTTGCACTTTCACAAACAACAATGTAAATTGATAAATAATTGCATCTGCACTGATACATTTGCAGGACTTTTTAATTTTCTAATACTTTATTCACATGGGCACTTTCACATTGCACTGTAAATTGACAATTGACAATTCTCAAGACTTTCCTGACATTTACTGAGTTTTATGCAGTCTAATATTGGTGGCCACACCATGGAGAAACTCTGGGATTGATGTTGTTGTTAACACTCATTATTCTCTGATTCAAGCAAAAAATTCAAGCTAAATCCTGGATTAGATCTGCCCAGTTAAAATATCATTATTCTTGGTTAACTCAGTATTTAATCCAGGTCTTTTATACACAATCACTTTATGTTTTCTCTACAATAACTTTGATGTCAACATCCATTTAATTTGTTTTCACAATAATAGGACTTTTTTTCCGGTACTTTTTGACCGAGGACTTTTTTCCCTATAATCGTGTATTTCACCTCATTCCATGCGCGTACAACTTCAGCTTACCATGTTCGTGAGGGTCCATGTAACCTTAGTATTTTGATTATACATATTTTACATTTATAGAGCAAAACCTGTAAGTAAAATTACACAATGCTAGGACATATTTCTCTTGGTAAAGTAATAGTTTTAGATAGAGAGATATTCACTTTAGATAGATAGATATTCAGTTTAGATGTTCACTGCGTCTGAATTCATCCTGTTATATCATTGGGTCTGTTTTAACTAGATCGCCAGGAAGTGTGTGCACAGCTTATTGCTAATTTCCGGCTTTACATACGAGACAAGTACACACGGTAATCTTAATCCCTGCATACAATACAATGCCTAGCAAAACAAATTAGAACTGAAAAGGTAAATAATATTGTCTAGTGATGTTTAATTGCAAATTTGACGTCTTTACTGGCAAAGTCATCTTCTCTTGTCTGTTTGTTCATGCAAAGTGATGCGATGTCGTTTTCTTACCCCCTGAACAACATTTGACGATCCCCTTCTACAGACTGCTATTTTTGGTCCTCAAAATTCGGCTTATCTACGGTAATATACGGTACATTAGTGTAAAAAGTGGGTCAAATATTTGAAAAAATTGTGAGGATTTGTTGTGATTGTGGAGAATCTGTAAAAGAGTGAATTGAACAGTCATCTTTTCTATACTACCCATCAAAGGTTTAGACTCACTAGTGTAACTGTAGCCACTTTACTTCAGTCAACTGTTCTAAACTAGATTTTGTAAAATATTCCATACTGTTTAGAGGTGCTGTTTACACCTCTAAATGATGTATTGTAAAACAAATTCGTAACATTGAAAAGATTATTGTCATGAGTTCAATAAATGATGAACCTCAGTGAAAATTGGTGAATTCTTAACAAAACTTTACACCGAAACGCAGCTGTTCACATGCATGATATTTGCAGATGCCTTTCAGCAATTTGATGCATGATTCTCATGCAATATATCTGCATAAGGTTTGCAGTTGCTTCGCCCAAGTTAGGGGAGAAATTCATCTTCGATGTAACCATATATATATAGCATATAGTGAGTGTTTTAAGTGAGTCTAAACTTTTGATGGGTAGTATATATCTTGGTAGCCTGTCAATATCTATTTTTGCATACATTGTTTGTTGATCAATGTAGACTTGGGTTGTTTGTGATTTTGTACAATCGTGCCTCAAATGACAATTAAAACTTATGAAAAATATTATATTCAGGAGTTTTTAGGTTCTTGTAGATGCACCCTCAAGTCACGTTTTTCACAGAAATCAACCACAAAAGCTGATATATTTCATTTAATGCTCACACTATCACATAATTAAAAAGAATGACAAATATACCGCTTTGCAGTATTGTAGCAGAGTTCAAATGTTTACCTGGGAATTGCACAAGTTGTAAAAAATATTTAATTCTTAATCAGTGTAACCTATTATACAATCAATCATTGATCGGATGGGACAATCCGATAGCAACCGATAATCGATTATGAAATTTCAACCGATTCCCACCACTATGTGACATTAAAGATGTCGATAAGTACTTATAGAAAATGGGGCACTGCCTGCTTTGCAGTATATTTTTGCATTGTTTGTTCTCGAAAAACAAGCCTGTTATAACAAAATATTGATATTGAAACTGTAAACGTTTAGGGGATAAGGAAATAATGGCAATTGTTCTACAGTTAAAAAGGAAACAATAGCGAAATGGATGACTACAGCTAATACGTAACTGACTCATTAGATTCACCATGACTGTAATTTGACTAATGTTGCAATATTATTAAGGACTACTATCCTTACATTAAAATGTAATGAATTACTGAAATGTCGACATCTGTTTGCTTGACGTCATAGTTTGGTTTTAGTCTTTGGCGTCATCAGAGAAAAAAAACATTGCTATATTGATTCAATATATAAACTTTTCAGACACAACCTACTATGACAGAGTTTTTCATGTACATAATGGCTTGAACAGATTGTTATAGATAGGTTGGTCGTACACCTGTCTGGCGTCGATGTTTTATAAATCAAAAGCTCAAAAGAATATTACAAAATATCTATTTCAAATATTGGGCACATAGTATTCATTAATATTAGGTTGATTGTCCTGTCTTATTTCTTGTGGGGGTTGGGGGTGGGGTAATTTATATATATTATTTGTGTACAGATATTTTCTATAAAAATGTGATCCATTTTGTTAAAGTACTACATTATCTATTAAAAGAAGAGGTTTTGTATACGACACGAAACCTCCCCAAATAAATAGATCCTATGCTTTTAATGTTCAAACATGCATGAGCTTATCAAAGGGTTCATATATCGTGTAGCCAATACGATATGATATTTAACATATATAAATGTCCATAGTCATATTCATTGTGTGGAAGTATATGCATAATACACAAGTGTGTGCATCAGGACAAACCGATAATCTGTGCGTGTATACAAACGTCACCTTTACATCACAAACTGCGTATATGTTGATGTTCAGAGGACTTTCCTTGATTCAGGGACTGTAGACAGATAGATTTGTCATGGGCGTAATCAGTAACGATCTGACAATATTATAACTTTTCCGTTGTAACAAAGATTTGCAGTGAATTTGTAGCACTGTTGGCACTGACCCGTGAAGGTCCAGGTTAGAATGAGCCTTCAGTAACCCATGCTTGTCGTAAGAGGCGACTAACGGGATCGGGTGGTCAGGCTCGCCGACTTGGTTGACACATGTCATCGGTTCCCAATTGCGCAGATCGATGCTCATGCTGTTGATCACCGGATTGTCTGGTCCAGACTCGATTATTTACAGACCGCCGCCATATAGTTGGAAGATTGCTGAATGCGGCGTAAAACTAAACTCACTCACTCACTGTTGGCGTTATTGTTGAATTTATTAAATCCTTGAATTGTATTTTTTTAGTCCCCATCAGTATTCTAAGAATATGTGCAATTGTTCACCACGATTCCACCAGCTGATCTCTAACAACAGGAGATAATAATTCACATTGTAAAATTTGAATTTCGTTATGTTTACATTTGAAATAAGTACGGTTTACCGATAACAGCTTTTTGCTTTTACACTTGTTAAATTCCTCTTGCTTTAACAGTATTTTTGTTAAAAACAATTTGTCATTTAATGCTGAAATGTATGAACAATTCTGAGGAATGTGTATCGTGAAAAATATGTAATGCGAGAAACGCTATCATTCGTCTGCGTAATTGTTACAAATATTCTAAACGATTCTACTCATGTTAGTGACATTTCCAAATGAGTATTGGTAGTTAAAAAGTCTTAATAAAATTCCTTACAGCGAAAGGTCAATTGCTGGGTCCAACGTACCACCAAATAATTATCTGAAGGATTAACTATCATCTTTAACACAAGCAAATAAACGTCTTTCTTGATGCTCAAATTAAGGTACATGTATTTGTAGGCACGTGGAATTTATACTACGTCGATTCTCAAGAGATCACAAAGTTTGCGATTTTATAAAACACATTGATGTCAAACTATGTCATTTTGTTTTAACTAAATACTGTGACCATAGGTATGGTTGCAGCTGTCTCTAAAGGATGAGGACAATGTGACAAACGTAGAAGGTCATCTTTGAAAATATCATGTGAGATGCTGTTCTTCCTCATAGAGAACATGAGCGGTGAGGTCGCCCAGTGTTAAAGCGTTCACTCGTCACGTCGAAGACCGGGTTCGATTCCCCACATGGGCACAATGTGTGAAGCCCATTCCTGGTGTCCCCCGCCGTAATATTGCTGGAATATTGCTAAAATCGGCGTAAAACTAAACTCACTCACTCATGGAAAACACCTATAGAGTATAAGAAAAAAAGAACATTTAGGAAAGAAGTAGGCATCCCACGGAGCCAATTATGCTTTAAAGTTGCTGAACCGTTTCTTTATGCACTCGGATTGAAATTTCTGTCGGAAACGAACCAAGGAAATTCGGCCAAGAAGTTTTACTTAGGCTTCAGGTTGATCTGATATCGTTCAATAATGTGTCAAATAGTCAATTTCCTTCCACTTATTTACCGACCTTACAAATAAATAAATCCCGTCTGATTCGTAGCCAGCATGTCTTATGAATATTGTAAGGATTTAGTTGCTATTGTTTTCATAATCAAATGTATATAATCTGGGACTTTTATGGAGGTGAAAATATCACTTATATATTTGTATGCCAGGATGCCTGTTTGTTTGTTTGTTTTACGCCGCACTCAGCAATATTCCAGCTATATGGCGACGGTCTGTAAATATTCGAATCTGGACCAGACAATCCAGTGATCAACATGATGAGCCGATCAACACAATTGGGATACGATGTGCCAACCAAGTCAGCGAGCCTGACCACCCGATCCCGTTAGTCGCCTCTTATGACAAGCATGGGTTACTGAAGACCAATATTCTAACCCGGATACTAAGATGTTTGTACTAGTCCGGAATTTGCAGGTTTTTTATGGAGCTATCTCGCCAAGCTATGGTGATAATACACCGTAGGTATAACATGAATAAACTAGTCCGACCCAATATACTGACTCCGAGACAACCAGTCCCAGTTTATACCCGAAATGCAGTGGATCAGACAGGTTAACAAGTACTACCTCTAAAGGGGCTTTTGTTTGACGTGACAATGGGATCTAACCACCGACCTACCGATTCGGGCAGACACTCTGTCCACTAGACTAAGGAGGCGATCGTGATTTTCAGGAACAAGTGATATTTAAAAAATGCCTTGCCACTTAATTGGAAAGAAAATATATTTGTCAACACTAAATCTCAATTTGAAAAATATAGCTGTTTTAACTATTAAAATAACTGAATGTTTTAACAAAATAGCAGTTCACGCCCTCATGCTGTCCCACGATTAGGGATGATCACCTCTACACTACTTTGTCACTTGGCAATATGACTGTCATGAACAAAGTAGTCTTGGCAAATATAATAAAAAACAAATTGGCAAATACTTTGCAACAATAATAGCTGTATATTTTCAGCGTTGTAACATTTATAAACAACCAGGTTCCTCCAAGCCTTTATAGCTTTTGGAACCAGTCTATCCTACCAATATTTTAGCTTGAAAACTGACACTATTTCAACACTGTACAAATTAAGTACATTTAAGGTTCCCATAGACAGAAACAATTAGCTGCTGATAGCGTAATGGTGAGCACCAAACAACGAGATAATATTCGGCTATTTGTTGGCCAGCTGGAAATCTAACATTTTGAAATACTGAAAACTCTCAGACGAAAATGTTTGCATAAATGGCGGACCATCTTCCTTTGTTACACTTGCCACTTCTAGCAGAATGAATTACTGAAGTATCACTACTGAAACTGATTTACGAAAGAGGATATCTGATTATCTTTATCGGAGTCTGAGACGCGAAATGATTTTTACAATAAATATATCTTTATCCACTTTCTGGAAATCAGTGTAGATCAAAGACGTGCACATTTTCAAATATCAGAAAAACGCTCCGTGAAAACCTCACAAAGAAGCCCATGTGACACATTTAAGCCTTTTCTACGCACAACCCTTAGATGGGTTGTATTTCAACCCGCTTTCAACAGTATTCCAGGTTATTGTGGGAGGAAATTCCGAAGTGATGCCGGTCTCAGTCGTTTACTACTTCGGTGAACACCGCGACCATGGGGGTGGTGACAAACGTATACAAAATAATTGGGACAAAGGGGGATTCGAACCTTCAATCGCAAGTATCTGCATGCTCAGGCGACAAGACTCTGCACAGTCCATTGTGGCGCACGATTAGGCAGGGTTTTCCTTTCGGAATGCGCGCATCTATTGTTAAAAGGTAGGCGAACCAATGAAGCTCGGTGTTTGGTGATCAATGGAGGATCATAGATGATGATACTGTCGAACGTATACCAACGTGTCACAGAGATGTTTACGTCACCCAAGGGCGGTGGGGTAGCCTAGTGGTTAAAGCGTTCGCTCGTCACGCCAAATACCCGGGTTCTATTCCCCACATGGGTACAATGTGTGAAGCCCATTTCTAGTGTCGCCCGCCATGATATTGCTGGAATATTGTTAAAAGCGGCGTAAAACCTCACTCACTCACTCTTCACTAATATCACTCGCGGAAGTATAACGCATTTGTTTACAAGTATGTGATATTACGGGCGCTTTCTGTTGCATGAAGAAGCGTGCGAATGTGGCGGGGACCTTGATAAAGAAAGCTGGTCAGCCTCTGACTCGTACTGCTTGAAGACAGACCACTTTCATAGATAGCTTCGGGTGAATATTTCAATGGCTTTCATGAAGTCTGTTGACTTCAAATTAAGTGCCATTAGAAACAACATTGCTGGGATATATTTGACTGTGATTTACTGTTCTAACGATGACAATTGTAGGACTGTTGCAGTCGTACTAAGGGACATAACTCAATGGTCGTGATATCGGGTTCATTGGAACCTAAATGGGCGGTGGGGTAGCCCAGCCAGCGGTTAAAGCGTCATGAACAATCCCCACATGGGTACAATGTGTGAAGCCCATTTCTGGTGTCCTCCACCGTGACATTGCTGGAATATTGCTAAAAGCGGCGTAAAACTAAACTCACTCATTTATGACCTCTGAGGTGTTTAGATTACCTGATATATCTCAGTATGTCCACAAACCTATGTCCACATGGGTCGATGGAATATCGCAGAGTAGGTATCTCTTCAAATTCCATAACAGCAGTTAAGGTTATAGACGTCGGTGCAGAGAGATCCAGACAGTACAGTGTTGTGAAATATTAAAAGCATATACATTTTTAAACAGGATGCATATTGCATGCGATGTTGTAACAGGATGTTGTGTTTATAGCTTTTCGGAATAAAGTTTTAGATTTATCATTTATAGTTGTTTTATGTTCGTTAGTTGTTACATAGTTGTATGAGCTTGGATTAATGATCAAAGCAGTTGGTCTATTTGGGGTGGACAGGTTATTTCATTCCAGCCTCAACAATCTAGCTTTTAACACAACACCCCTCGGCTTCCTATTTGATTAATATTATATAACTACAGCTTTCTCCATGGCATTTTGCACTCTTTTCTTAGTCCCACTGTTTACAACTCTGCACTGGACAAGCTTCTCAAACTAGCTCAGGTTAGGTATTTACTGTTTACTTACCTAAATAGAATTCTTACCTATCCATTAAATATGCTATAAATAATATAAAGCATTGTAAATATTAATATTTGCTATGAAGTAGCCAATATACCTTTAAATTTATTAGTATGAAATGTCTAAATGTATGTGTGAGAGCATGATTTGATTGGTAGTTCGATGTAATGTTGAGTAGGAAGTTGGCTTTTGATAAAGTAATATCGCCATAATAAGATATTGTCTTTATTATTTGTTTTAGGAATGTGATACTCCCGTACTTAGTGTGGGTATATAGACACCCCCCCGGTATGTAAACATTGTTTTCTATCATGTATTTAATTATCTACTTGTGATTTAAGCATCACTATGATTATTTATATATTAAATTATAACAACTATGTAGTATTTTATGTATTAGGAATAATAACGATAACTTAATGAAGAACTTGATATGTGGGTAAGAGTTCGTAACCCCCCGCTTGAAATGTAGGATTATTTCAAGGGTTTAGGGTTAGGTTTGGGGCTAGATTTTAGGGTTAGGTTTAGGGTTTAGGGTTAGGTATAGGCTGTTTATAAACAAACATAGGCGAATATATTCTTAGTCATATAATGATTTAACAATTACGGGGGTTACGGGCGGGAATCTTTCCGTTGATTGATTGATACTATGGAATAAATGTCACACCCAAAACACACCCGCAGCTTGTCGTTCTTTTTGACCCAACCCTGCAACAATATTGCTTGTGCTCCACGCACAGAAGAACGTGCGGCTGGCAGTATGTATTTACTACTCACTTCGAGAAGACAGGATATACAACTATTTATCGTTTCATTGATAAGCTATATCGTGATATGTGAACTAGTTCTTGAACATTCAAATGTATAGTAAAGTTTTTTTTTGTGATGATAGAAACAACTAGTTAACACGTGGGCCAAGCTTCCAGGCTGACGGGTTCGACAGGAAAGACAGCCAAAGTGAAGATATTATAGCTTTAGAGATTTAGAGTTACATCCCTTTGAAGTACTAAATTCTAGATGGCGTTGTGAACTGTAATGGCGGCCTTTGGGTTTGATCTCAGGATTAAACAATCTTAATTTTTCTCTTTCGCTCGGACAACAGATATAATAGTTAATTTTAAGATGTCATTGGAGGCTGACACTCAGGCCAGTTCGCGGCGGAAGGCAGTAAAGGTTGCTGTGGCAGCGCTTTGTTACGAAGTTGGATTTGGAGAAGCTGAAGACATGGCTGTAGAAACTCTACGAGAGATGTTACAGAGTTGTATGTATTCTTGTTTACGTCAGGCTTGTTATTTACGGAGTACATTTAAATAGCTATGGCTCTTGCTTCACTGATCCCGTGTGCCTCTTGAAGTCCTCGATCTTTAGCAGTTATCGGTGATACCACTGACATGTTTAACGAATAGAGTAGGTTGCCGAGCAAAAACACCACTTTTGGCTTTTCTATCGTGAGGCGCACAAGCCAAGGATAACTACACTTTAATCGGCGTTCGTTTTCGGGTTTTAATCAGCAACGTGCAGAGAGTACTGAACTTGCAGTGAATTAATCTCATTAGTCCACACTTTACCACAAGACTGCTGGTGTTGTCACAAAATATATAGTGCGCATTTACAAGAAATCAGCATGGGATTGCTACTTTTATGAGGAAACTCATAAACCATTTCCATTTCTAACAAAACCATCCCTACAGGACTTTAATCTTTATCATGTTATTTTCAGATTTTCCTCAAATAATGTTTTGATTGATTTGTTGAAAGAGATGTGTAACTCACATGATGTTTAACCTTTTTGATTGGCAAATGTTGCCTTACTTCAAAGATCATGGAGATTTGTTTAATTGGAAAGACAATCCAAAGACTAAGGTGTTGGGGGTAACATACCCCAAAATCCCCAAAATATGATCCAAAGAAATGGAAAGGCATACAGGATGGATCAGATATTTAGATAGGGGTTGCGTTTCTTTTTTGAGAGAGTGTATGTAGTATTTTATGTATTAGGAATAATAACGATAACTTAATGAAGAACTTGATATGTGGGTAAGAGTTCGTAACCCCCGCTTGAAATGTAGGATTATTTCAAGGGTTTAGGGTTAGGTTTGGGGCTAGATTTTAGGGTTAGGTTTAGGGTTTAGGGTTAGGTATAGGCTGTTTATAAACAAACATAGGTGAATATATTCTTAGTCATATAATGATTTAACAATTACGGGGGTTACGGGCGGGAATCTTTCCGTTGATTGATTGATACTATGGAATAAATGTCACACCCAAAACACACCCGCAGCTTGTCGTTCTTTTTGACTCAACCCTGCAACAATATTGCTTGTGCTCCACGCACAGAAGAACGTGCGGCTGGCAGTATGTATTTACTACTCACTTCGAGAAGACAGGATATACAACTATTTATCGTTTCATTGATAAGCTATATCGTGATATGTGAACTAGTTCTTGAACATTCAAATGTATAGTAAAGTTTTTTTTGTGATGATAGAAACAACTAGTTCGCACGTGGGCCAAACTTCCAGGCTGACGGGTTCGACAGGAAAGACAGCCAAAGTGAAGATATTATAGCTTTAGAGATTTAGAGTTACATCCCTTTGAAGTACTAAATTCTAGATGGCGTTGTGAACTGTAATGGCGGCCTTTGGGTTTGATCTCAGGATTAAACAATCTTAATTTTTCTCTTTCGCTCGGACAACAGATATAATAGTTAATTTTAAGATGTCATTGGAGGCTGACACTCAGGCCAGTTCGCGGCGGAAGGCAGTAAAGGTTGCTGTGGCAGCGCTTTGTTACGAAGTTGGATTTGGAGAAGCTGAAGACATGGCTGTAGAAACTCTACGAGAGATGTTACAGAGTTGTATGTATTCTTGTTTACGTCAGGCTTGTTATTTACGGAGTACATTTAAATAGCTATGGCTCTTGCTTCACTGATCCCGTGTGCCTCTTGAAGTCCTCGATCTTTAGCAGTTATCGGTGATACCACTGACATGTTTAACGAATAGAGTAGGTTGCCGAGCAAACACCACTTTTGGCTTTTCTATCGTGAGGCGCACAAGCCAAGGATAACTACACTTTAATCGGCGTTCGTTTTCGGGTTTTAATCAGCAACGTGCAGAGTACTGAACTTGCAGTGAATTAATCTCATTAGTCCACACTTTACCACAAGACTGCTGGTGTTGTCACAAATATATAGTGCGCATTTACAAGAAATCAGCATGGGATTGCTACTTTTATGAGGAAACTCATAAACCATTTCCATTTCTAACAAAAACCATCCCTACAGGACTTTAATCTTTATCATGTTATTTTTCAGATTTTCCTCAAATAATGTTTTGATTGATTTGTTGAAAGAGATGTGTAACTCACATGATGTTTAACCCTTTGATTGGCAAATGTTGCCTTACTTCAAAGATCATGGAGATTTGTTTAATTGGAAAGACAATCCAAAGACTAAGGTGTTGGGGGTAACATACCCCAAAATCCCCAAAATATGATCCAAAGAAATGGAAAGGCATACAGGATCAGTGATGTGAGAATCAGCCCAATAAGCTGCACACAGAAAACTGCACTTTTAGTACCACCATTTTACCAACATAAGGGTCAAGCTCCCATTACCAAACCTAATGCCATTTGGATTATCAGTATTGAGTTGTGAGTTAGGGTTCATTTCAGGTTAAAATAGGTCCCCATCAACATATGCTATACCTGAAAGGTCGACTAAATGGATCAGATGACTAGTGTTTGTTACTATTTTGTCGAGTCACTTTTTAATTTGACACCCTTTGCCTTGTATCCATTAAGTTAAGATGGGGACTAACAGAAACTTTCTGTGCATGGATTAGTTAGAAAGTCAGTGTCATGCATTTTCCTGATTGTCAAGATACAATTAATAAACACCTTTCTAATTTTTTTAAAGTTTTGACAGAGCTTGGGCGCAGTGCACACGAGGATACACAGAACTGGCTGGGAGAACTGAGTCGATGCTCAGTGATGTTGTCATGGCCTTGGTTGACATGGGTAATTCTTTCTACTTTGATGGTTTTTTAAAGTCTGTCCATTAATTGTGAAATCTGATTCTGAAGTATACAATATCACAGTGATTACCATTATGTACTACTATTATCTGTGTGAATAAATTATTTTTATTGATCATAATAAACTTTTTTATTTTCTTTGCTGTGTTCAGGTGTAAAAGTAGATGCAATTCCTGCCCATGCCAAGAGGTTCAACAAATCCATCTTTATTCCACGTAAGTAATTTCTATAATCTATTTCATGTAAGTAATTTTTAAAATCAAATTCCTAAGTTGCTAGCAGGGGTCCAGGTGACCAAGCAGTTTGTCTCACAGTCCTTAAGCCTCATTATTTCCCTTCCACCCAGTCATTTCTGTAATGCAAAAGCCCCAAATGAAGCAATTCCAGATTTTCGTCAGGTTCAGTGTCATTTGCAAGAAAACTAACTCACTTCGGGGGTCAGGTTACAGAGAAAACATATCGAACTGCCATGGGTGACTGTGTCAGGCTTGCAGGCTTGGTTGACACATGTCATCGGTTCCCAATTGCGCAGATTGATGCTCATGCTGTTGATCACTGGATTGTCTGGTTCAAACTCGATTATTTACAGACTGCCGCCATATAGTTGGAATATTGCTGAGTGCGTCGTAGAGTGCGTCGTAAAACTAAACTCACTCACTTTAAGTCAGTGTGTGTCGGACACCATGACAACAATGTCATGCATGAGCCCAATTTAAAACCCATTTTGACGATGTATACACCATTGCAGTTTTAACACTCAAAGTTTGTGATCCATTATGATCCGGGATAGAATTGATCTTCAGTAATCCATGCTTGTTGTAAGAGGTGACTAATGGGATCGGGTGACCAGACTCGCTGACTGGGTTGACATGTCATTGTGTCCCAACTGTGTTGATCGATGTTCATGCTGTTGATCCCTGGATTGTCTGGTCCAGACTCAATTATTTACAGACCGCAATCATATCGCCAGAATATTCCTGAGTGCGGCGTAACACTTAACTCACTCACTCCCTCACTCAAGGTTTGTACATCTTCAAGTACGAGAGAGTATGAAACGTAATCTATCTTCTATAAAGAGGTTTATCCATATCCTCTCCACATATTATCCAAATAGATTCATAATTTGGAAACAAATACAGATTCCTAGATAATTTTCTTGTTTTTTCAGATACATTTTTCAATTTTGCCATTTAACTAATGAATAACTCATTTACATTTGATTTCTGTTTTGTCTTTCCAGCTACACCAAGTACCCCAAGTCCAACATTACCCACTCTGCAGACAGGAGATAAGAAGGCACATCCATCTCACATTCCAGACTTTCTGCCTCCATTTCCTGATCCACACACATACATCAGAACTTTGGTAAAGACCGTGGTGTTTTGTACTTTTTGTGTTCAAATTTTATGTGAAATCTTGATCAGCATCAATCACATCAAAACTTAAATAAATGATGATTTTCTGATTTTTTCTCCACTTTTCTTACTTATTGGTAGGATGTGTAGAATTAGTAAAATGGCAAGATGTTAATTTCCAATTTACATGGCTCCTGTAAAGTATGTCCTGTTCCATATTTGAGGATGATCATAAACATGATAAACACAGCTCAAAATGTAATTTCCAGACACACAAACAGCCAAGCAATGAATACCAGTTGATCAGAGAGAAAGCCGCATCACAGAAGAGGGACGTGGAGAGAGCACTCACTCGCTTTATTGCTAAGACAGGAGAGACACAGAGTTTATTTTCAGATGATATGGCAGCCTACCCGTGTAAGTCAGTTTCAAAGCCAGTTTGCCTGAGACATTAATTAATATGGAGTCCTTGCCTTAGTATTGCATGGAGAGAATGCTGCTTTGTTATATTAATCAAGACATGTCTTAATTTGTATCTTTTATGATAAGGGTTATGAGAAAGATCCCTTCACTTTTATGCTTAGTTTCCAATACTGCGATTATGTTGATCTTTTGATTTTTGTACTCTGTGGATTGTTTAATACTTCAAGACTGTTTTCTAAGTTAGCTGGTTCAGTTTTGTATTTTGTAGTGAGTGAGTTTAGTTTCACGCCACTATTAGCAATAATCCAGACACCAGAAATGGGCTTCTCACAATGTACCCATGTGGGGAATCGACCCCAGTTCTTCGTGATGAGCGAACGCTTTAACCACTAGACTACCCCAGCTCACGTGATGTGGCTGTGTAAGTGTAATAGTCTCAGATGTTAAACCCATTTCACCTCGACCCGTGAAGATCTGGGTTAGAATTGGTCTTAGCATGATGTGCGAACGCTTTAACCACTAGACTACCCCAGCTCACGTGATGTGGCTGTGTAAGTGTCATAGTCTCAGATGTTAAACCCATTTCACCTCGACCCGTGAAGATCTGGGTTAGAATTGGTCTTAGCATGACGAGCGGACGCTTTAACCACTAGGCTACCCCACCCCACAGCTCAAGTGATGTGGCTGTGTAAGTGTAATAGTCTCAGATGTTCACCCCATTTCACCTTGACCCGTGAAGATCTGGGTTAGAATTGGTCTTAGCATGACGAGCGAACGCTTTAACCACTAGACTACCCCAGCTCACGTGATGTGGCTGTGTAAGTGTCTCAGATGTTAAACCCATTTCACCTTGACCCGTGAAGATCTGGGTTAGAATTGGTGTGGCAAGCGCTTTAACCACTAGACTACCCCAGCTCGCATTGATGTGGCTGTGTAAGTGTAAGTCGTGAGTCTCAGATGTTAAACCCATTTCACCTCGACCCCGTGAAGATCTGGGTTAGAATTGGTCTTAGCATGACGAGCGAAAACGCTTTAACCACTAGACTACCCCAGCTCTCATTGATGTGGCTGTGTAAGTGTAATAGTCTCAGATGTTAAACCCATTTCACCTCGACCCGTGAAGATCTGGGTTAGAATTGGTCTTAGCATGATGTGTGGCTGTGTAAAGAGCAGCTTTAACCACTAGACTACCCCAGCTCGCGTGATGTGGCTGTGTGTAAGATGTAATAGTCTCAGATGTTCACCCCATTTCACCTGAAGATCTGGGTTAGAATTGGACCCGCAAACGCTTTAACCACTAGACTACCCCAGCTCACGTGATGGGTGTAAGTGTAATAGTCTCAGATGTTAAACCCATTTCACCTCGACCCGTGAAGATCTGGGTTAGAATTGGTCTTAGCATGACGAAAGCAAACGCTTTAACCACTAGGACTACCCCAGCTCACGGATGTGGCTGTGTAAGTGTCATAGTCTCAGATGTTAAACCCATTTCACCTTGACCCGTGAAGATCTGGGTTAGAATTGGTCTTAGCATGACGAGATGGCAAACGGCTTTAAACCACTAGGACTACCCCAGCTCATGATGTGGCTGTGTAAGTGTCATAGTCTCAGATGTTAAACCCATTTCACCTTGACCCGTGAAGATCTGGGTTAGAATTGGTCTTAGCATGACGAGCAAACGCTTTAACCACTTGACTACCCCAGCTCACATGATGTGGCTGTGTAAGTGTCGTAGTCTCAGATGTTAAACCCATTTCACCTCGACCCGTGAAGATCTGGGTTAGAATTGGTCTTAGCATGACGAGCAAACGCTTTAACCACTAGACTACCCCAGCTCACGTGATGTGGCTGTGTAAGTGTCATAGTCTCAGATGTTAAACCCATTTCACCTCGACCCGTGAAGATCTGGGTTAGAATTGGTCTTAGCATGACGAGCAAACGCTTTAACCACTAGACTACCCCAGCTCACTTGATGTGGCTGTGTAAGTGTCGTAGTCTCAGATGTTAAACCCATTTCACCTCGACCCGTGAAGATCTGGGTTAGAATTGGTCTTAGCCATTCTCTTCCCACAGAGGTTACTCCTGTCATATCTTCCTACATAACCTCTGTTCTAATACGGCCATATTTCCGAAGTCCTCGTTAAAATTGGTCCTAGCGGCAAAAGATTTAAACACTAGACTAATTATCTCCTTCTTTCTATCCAATCAGAACCCGTGTTACATCGACTTAGATTCAATTTGACTAACACAAGCAAATGCGGGCCACAAATATCCCCCATCTGCCGGGAATTGTGTTGATGTTACCCACACAAGACATTTAATAGCTAGCTGGTCCGTTGTCAACGAGGGCTTTATGGACTAGACTACCATTGATACGCCATTACATGACTGAGTTCTGTCTAGAAGAAACGCTTCACCATCGACCCGGAACAGGTTCTAGTCTGTCTACCCAGCAAACGCGGAAATTACCGAGGCCTTAAGTGTCGTAGTCTCAGATGATCACTTTTGAAACAACGTCGCTGATTGCACAACTAAATCGGCTTGTCTCCAATCACTAGCCTTGAACGCTGACACCAAGAAAGGGTCGTATTAGAACAGAGGTTATGTAGGAAGATATGACAGGAGTAACCTCTGTGGGAAGAGAATGGGTCTTAGCATGACGAGCAAACGCTTTAACCACTAGACTACCCCAGCTCACGTGATGTGGCTGTGTAAGTGTAATAGTGTCAGATGTTAAACCCATTTTACCTCGACCCGTGAAGATCTGGGTTAGAATTGGTCTTAGCATGATGTGCGAACTCTTTAACCACTAGACTACCCCAGCTCACGTGATGTGGCTGTGTAAGTGTCGCAGTCTCAGATGTTAAACCCATTTCACCTCGACCAGTGAAGATCTGGGTTAGAATTGGTCTTATCATGAGCGAACGCTTTAACCACTTGGCTACCCCACCGCTCCTGTATTTTGTAGATCAGTAATGAACACCTGTATACAAAGAATAATGTTACGTTAATTGTCACTTGGGTTTATTAAATGATTCCTGATTCCTGTGCCTGTATTCCAGTGATTGCAGTGAAACCATCCCCCAGGGCATATTTGAATGCTCTCCTCCCGAAGGATCAGGATTTGGATGCTCAGGAGCCGGTGGAGACACAACAAGCTGTATCTAAACGCCAGAGAGAGGCTAGGGATGGTCAGTCTGGGCCTGACACACAGACAGACACGCCTGTAGATTCCACGTCCTTCTCACAGCTACTCTCACAAGATTCAGTTGACTCTGACACTATAGATAATCCATACCTCCGTCCTGTCAAATTTCCTAAGAAGAGACGGCGGTGATCTTGCACAATGTCTCAGTGTCAAGATGTGATAATAGAGGCTGGGTCACAGATTCTAGATTCAGTGACTTAATTGGCAAGGCCAAGGGAAGATTGGAGGATGGTTCACCAAATTCTTTTAATCTGATGAAATTTCGAATTGAAGGCCTTGAATGTTTAGGACATTTTCATCTCTTTTCCTGTTTGGGGCAAATGCTGCTGTTAAGTGTTTATAGGTGAAGAAAATGCCCCTAAAAATGTGTGATAAAATATTGGAGGCATGCATCCCAGCTGCTTTGGTGAACATTATAATGGCTGAAACAGACAATCTGGAGCCAACACTTTGTTTTCAGCCATCTGCATTACATGTCAGTCCTTTTGTGTGTATATTCATCCATGTGCTCATCAATTTTTGACCACCTAGAATTATGATCAATGTGATGGTTGGTTGTTTGGGTGGCACAATTGGGCCTGGCCTCTAAGACAATGCACTTTGGAGCATAGAGTTCCGAGGCATGCCAGAAGTCCCTGATGGTAGGTTCGAGTCTTGGTTCGCCCTAATTATATCTCTGTGCCTATGGGTTTCAACAAACTTGTAAACATTCTTCTCATTGGACAGTGTATTTGTCTGATATGAAAGACCGAACCACAAAATAACAGGAAATAAAAACACTAAAATATTTCAAATCTAATGAGGTAAGTTGAAAACCCAACAAATACATGCTATTACAAGACATACCATTTTTATTTACATATATATTGTTGATGTACAAACAAAACAAGATATTTACATCAAATGTAGAAAACAATTTTGTACTTTGCATAAGCAACAATAGATGATGAGATGAAATGCAGAGATGAACCAATGTTTGTATGATCATAAAGACTTGAAACGATTGTGGTTGTGTGCTTTGTTTGACATGTTTCTGAAATAGTACTCCTACTAGTCTACTACTCCCAAATCACTCTAAATCAGACAAGGTAAATGCATACAAGCTAATTGATAGTATTCTAAGGTACATGTAAATGATTTTGTCCTGATGTTTGTGTAGACAATCCCTTTAGTACATACTATTGCTAAACTCTCTGCCCTTGCATCTGTGTAGAGTTTGGGGTGTTCCACATGTGGTCGTGTGGTTGTACCTTGTATGGTCATGACTGTCATGAGTTGAGTTTTACGCTGCTTTTAGCAATATTCCAGCAATATCATGGCAGGGGGACACCAGAAATGTGCTTCACACATTGTACCCATGTGGGGAAAAAGAACCCGGGTCTTCAGTGTGATGAACACTTTCATGACTGTAGCACTGGAAACTTGTCACCACTGATTAACATCTCTTCTCACTCAACCCTTCTGTTTCTTCTTCCTTTTCTCTTCCTAAAATTAAGATGAGGGTGTATATGATCATGATGCTACATCATATACATAGAAGTAAGGATGCAAGTCGTAAAGTGATTGTGTCATCTATGTTGAAAAGGAGTATTTTCATCAGTAACAAATTCCAAAAGGTAAATGTGCATTTTTTCACTAACCATACCATTCTGCAACTAAAACGAGGAACTCCAGGTTTTGAACAATAATTGATGCTATTTCTAATGATTTACAAAGATTGTCTTCAATTATATCAAAGTATCAGTCCAAGTTAAAATTACAACAGTGAATTCTTTCACTTCAGTGAAAACACTGAATCCCATCAGTGAAAAACAATTCATTTTTCACATCAGTGAAATCATTGAATTCCTTCACATCAGTGAAATCATCCACTAGTAATTCCTTCACATCAGTGAAATCATTAAATTCCTTCACATGAGTTTTAAAGGCAGTCAAAAGCATCATTCTTACCATAAGAAGTTGTGGCAGTTTCTTCAGTGCCACCTGGAATTGTTCCACCATGGGTGATAATGCCACCTTGTCTATCTCCATTTCCTTGACGTTGGTCTTCCCTGCTTCCTGCACCATCTTCTTGAAGTGATACACCTGCAGACACACATCAGGATTTCGTCAGATCATACCAAAAATATGTTGCCAAAAGTTTCTTCCTGTTTATATTTAGATCTTTAACTCAAAGTATGAAATTTGGAAAGAAACAATCTTTTTGGACTAAGAATTATCAGAATTCAGAATGAATGAGCTGCAACTGAGTCTGGACCTGTCAAACCAGTGATTAACAGCAAGAACCACAATCCACACTGGGACATACCATGAGTCATACAACAGAGTCTTACCAGAGTCAGTTGGTTGACACTTATGAGAAGCATAGATTACTAAGGACCAAATCTACCCTTGCATCCCTGTTAAGCAGTTCTGACCCCTTACCTCCTTGTTCTCCAGGAAGGTCATGGCTGTTCCAACTTTGCCGGCCCGAGCAGTGCGACCAACGCGATGTATGTATGTCTTGATGTGCGTGGTTGTGTCATACGAGATGACGTACTTGACATTCTCAACATCCATACCCCGAGCCATGGCATCGGAGCAGATCAGCCTATAGGACACAAGCATTCTCATATTGGAGGCAGTCTCGACAGAAGTAATGTTACATCCATCCAACACATCAAAATGAAGAAAGTATCAGATAGGTAAACAGATGAAACATCAAATGCTGGTTGTATCAATATTGTCACAAGCACACTTCTAAAACAGATTCCTTGTGATATGGACATGAGGGTCACCAGTGTCCCTGGCTTGGGAACATGTAATTCATAAAAACATGACACAATTACAGGGATGAAAATTTTCTGCAGAACTGTGGAATTCACAAACCCCCCAGCTCAGTTTTCTCGTTTTCATTTGTAGACATTCTCATCCCTGCAATTAACAGACCACAAGTTATTCTCAGGATTGGCCAACTGAGTTAGTTCTTTTACATTTGTTTCCCAAAACAGGAAAATGAGGCCATATAATAATATACTGCTAATATACTACTGTTTCCTTACTGGCAGATTTTAAAATAGTAAAGACCCAGTGCCTTAAAATTCAGAGCACAGACACAACTTGGGTTTCTTAACAAAGCAAAGGATATGTAACAAATATTGTATTGATAAGTCAAAATACTAGGGCTGGTATGTTACACTATGTCACGATATGATATGTATCGCGATATTTTACCTGCGACACGATACGTATCACGATACATACACCTTGAATGAACGACGGGGTATTAAGATTTAAAATGATTTATTTCAAGGTATTTGTGTATAACAATTACACTTTTGTAATAAACAAATAAGTAACTCTATCATACTTGTGTATTTTTCTCTAAATAAGTACTTTAACATGTTTAAGATAATACTGTTTTGAAAAAAGTTGTGTATCGTTTTGTATCGATACACCAGTCGACAATACGATAACTGTTTGAAACTTAAATGTATCGTGACGTATCGGTGCATCGTCCCAGCCGTACAAAATACAACAGTACTTTTGAAACTTGATCTATTGATGGAAAGCTGTTTCATCATATCTATCACTTTAAAAGATAGTGCTTAAAGGCCGGGGTGCAAACCTCCAAATCCCCCGTGGGTTCCCAAATGGTCCCCCCCCCACAATTGGCTTCTCCTCAGCAGTGTAGATGTTATCTGCCCATGAGTGACAGGACTGTAAGGGCTATGGGTGCCTGGCAATAGCCTGATGGGAGTCTGGGGATGTCAAAGGTTAAGCTTGGAATTTACTACTAGAACAAACATGTGCCTGATAGTAAATGTCCAACAACCCTTCCCTTCATTTCATGAAGACAAACATGACAAGACTCATGCATTATTAGCAGGCTTGCTTGTCTCTGCTTTTAGGTGTGCTTTCACTTGTTTCAGTTTTGGGAGAATACCTTGCTTGACTTCTTGGTCACCAGGTATTTCGATTGTAAAACGAGCACTTCGCTTACTTGGATCCATCTTGTGAGGAAATCAATATGGTCAGCCAGATAATGAGATATGTCAAGTTTATTCCGATAGTAGGAGGCAATGAAGTGTGATCCGACCCACAAGTTAGCATACTAAAACTAAGCAAGGTTCATTTGAGGCTTTAGGGGTTTGGGTTTTGAAAAGTACAGAATGTTATGTTATAACTGCATTTTAGAGAATCTTATGTTATTTTAAAGAATTCAGGACATCAAAGGTTTACTATAGAAGATAATTCAATTTGCCTACTTAATGTGTTGATAATAATAACAAGGATACCAAGCCAATATCACCCCTCTGTGGGGAATCAAGTGTTCCACTCACAGACTCAGTGTCAAGAGTCAAATCAGTGTACAACCCGCACAGCAGGGGGGTCAGGGAAGAAACTGCCTGGGAAGAAAGTGAAATATGAAACCCTGAATGAAGCTTTAACTTCCACTCAGAGATCTGTTTCTATGGAGACGCACCTCCTCTGGCCTCCTGACTGATACAGTGGCAAATTCAAATCTGGATTTCAAAAAGAGATTATATATTTTTAAAATGCAGGTTTTGTACACTGTCTGCATCAACACTTTTTGCAGTGTCTTCAAAACATACTTGTTTACACTATTGCTTAATTTCATCAAGAACCGGTAAATCAATTTTGTGATATTTCATGGAATGTACTTGAATACTGCATTGCTTTGCATTGAAAGACAGCTTTGGCAAGGCAGGAGGCCACACCCCATCTGTGTATAGGTTTGAACCCCAGCCTTTAAATGGACATCTACTTCTGCAATTGGGGAACATAACCAGTCCACATAATGACTTACAAGTCCACCTTGTTGGCCGAGAAGTCATTGATGATCTTGTTCCTCTTGTTAGCTGAGAGGCTGGAGGAGTATTCTTGTACACGCACACCACCGAACTCCTTCACCAGCAGGTACAACCTGATAGACATGATGTAACGAGGTTTAGGACAATGACCAGTATTTGGAACCTCATACCTTTGGATATATGCAGTTGGGTATTTTCCAATACATTTAAGTCTAAGCAATCATGCACACTAAGATATATTTGTACTTAATTTATTTTGTGACTGGGGCTTTGGATGTCAGTGTGGTCAGTAGGGAGTGAGTTTAGTTTAACGCCGGACTCAGCAATATTCCAACTATATGTCGGCGGTCTGTAAATAATGTGTTGCCTGATGCATACAGTAAATAACTCCACCAAATTACTTATGTGATATCATGGCGGTGGACACTAGAAATGGGCTTCACACATTGTACCCAGGTGGGGATTCTGACCCGGATCTTCAGCCTGACAAGCGGACGCTTTAACCATAGGCACCCCACTGCCCCCCAAATTACTGGGGCTGTGAAGTTCTTACAAGGCTGACCTGTGTGTGGCTTCACGTGAGTTGGTGAAACAGAGCACGTGGCGGAACTTCAGCTGGTGCAAGAAGTGGAGGATGACAAGAGGCTTCTCTGCCCCAGATACACGCAGGTAGTACTCCTGTAACACAAGGTCAAGGTCAGCAGAAAGTGAGGCTGTAGATCTTTTATTGTCAGGAAGGAGAAAAAAGAGACCCCAACCAATTTTAAGAAATGATGAAAACATTGTGACTAAAACATTTCCAGGCTGAGAAAAGAAAATGGTCAACAGAACCATATGACTACCCCACCACAATAGGACTCTCCAATCAGTTAATGGCACAACCCATTCATCTAGACAACCCATCGGCCAGAGCCCTGTTGATGGGCTAGTATTTGGCTATGATGATAGCATTAAGGCAGTTGTTACTGTATGTTTAAAGTTTGTGAGTTACAATTGTCATGCTTTTATTGGTCTGTGGAACTAGGACTCCAGGACTAACCTATCAGCTGAGGGTAACACATCAGCTCCAGGGAATGTATTAAACTAGGATGAACACATCACATAGAACAATGGACCAGTCAGGGATAACCTTTCCACACAGGACTAACCCATCAACTAAGTAATCAACACTGGACTAAATGATCAACACCAGAATAAATGATCAACACCAGACTAAATGATCAACACCAGAATAAATGATCAACACCAGACTAAATGATCAACACCAGACTAAATGATCAACACCAACACCAGACTAAATGATCAACACCAGACTAAATGATCAACACCGGACTAAATGATCAACACCAGACTAAATGATCAACACCAACACCAGACTAAATGATCAACACCGGACTAAATGATCAACACTGGACTAAATGATCAACACCGGACTAAATGATCAACACCAGACTAAATGATCAACACTGGACTAAATGATCAACACCGGACTAAATGATCAACACCAGACTAAATGATCAACACTGGACTAAATGATCAACACCGGACTAAATGATCAACACCGGACTAATTGATCAACACCAGACTAAATGATCAACACCAGACTAAATGATCAACACCGGACTAAATGATAAACACCAGACTAAATGATCAACACCAGACTAAATGATCAACACTCGACTAATTGATCAACACCGGACTAAATGATCAACACCAGACTAAATGATCAACACCGGACTAAATGATCAACACCAGACTAAATGATCAACACCAGACTAACTAATCAACACCAGACTAACTAATCAACACCAGACTAAATGATCAACCCCAGACTAAATGATCAACACCAGACTAACTAATCAACACCAGACTAACTAATCACCCATGACTCGCCCATCAACCAAGGACTCGGCTATCAACTCTGGGCCAACCATCAACCCAGGGTAATCAATCATCAGGGACTACCATAAACCATCACCCAGAGAAACCTATGAACCTAAGGCTAACTGATCAACCCAGGACTAACCCACAACTAACACAGCCCTCGGACTAACTCATCACCCATAGCATCGCATCAGTGCAACACACACAGGACTAGTAATGTGATGACTGTGGAATAAGCATTGGCTTTTATTTATATCTTTAGACATTAATGTGTGTAACAATCTTACTGTCAATCCCGTGGGTGTGGTGAACTTCCCAATAAACTCTCCTCTAGTGTCTGCCATGTCTGAGGTCTTTTTCTCATCTGTTGAAACACAAATATTGGAGATTCTGTATCCGACATATTGAGTACTTCATCACTGTAACTCGGTTCAGATGCTGAATGCTTCATGACAATATATTAATCACATAAAACAAAATTTTGACAGAAAGGACAATTTTGTTTAAAAACATTCATGGGCAGTTTACTTTTACATACCTTGTACATATGTACCTTTTACAGTATATGTATCTATTAAACCCTCAGACCAAGTCCTTCCTGATCCTGTGTCTGTCTGTCACTCACACCTACCTCTGTCCTGTTCTTCAACACCTGTGAGAGCTCGGCCAATCCTCTTTTCCTCATCCAATGTTACCTTGACAACAGAGGTAAACAATCGAGGCTGGAACAGTTTTAAGTGCTGCAGCTTCTCTGGGTTCTGAGACAGCGTTGCCCGAAAACAACAACTTCTGCAGCTGGAAGATCAACAAGAAGACAAAGTCATCAATATCCCCTGCAATGGCAAAATACTCTTCATGAATATGTCCTCTAGTTATGGTTATGTCAAATATTTTGGTGTGTATATGGTAAAGTGGAAGGAGAGTATTGAAAGGTTTTGAAGTTCTGCTCCAGAAAGGAGCACTGCCACCAAAATCAGTTGAAGCCAAACTTGTTGGCATGGAAACACAAAAAAAATATTTTATTCAGAAATCCAAAACTACCAAAAGGCACCAGTTCATCACCAGATCAATCTATGTAAGAAGTTTGGTAAGGAAATATTGAATGGTTTTAAAGTTCTGCTCCAGAAATGAGCACCAACACCAATTTCAGTCAAAGTCAAACTTGTTGCCATGGAAATGCGAAAAATATAATAATCAGAATCCAAAACTACCAAAAGGCACCAGTTCATCACCAGACATATCTATGTGCCAAGTTTAGTGAAGAAATATTGAACGGTTTAAACGTTCTGCTCCGGAAAAGACAAATGTGCATGGACGCATGGAGTGCATATTAATGCCCGCCGCAAAACGTGTTGCGGGGGATAACAACAGAGGGCACCTCAACAAGAGGGACTATGTCATTGGTACATTTATATCAATATGCAATATGAAAAATGTGTGTTACACCACCCAAATGTAAGCATGTAATTTTCTGAGTAAAATTGATATTTTATACTTATCCTGACTCATGTATTATTGCTTGTCTCCTTCCTTTCCCGAACGTTAGTGGAACACTTGTATCTCCTTTTGAAGCTCCCTTCAAAAAAGCAGACGTAAAATCACTACTCACCACGAGTTGTCTCCCTCTCGGTTTTGGCGGGAAAACGGCGCCACCCGTCTTCCAACTCTTCACTCTCTCCGAATTGCTAGTCCGACACTTCGATTTACAGGGAAATCCAAAGTGCCTAGCGGGGAGGTTGGGAGGGCTTACCTCATGAGTCAGGATAAGTATAAAATATCAATTTTACTCAGAAAATTACATATTTTTCCTTATCCTGACTCATGTATTATTGCTTGTAGAATCCGACGGATTTGGTGGTGGGTCAAGCCACTTCTGGATTCCAATTGGTGATTTACGTCTTGCATACCCCCCTATGGGAACTTCCTGGTAGCACTTCAATTTACTGCTAGGCTCTGCTGCTGCTGTAAGTCTTTACTTCCAGCTTTCTCTGATGGGGGGACCACAATTGTTAACTTTTGGTCCTTGCTTCTGTTAACATTTTTATGTGGATTTTTGCAACTCCATCTCTTGATGCAAGCATCAAGTGGAGAAGCGACCCTTCTTATGTAACGAAGTACGTCCTTACAAGTACTGGGTCTTATCACTTATGCTAGTCTGTCTTAGGCGTGCATATGGACTCTAAAGCTGTAACTCTCCTGAGTGTAGGCTTTTGCAAGTCATGTGATAAAAGGCGAGACTCTGTCTCAGCCTCTGTGGAACTGTCAATTGTTGGGCTACAAAAAAGTGGGCCGAAATGGTGAATGCCAGAGACGTCCTCAGTGGCGATGTCTCTCAGGTAGTGGTTGGCAAACACCATGTCCGATTTCCAGAAGCAGCCCTCCATTATCGTCGTGATAGAGCAGTTTCCATGTAGAGCGAGTGTTGACGCCAGAGCTCTAATTTCATGTGGATTAGAGGCTCTTGGAGGATCAAGTCCTGCTGCTTTGTAGGCCTGTAGAATGACAGTTCTCATCCTTATTGATATCGTAGTGCGAGAGATCTCAGTCTGTGTCTCTGCCGATATAGGGATGAAAAGACGCTTGAATTTTCGTCTCCTGGTCCTAGACCTTTGTAGGTAGATATTCAATGCTCTTACTGGGCACAAGGATAGGTCTTGTGTATCCTGTGGCCCAAGGACTGATGATTCTTTGCTATAAAGTCCCATCTCAGTCCCATATGTACGATGTTTCGATTTTCATCAAATCGTGTCCTTTCAAAGTCTAGAGCATGTATTTCCGACCTCCTTGCTGCTGTTGCTAAGGCAATCAGGAACAGAGTTTTCTGTGTCAAGAACTCAAAAGATGTCCTATCTAATGGTTCATAAGCGTCACTGGTGAGATGCCGTAGAACAATGTTGAGGTCCCAAGCCGGAGCTTTAAATCTCTGTTGTTGGTCCTCCAGTTTAAAAGAGCGTTAGTAAGGCCAGTAACTCTGGTACCTAAGTCAGTTTTACACTCGTCCTCATAGTGATAACTGAGCTCAATGCCGCTAGGTATGTTGAGAGTGTTGACCCTTTTAACCGCTTCGTTTGTCTAGGTGACAAAGATAGTCCGCCACTTGAGGGTGTGTCGCTTTCATGGCTGTGAAGCCTGTTTTCAAAGCGTAGGTCTCAAAGCTTCACCACTTGTCGTCGTACAAGTTGCGTGTTGACTTGCGTAAAGCTAGCGTGACCGCTTTAGCTGCCCTGGCGGAATATCCTCTCTTATTCAAGCATGCCTTGATACGGTCCATGTGTGTAGGCGGAACACTTTGGAGTTGCCGTGTGCTTGCTTTGTGTGTGGATGTACTAGCAAGTTCGTCCACTCTGGTAGTTGCAGTTGAGGTGGTCCTAGTTCTTGTATGAGAATGGGGAACCATATTCTCGCTGGCCAATAAGGAGCGATCAAAATCAGTTGCAGGTTCCTCGTCTGCATGATTTTCTGCAACACTTTCGGTATTAGAGCTGGTGGCGGGAACGCGTAAGTGTTTAGTCCTTCCCAAGAGATGCTTAGAGCATCTGTTGCCCATGCTCGTGGATCTGGTATTGGAGAGACGAATGTTACCAGTTGATTGTTGAATCTTGCGGCAAACAAATCTATTGGTGGCGCTCCTATCTCTTGTATGATCTGTTTGAAGATTTCTGGATGTAGCATCCATTCTGTTGGGGATGGCTGAGTTAGACGAGATAGTGCGTCTGCTATCACATTCTTGGCTCCTGGAATGTGGCATGCTTTATGTGGATGTTCAGATTGTCTGTTATGCTGAACCGATGAAAGCACAGGTTCAGAAGGTTCGCCGACCTTGTTGACCCTTGTTTGCTTATGTAGAACGCCACTGTGGAGTTGTCCGTGTGTACCGTTAGATGAGCATTTTATAGCATGCTGGTCCAGTGGAGTATGGCGTTTATCCCTGCTTTCATTTCTAGCATGTTGATATGCAGATCTTTCTCTTGTAACGTCCATTTCCCAGCTGACACTTCGTTGTCAAGGTGTGCTCCCCATCCTTGGAGAGATGCGTCCACATAGAGATGCGTTTTGCACTCCGGCTCTGCTAAGTAGGTGCCTCCACAAACATTCGATCTCTGAGTCCACCATAGTAGATATGGTTTTAGTCTGTCCAGGAGTCCGAAGGGGTACCGGATCGTCCAGATGTGCAATTACGAAGACCTGTAGTGGGTGTAGTTGTAATCTCCCTCTGCGCGTCATATCTTGTACTCACATGAGGAGACCCAACAGACTCTGCCACTGTCGAAGTGGCCACGGAGAGAGTAGAGCTTGCGATACCATCTGTTGTATCTTTAGCCAACGGTCCTCTGGTACTGTTATGTGGTTTTCTGTTGTGATGAGCTGAATTGCTAGGAGCTGCCGGTCCTGTGTAGGCTCTAGTTCCGACTTGAGGACTGAGTAGGCTCTGCCAACTTCGTAGTAATAACGGAGAGCGTAGTGCTTGAGATACAATGGCTTGTATCTAGATCCAACGATCGTGAAACCCTTGCCATGTCCGTAAGGGAAACGAAGCAATGTCCGACTCTGTGACTGCCATCGTTGAGAAGTCTATATAAAGTAGACTGGCTGCCGTAACCAAAAGTCCGTCAAACGTATGTTGCTGCAATTCGCCTGATGAACCGTCTTTAATGCTGACAGGGAAGGTCTCTAACCCTGTGAAGACAGCCGCATCACGTAGTTCCCGTCTAACTGGACTGTAATTGAGGCCTTCCTCCCACGTTGAAAGGTTGTTGTCACTTGTAAACAATTCCCTGACATGTGAACTACGTCCGACTTCTGCGCAGGGCGTTGTCTCTCATGGACCAATCAAAATGCAGCATTTTGATTCCTTTAGCTTCCCGTGATGTGACGTCACCGGTGTAGCTGAAAAAAGGTCCTTGTAGAATCTTGTGCAGTCGTTGATATCTTATCAACACTCTGTCTTGTCCATAGTGTATAGAGGGTTATAGCGAAAAGTGACTTGAAATACCGATGTAGGTAGGCTGGTTGCTGTGACTGTGTGACTGTTACTTCAGTCCTGAAGATAATGCAGTCGCCCTTATATACAGATGATCAGCTGACGTCTACACCTCCTCAGTGCTGCCACTTGTAGACTGCATTCATCGATCTCAATGAAGTGTCGTAAATACCCTTTTTGTGTTGAAACACACAGGTGCTTGTAGAGTTGATGGTCAACTTTGTTGTAAGTTCTACAAAGGGAGTCGTTGCTGATTTTGTAGTTTACCTCAATCTCTGGAGTCTTTATGCAGGGTCCCATGTAAAGTAGCGGGAATTCCCAAGTTTGGACTTTGGGAATATGTTGACTTTGTAACTTCATAGCCTTAGCAAGGCTGTGCTGAACCCCGCCAATGTAAATTCCTGAAGATCTGTACGCTCTCCAGAGCAGCGTTGGGACGTCTGCCTGATGACACTGGCTAGTGTATCAATGGACTTAATCATCATGACTTCCCTGGATTCCTTTGTGACTTCCTTGGCAACCTTGTCAATCTCCCCTGCAAAGATGGATGTTGTAGACCATGGAGCTCTGTACAGAGTCTTGCGGATATGGATGATAAATGCTCTGACATCAATTGGTGGTCCTTTTTCTGCGTTAGTAGGGCAGAATAAATCATCCGGTCTTCCTCTGCAGTAGAGTTCCTGAACTTGGAGATGAGCGTTTCATTACTTGCCCTGGATCTGTTAAGTCCGAAGAACATCCTTCTGGTCATAGTGTCTATCTGTGCCAGCTTTTTGTCATCAATCTTGTAAGATTTGTCCAGGTACTGTGGGATAGTCCACATCATCGTCCTTCATTAGGTACATAAAAGCTTCATTCTCTTCCTTAGAGGGTGACGCTAGGTCCAGTCCATTAGCCATCCAATATTTTATCTCTGAGTCCGAAAATATGATACCGCCATCGTCCTCTGTATCATGTCCACTGGTATAAGATCGTTGAATATCCTTTGTTGGGGATCTGCGTGGCGATCTATGTGGCGATCTACGTGGCAATCTGTGTGGGGATGAGTATGTTGAACTACGTGTAGTTCTAAGAGGCGATCTGTATGGCGACCTGCGTGGAGGTGAGCGTCTTCTAGGCCGGGATTGCCTTCCTGGCAATGTATTCCTAAGTGGTGAATCCCGTGACGACCTGCGAGGTGTTGTTGATGCCCTTGAAGATAATTCAGATGACCTTCGCGCAGGTGAGAGGTTTTGTTGAGGGTCTGAATCCCGAGACGTCTCTCTAAACCTTCTAGGCGGTTTCTTCCTTTGTGAAGTGGGTAGCCTGCGTGAAGGTTCTTCATTAGCCTCATCATCTGATGACGATCTATTTGGTTCTGAAGAGCGTGCCGTCCTGCGCGCAGGTTTGCTGACGTCATGTAGCGTAGATCTGCTCTTAGTCCTAGAGCTAGATTCTCTGGTAGGCCTCTCAGATGTATCATCAGTGTGGGGTCCTTCGTGCAGCACTGGATCCTCTCTGAGGTTGATGACTTGAGCATGAGAGCAGCCTGGCTGTCCATCATGCGAGGTTCTTTCTTGTGCGAAGCGCTTCTCCATCATCTCCATCATTTGTTGAGAGAATTGCTGCATAAAGGCCCCAGGGTTGAATGTCTGCGACGACTGTAGAGATGTCGTATCTGAGATGGTAGCGATATGGTCCAGGGATCGCTGTGCCTCATGGATCTCTGCTGTCAGTGTAGAAGGTAACTCGGACTGCGTAGAGATGGCTGCTGACGTTACCGTTGCTGAGGCCTGCTTCCTTTTCTTATGCTGTATCTCTGGGATGATCAACAACGGCTCATCATATAAGCCTCTCTCTTCCATCGGGACGATTTCGGCTGAAAAGTCCTCGTAGTCTGTGAAGAACACCCCGTAGAGCTGGTTGAAGCCTTCGGGTTGTAAGGCTTCTTCTGCGTTGAAGATGGCCTCTTTTTCTTCATATGAGTTGAGGAGTTGTCCGACGTAGAAGACCTTTTCTTCGACGTAATGGCGGACCTCATCCCACGCCATCTTCTGAGGACGCCTCCGGCAGGTCACTGGATGGAAGTATGTCGTCTGACAACGATAGACAGCTCTTTAGGGACTCAGCCGGTTAGCTATGACTTGCAAAAGTCGTCTGGATTTATCCTTAGCACGCCTAAGTACAGAGAAATAATAATTATTAAATTCAATTTGTGTTAATTGCTGACATAATTTACAGCGAGAGCTGGAAGTACATATTGTTGTGCAACTGGGCACAATAAATGCGGGTCTGCAGCAGATAACCTAAACCTACAACGAAAACAGGTTTTCATGAAATGTAAACAACTGAACAATCACGTAAAACCCGGAATAAACAGTCAAATTACTAATAAATTTCAAACCATATTGTAGAAGGATACTCCCTGAAACCTTATAAAGGTAACTTATAGGGAAATAACTAAGTTATCAAAGGATATAGTGCCGTGTTGGAGACACAGGTGCTCTCCCAACCGGCCCACTAGGCTAAGAAGGAGAGAGTGAAGAGTGGGAAGACGGGTGGCCGCTTTTCCGCCAAAACTGGAGAGGGAGACAACTCGCGTGGTGAGTAGTGATTTTACGCCTGCTCGGGAAAGGAAGGAGCTTCAAAAGGAGATACAAGTGTTCCACTAACGCTCGGGAAAGGAAGGAGACAAGCAATCCAATACATGAGTCAGGATAAGGAAAATTATAAGCTGAATGTGTGCAGAGATATTTTCAAGTAGGTGACATTTGGTGTGGAACTTGGGTTGGTGTGTTCAACTTCCTGTACTCGGAAAAGGAATCGGTTAACCTAGTCAAACTTTGTGTTTTTATTGTGGCTTTAACTATACTTATACTAATATGCAATATAAAAAATGTGTGTTGCACCACCTATATGGTAAGCACAGCTGCTTTTATACCAATATGCAACATGAAAAATGTAAGTTCTATTTTTGAATTTTCATTAACATATTTCATTATTTTATTACCCTTTGTAACATTAAATGAAACCCCGAGAACAAGAAGGGTTGTTTTTTTCCTCAGTAGTCTAAGGTAACGCTCATGCATTTGTTTCACTGTTCCAACTACTGCACGTACCCCCTTGTAATACAAACCAATACTAGTGATTTGAAACTATGATCGTTTGTTAAACAACTTTTATCCTAAGTTGAATAAAATTCTGAGATTTTAATGTTCAATTGGCAAGGTAAAATTATGAGGATTTGCAATCTTAATTTTACTTTATTTGATTTACTTGTTTGTTTAAAATGAAATTCATCGGTACGTTTTCACTGCAAACAGACAATAAGTTGTAACACACAATAAAAATTGAATACATGAATGTAAAAATATCAAAGGATTCTGACAAAATGTTGAACTAGGGATGCTGCAATGTACTTACTGGAATCTGCAGTCTTGAACAACTGAAGAGAAATCAAAATGAAATAACTTTTTCAACTGATTAATGCTAACTGGAAGTGATTGAACAGATTATACACTGCTGGAAGACTACAACATATTTATGCCATTGTTAACGTCAGGTCACAAACATACCAAACTTAGATGCAGCGTTTAAAATTCCCGCCTGCCCGACTTTTTGGACGGTCTATTTTCATCTCGGATGGTCAAATTTCAAAAGTATCCTGTCCGGTGGTCTGGTAGATATTTTAGCCCTGAGAGTAAATATTTCATAATATCAGACAGGTTTTCATGTCGTCAGTTTGAGGTGTTAAAGGTATTATGAAAATTATGTTAAACTACATACGATTGTACAGTTCATGTTACGATAACCAATCATAACACATGTACTTTCAGTTTACCCAAACTCGGCGCATTGCCTGTTAGTGCTATGTAGTTCATTGCCATGCCTACAAACAGTGAATGAAGCTTGCGCGAGTTGGAAATGGCAGTCACAGTTTTTTATTGTTGAAAACCGGACAGGCAAGTTTGTTTCCGGGCTGGTAATTTTTTAAAGTTACCAGTCCAGCTGTCTGGCTTGGAATTTGGGGAGTTTTAAACACTGTTAGATACAGTTTCACAGGCTGTTCATCCCTGCACCACTATGACTGCTTTCTGGAACAGGGACCACTTGCACAAAGCGATCGTATAACTCTCTTCAGTCTATGTGAGAGATGGGAGTCATAATAATTGTAGCACTAACATTGGTTTGTGCCAGTGGTCTCAGGGCCCTTGCCCTGTGTTCGATAATGCAATGTTGCCACAACTGTCATAACTCCCAAATTTTGGTTTAGCACAGGCATATAACACTCATATATTTTGAGGAACAATGTCCTGATTGCTGATGACAACACTAACAGTATAATATACTGATCAAACTGATATGAGGGAATGAGTGAGTGAGTGCGTCCTGATGACAACACTAACAGTATAATATACTGATCAAACTGATATGAGGGAATGAGTGAGTGAGTGAGTTTAGTTCTACTCTGCACTCAGCAATATTCCAGCTATATGGAGGCAGTCTGTAAATAATCGAGTCTGGACCAGACAATCAACTGCATGAGCATCTATCTACGTAATTGGGAACCAATGACATGTGTCAACCCAGTCGGCGAGCCTGACCACCCGATCCCGTTAGTCGCCTCTTACGACAAGCATGGGTTACTGAAGATCAATATTCTAACCCGGGCCTTCACGGGTATGAAGGAATGAACAGAGACCACCAGTGAAATGTGTGTTTTGTTCAAACGACTGCTGTGTGAATTTACAATTTCCTCAAATTCATTTCAAGATCAAACGTCAACTAAAACCTTCACCCAATAACATCCCTTGTATGAACTGTTGTGATAATCATCTTGAAATCGTACTTTGCAACTGTCAGTGGTCCTGGGACTTCCCTAGAGATGGACCCTTGTTGGCGGCCATCTTGGTTGTAGACAGTGCCCTCTAGTATACTTAACCAGTCCTGCTTTATTTCATCCATCATTCGATCAGCCTCATCGATCACCTGTACATGGGACAAGTTTTCAAAAGAGTGAGTGAGTGAGTATGGTTTTACGCCGCTTTTAGCAATATTCGAGCAATATCACGGCGGGGGACACCAGAAATGGGCTTCACACGTTGTACCCATGTGGGCAATCGAACCCGGGTCTTCGGCTTGACGAGCCAACGCTTTAACTACTAGGCTATCCCACCGCCCCTTTCCAAAAGAGACATCAATCTGAATATGGTCTTATCTGCCATTCAATAATCAATCACATGACATGAAACAAACAACTATTCATGTTTATTCATAAGCAAGATCAGATCTATTTTTCTGCCTAATCAAAGACGATATTGTTCAAATTATCCAGTATATTGTGCTATGTCTTAAACTGGGACAATGTGTCTGTGCAATTATCACTTGGCTTTTACTTGTAGTCTCCACTACACTGATCTAAATTTATAAAATCAGGTTGGCAAATACACTCCATTCAGGTATCAATTCTTCAGTCTGTTCTGCCATCACAATAAACCCCATTCCCTCTAAGGGACCGTTCATAATTTATGGCTGGGGTGGGGGTAGGGGTGATGATGATTTTAAGGGGGGGTCACCCATTTAGTTCTGGCGAGCTATGGGGGTCATCAATTTTGTACACACGTACTAGGGGGGTTCCATCAATTTTGTACAGATAAATATGTTTGAAATTATGCTTAGAAATTATGGGTATGAGAGGGGGGGAAAATTGTTGACATGCAGGGGGGTCACTTTTAAATTTTAGGGGGTCATTCACATTGTACATGATTCTCCATAAAAATCATCATCACACCACCACACACCCCAGCCATAAATTATGAATGGTCCCTAAATACCTGAAACTTAGTGCTTGAAATACATATCTTAATCTCTGTTAAACATGCTCCTTACCCTAAACAACACATCTGTATTTTGATATTACTAATCAGGTAATTCTGACATCCAGTGACATCAAGTTTAAGGCCTTCAGCAACACATTGTGCAGACAAAGATTGGATCAGTATTTACAATTCCAACTTACCAAAAATCTCAGCTGAGAAAGATCAAAGCCTTCAGTGTTTGTGATGTGGTCCACAAGTCGTCCTGGTGTTGCCACGACGATATCCACTAAGCTGATGTGACCACGCAATCTGCACAGACATTTAGTGGATGATAAAACTGAATGATATTTCAAGGCACAATACACAGAATGAGATTTCATTGAATAATCATCCACCTAATTTCACCACTGCAACAACTTTGCTTTTTAAAGACCTTCATAACGCCTTTGAACATATGTTGAATTTATTCAATCTGGCAAACAGATTGTTACCAAAGTTTGGTAAGAAATGTTAGTTTGAATATCAAATATAGATTTACATCTGAAGTGAGTGGTTATTCAAGTCATGTCACAACAAGAGAAACTAGTACTAGGCATCACACAATGAAAACCATCCTCTATAATCTCCAGGGTATACGTTATGATCACTCTCCACTATACCCTGGATGCATCTATGGCTTGGCCCGATGATTTTATTACCTCCCTTGGCTGGCTTTTTATCCAATCAGGTGTCTATGCTGGGAAGTTGAGCGAACCAATCACAACTCACTTTCACTTCTTAAATTATCTAACCGTTTAAACTTAGCAACACAATTGATGCAGAGGTATTCTGAAAGAGGTAGAAGGAGTTCTTTTATATATTTTTTGAAAGTTTCAGATCTGTCAATTTGTCTGTATTATTTCTTCAGAAATCTGAGTGGCACTGCGAACAAACCTTCGTGACTGCGACTGCTATGTTTGTTGACACTGGCAAGCTCGGATGTAACTGCGGCTTATCTGATTGGCTACTGTCAGAATGCGGAGGCAGCCAAGGGAGGTAATAAAATCATCGGGCCAAGCCGTGGATGCATCCAAGGTATAGTGGAGAGTGATCGTAACGTATACGCTGGAGATTATCGAGGATGGTTTTCATTGTGTGATGCCTAGTACTAGTTTCTCTTGTTGTGACATGACTTGAACAATATGATAAGAATGGAACCTCAACTTTTCAGTCTGTAAATTTCTTAGTCTGGACCAGACAATTCAGTGATTGACATCATGATCTAAACAATAGGGGATGTTAACCAAGTCAGCGAGCCTGACCACCCGTTAATCGCCTGTTACGACAAGCATGGGTTACTGAAGATCAGTGAACACACCAGTCCTTCAATAAGTCAAACAAATAATACTTTACAAAAGATGAATAGGCAGGACAATACATCACCATGGTTACATGTTGGCATGTTCCATATATGACACAAGAGGTGGAGAGCTTACTAGTGTATCATCCATTGCCTCACTGAACTTACTTCTTCATGACAAGAGTCTGCTGTTCACTGACGAGAGTCTTCTGACCAACAGCAAGCCCCACCTGTCACAAACAACAAGTCTGTTCTTACAGCACTAGAACAATTGGATCCTGGCTACTCAGAAGCTATATTTTTAGATGGTGAAGGACGTAAGAATATATGGAGTGTAAATCTGAGCAATTACTAATGGATTCATTGACACCCTTCTTATGTCTTAGTGAGTGAGTGAGTGAGTGAGTGAGTATGATTTTACGTCGCTTTTAGCAATATCCCAGCAATATCCACGGTGGGGACACCAGAAATGGGCTTCACTCATTGTAGCCATGTGGGGAATCGAACCCGGGCATTCGGCATGACGAGCCAACGCCTTAACTACTGGGCTTCCCCACTGACCCATTTTACAACCCACTAACAATCATTCAGCATTTTAGGCATATTCTTCAATGCTTCCTGCTGACTGGTCAATCATGGCCAACACCCTGTCACTACAGCCTACATCCCCTTACCTTGAGATCTGTGCCTTGGACATAGGACTGGAACACCTTGTAGACTTGGACAGCCAGATCCTTGACCGGAAGCACCACCACAGCCCGTACTCTACGCACCACTCTTGGTTTCAGGGCCTTAATAAAGGATTTATTGATTGGAAGTTCATTGACTCAAAAGCACCATGCCATAACAATCAGTAACAAAATTAGTTGTCCTATATGTTTATACACAATAGTTTCATGTCTTGACCAGGCATTAATCAACTTTTTGCTAAATATGAACTAGGACGATCTCTTAAAAGCTGACACTACATCTTCTGATTATTTTTAATTTGAATCATAACAATGTTAACAAGTTAAAATGTGTCTGTGGCAGTGTGCGAAATTTACGCTGGTCCTGTGGTCCCTGGCTAGTAAAAATTCATCAGGTCCACTAAATACTAAGTTTGCAGTGGTCCTGGTGGCCAGTGAATTTTGTATTGATAGTAAATCTATGAATGTTATTTTGGACCAGTGAACAGTGAAGTACAGACAGGACCACTAATTATTGTCCACTTACTGGTCCTATGGTCTAGTGGGAAATTTTGAAAGGTTTTTTTTTCTTGCTGTGGTGATGAATAATTAAATTTGTATCAATATTAATTAATTTATTGATACACTATTGACAATGACTGACATTTTGACGGTCAAAGTCAGCTAACCCTCTTGCCTTTGAAACATGGACAATATAGAAGTCCTAAAAATCTGTTGGTCTGAAGAAATATTACTGCCCCCATAACAGGCATGAAAATATTGACTGCAGTCAGTTTTTTCTTTCCTACATAAGCATATATACCCTCAAAGACAACTGATAAACAGTCCACAGCATTTATTGGTTGCTGAAGTACAACGCCACACCTACCTGAACAATGGGGAGTACAAAGGCCAGCGTCTTCCCACTACCTGTTGGTGCAGACACACAAATATCATTGGGTCGGTATCCACCTGACCCTACTAGCCAGCCATGTTTGATGACCTTGAGGACTTGCGGAATGACTTGCATCTGCACTGATAGAACAGAGCAAGTCTGTAGTTGGTTAAAGGACATTCAGAGATTTTTGGTTGGATGGTTGGTTTGTTGCTTAATGCTGCTCTCAGCAATATTCCAGCGGTCAGTAAATAAGCGAGTCTGGACCAGACAATCCAGTGATCAACAGCATGAGCATTATTGATCTATGATTGGGATACGAAGCAAGCCTGACCACCCGATCCTGTTAGTCACCTTTTACAACAAGCACGGGTTGCTGAAGACCTTCTCCGTTCATTTAGAGATTTAATCAGTATACAGGTGTATTAAGAAATATAGGAGATGAGTGTGAGTTAAGTTCAACACTGTAGCGTGGGAGAAACGTCAGGAGGGATGCAGGCCTGTATGTGTTCTGTGACTGTTCACCACCTTGATGAGATCCAGAAGCATAGGCATGGTGCAGACAAACCTTAAAGCATAATTCGAATTCAAACCCATCATATACTCCCCATCAAAAGTTTAGACTCACCTAAAGCACTCACTATATGTTATGTATATATATATGGTTACATCAAAAATGAATTTCTTCTCTAACTTGGGGGAACCAACTGCAAACCTTATGCAGATGAAATGTACGAGGATCATGCATCAAATTGCTGAAAAGCATGTGCAAATATTGTTCATGTGAACAGCTGCGTTTTGGTGTAAAGTTTTGTTAATAATTCGTCAATTTTCACTGATTTTCATCATTTACTGAACTCACGACAATAATCTTTTAAACGTTACAAATTATTTTTTCAATACATTAGTTCATAAGAAAAGAGTACCTTTAAACTGAATGGAATATTTGCAAAATCAAGTTTAGAACAGTTGACTGAAGTAAGTGGCGACATTTACCATTGTTTACACTAGTGAGTCTAAACCTTTGATGGGTAGTATAGATTTCTGGTGTTCCCAAGTGATGCAAACGAATTATGACCAGAAAACTCTGCCCCCCATCCCCCTTTAGAATCTGAATCACTGTTATCAATGGTTATGTGTACATAAGAGTGAGTGAGTTTAGTTTTATGCAGCACTCCACAATATTCCAGCTGTATAGCGACGGCAGTACATAAGACATAATTCATCCAATTCGGTACTAAATACCAGCAATATCATGGCAGGGGACACCATAAATAGGCTTCGCACATTGCACCCATGTGGGGAATCGAACATGGGCCCTCGGTGTGACGAGTGAACACTTTAACCACTAGGCTACCCCACCGCCCCTACTACTATAAATTGACTGCACAGTAAAACTGGGAGTTTGTCACTGTTTAATATAATCAGATAATGGATACTAATTCCTTTCACCCTTGTGTGTCGAAAACAAACAAGAAAATGAAATACAAATGTATTCCTGCTGGACTTAAAAATGATAGAAAGGTTTTCCCAAAAGCAACTGCTCACTCTCAAATTGTTCCAAATTTCTTCAAGCATATACCGGTATATATGTGCTTGAAACTTAAAATAAATTTTTGAACAAGTTGAGAGAATGACATTTTAGGTTTGTCAGAACCAAAGATGTGTGCTTCAAACTTAAATGTATTTTTGGAACAATTTGAGAGAGTGCACCACCTGTTGGAAAAGATCTATGAATGCAGAAAAATAGAAAGTGTAGTTATTTTTTTGTTACCTGGGAAGAAATGCGATATCTTGTTCTCAGCTAGCCTTTCAACCAGGTGTGGATCTAGGCCGACCATCTCGTTGATTGGAAGACGCTTGTGTCGCAAGTCTGCACTGATAACATCAGGACTAGAGAGCCAGTCAGGCAATACTCTCAGTACCTGCAACCGTTATAACAGATATGTTATGTGTGACAGAACCAGTGGAGTGCTACTTTCATGATCTTCGGCCATCTGTACGGCGGCAATTGGCCAGACCAGAGACTAGAGTTGAAGACAGAGAACAGATCATACAAGCACACTGTATAATGAGTTTTCAACTTGATCAGTTGTGTTGATGTTGATATTCAATATATGGTCATAGTGCTTAGGGACTTAGTCAGACTTAGACCAGGATGTCAGACCAACCAACCCACCTCACCCAAAATGAACTTACTTGTTCTTTCTGTTTCTTCTTGAAATCTCCAAGTACAGTGAATCCTCCGATTTCCTGTCCTCCTTCCCCCAATGGCACCATGGTAACAGGATCAGCTTCCTTTTTCTCCTGCTCTTCCTCTTCTCCATCTGTATCCTCATCCTGGTCCATCGTCTCGTGCTTCTTTGTTACAGTCTCTACTTTACTCGCTGACACATCAGAATCACTATCATTCTCTTCCTTACTCAATCTTTTCTTCTTCTTGTGTTTCTTTGTTTTCGTAACTTCATTACCATCTTCCTCTTCTGACAATTCTTTCACTTTAACTTTCTTCTTTTTCTTTTTATGTTTTGTAACTGAGTCTGTTTCATCCACAATATCACTCCCAGAATTTTTCCTGTCTTTGTCCTTTTTCTTCTTCTTTTTCTTTACCACATCGTCTTCTACTTGTGTTTCACTGACTCTGTGTTTCCGCTTTCCCTTAGCACTAACATCTTCATTCTGAAAGGTTTTACTCCTTCGTCTTGCTTCGGCCTGAGCCTGGAGTCGAGCTAGAATGTCCTGGGCCTTGCCTGCTGTTTCCTGGCGTTCTTCTTCATCATCTTCATCTCCCATAAACCTGAAACATTCAGCAAAGGTAAATGACAGAAATGACGAGTGTAAAGCTGTTGTGATTTCTTTTAATCATTTTAATTAATGGAAAATAAGGTATAGGAGTTGGAGGAAAGGATGCTCACAGTGAATCTCATGAGTGCAGTGATTGAAATAGTGCTTAATTTGTGTGCCATGGCAAAGTAAACATAGAAATGGCATGGATTCTGATTTTGGCTAGGGTATGTTTCTGTATCATGTGTATACAGAAATGTACCTGGGTGCCGTTCCACTAACCGATCTTATCTAAGATCAATCTTAGCAAGTTACACCAATTTTACAATCGTCTTAGCTAAAAGTTACACCGTTCCACTAACCGAACTTAGGCCGATCTCAATTTTACGATCCCATTCAACCTTAGATCGAGACTCTTTCGTGCGAGAGATAGAGAAAAGCGAGGAAGTAGGATATTGGAACCAAGTGTAAACGTGGAGAAAAAAACCTCGAGGAAAATATTATGGTTGTGACCACCATGGTTTCAGGGGCAATTAAGTGGGTGTGAATGCTTCTACCTCGCCACAAGCACATCATCTGATCTGATAACGTATCTAGAATATAGTCTAGTCAGTGGTCTTGAAAAACACGCAGCCTGCCTTAAAATTTAGAATCCTCTACCAAATAAGCGCACATGAAATCAAACATATTTGTATCTTTTTGTTTCAGAACATTGTTCACTTCACGACGCGTCCCTGTTCTTAACCATGTCGGCTGTGTTGCGACAGTGGTCAGACTGGCCTCACATTTGTAAGGCTTCCGTGCAGTGTTTGTTTACATCACAGAATTAACAAATTCATTTCATGGTTGGTAAAGAATTAGGGGACGCTCTTCTTCTTCTTCATATAGACTATGAAAGCCACCACTTTGGTTTCTCTACGATTAATTTTAGCTATCCTAAGTTGGCCATGAGCAACTTAGACTTTGGATCTTAACTTTACTATTGACTTGGGTAAGATTGGTTAGTGGAACGGTAAGCCGATCGTAACGTCACGCTAAGATTGGGATTTTAGTGTTTTACGATTGGCGTAGGGCTAAGATCGGTTGGTGCAACGGCACCCTGGGGGTTTTGTACCCCTAGGGTACCCGTGCTGACAACGACCCATTCAGCGAAATCAAAACAGCAAAATGAGCTCTGTAATCTTACCGATTGACAGCGAAGAGAGACATGGCGTGGATTCTTGTCTGAATACAAAAATTTAATTAAAACTAAAAAACCAGGTTGTAATGTGGCTAGTTGTCCTCGGCACTTCGTGTGTTTCCAAAAATTCCGCATGCCCTCATGGGCGCAGACATTTTGCATGACGAATTGTGGGAAATTGTCGTCCAATCATATTTCGACAAATTTCTTGGGAAGATCTAAAACTAAAAGACGTATTTGGAATACTAAGCATATTTCCTTTTCACTTAATTCTTAAAAGAACAGATCTAATTACTTATTATAATTATAATAGACATGGGTACCTTAAGATGATATGAAAGTTGAAAATCATGATATGCATTCACTGATACTAATAAACATAAAGTATATTCCATTTCCGTGGCTTTGCGCGATTGAATCTTTTCGTAGCTTCTTGACGTATTGAATCACTTCCGGTTTCAACATGGCAGAATGGCTGTCAAGTTGCGCCGAGAAACAATTTTCCACCCATTGTAAACATCTAAAGAAGATGTATTCATCTGGACTAATGTCAAAAACTTTTATTATATTTCTTCTGCTGTCCGGAGTTGGTGTCGCTTACTTTGTGACTAATATACCCCGTCTGATGACCATCTTCGTTCTCATTAAAAAGCAGCTGTCAACTTCTCAGACACAGCTGCGATCACCTTCTATCTCCTTCATGCCACCGGAAACATCGCTAGTTCTACGACCGAAAAACAAACTGACGATTAGCCCAGGTAAGTTACACGTGTTTTGACAATAGGTCCAGTTTCTCACAGTAATTTTTTCTGTTGACATGGTTGAGTTTTGGAAAGTAAAATATTCTTAGTCACATTTAAGAAGAGAGTGAAAGTAAAACAACAGATTCCAACGTCTGTACCAATGGTTGGCTTGAAACAAGGGGATAGGTGGCAAATGAGGTAACTATGGCTAGACAGTAGACTGCCAACACTTGGCTATGTTTACAAGGGAAATGTTATCACACTTACCGAATATAGCGCTCAATGGGTAGGTGTCGGTACAGGTACTGCAGATGTGTTACCCCAGGTTTGTTTCTGAATACAGATGTGTACCCTAAACAAAACAAAGATAAGATTTCCTTACGTACCCCCCACCTAATTTATTTAAAAAATACAAAGATATACAAGTAATGAAAAGTGCATTATAAAATAGGTGGGAGTACGTAAGGAACTCTTTCCACCGTATGTAGTAAGGCTGTAACGATGCATTGAACTATCGATGGTTTGCGGTTGTTGAGTCTCCGATAGCAATTAATTGATGGGAGAAATGAAAAACTGTCGATGCATCGATGTGTGACTGTCGATAGTTTAGTACTTGACTTCCGTTGATAAATGTGCAGCGCAAAATAAGAGGAAGTACAAGAGTTATCTGCCCCTGCAGACTTGCAGCTTCATTCAGTTTATCATGTTTATGGTTTAACTGTTTACTTGATCTGGATTTCAAGTTTGTTGTCAGTTATTAAAAGAGGCTGAAACTACTTCAACTTGTCTTTATTTCATATAAACTATACATTAATTTGGGAAATGACCTCAAATGAGACAATTCAAGGAGAAAAAAACTATTGCAGTAGTTGGTTGCAATGGATTATCACTATGGCAATAGTATGTTGCAATAGACTATCACTATTGCAATAGTTGTTCCCCCCTCAATAGTCACCCCTAGTATGTAGTTGTTCCCAATCAAGAACACTGCAAGTGGTATTGTGCAACTATTTGTTACTGTAAATGCTCATATCTTACATAATGCAAATCAAATGTATCTAATACAACAGTATGATGATTCTGCAGTATGATGATAATTCAAATCAAATGTATCTAATACAACAGTATGATGATTCTGATCATCAACTTTTTGTTTATTGCATAGTCTTATGCTTCAATATTTACTCACCAACTTCTATAATGCAATCATATGATTTGAACTCTTCACCATTTGATCAACACCTGTATAAAGATGCTTCAGCAAATGTCCACAATCACATGTATGAACAGTGCTGCATCCGTGCAAGTTGCTCTTCATATCTTTCAAACATGCCTGCCATTGTCTGTTAATCAACATTATTTATAGTTTGGTTTCGTTTGATTACTTTTGATAACCATAGGAAACATTTGCCAATAGACATGATCACCCTTATTCACAACATAACAACTAGCCCTATGTTTAGGATTGTAAAACAGTGAGATCCAGGTGCTCACAGGCTTGAAATATGTTTTGGTTTTGTTCATATTTTTTGGATATATTTATTGTCTGTTGGACTATGTCTCAGTTATAAGTGTATTATGTGGTGCTGTTATTGGCATACAACATGCGATACGATACATCACGATGCTAAAATTTTAGTCATGACGATATTGGTTTTGTTCATATTTTTTGGATATATTTATTGTCTGTTGGACTATGTCTCAGTTATAAGTGTATTATATTTTGTGCACTTAAATTCCGATACGATACGAATCCCGATACAAGGGTGGCGATAAGATATGTATCACGATACTAAAGTCTTAAATTCTAACACCAACTATAAAACACCTTAAGATAAAAACAAAACTATTTCAAAGTATTTTGTCAAATTCCACCAGAGTTTTTCAATGTTCATTGGAAATGAGATAATTAAGTTTATACACAGACTTTGTGAATGTTAATAAAATGCGAGAGCTATGTTTGACACAGTTCCTGATGCAAGAATTTCCGAGAAACTTATGAAGGGAAAATAAGTATGCATATATTTTAATCATCAAACAAAAGTAAATCTTTCTTTACAGATATCGCGATTCGGCAATGTTCAAAGTAAAACATCGATGTATCATGACCCATTTGAAGTATCATATCGGGATATACGACTGTGTAAAACTTTGTATCGATTCAGTGTATTGGTGGTCCATGGATTGATGCATCGATGCGTATCGATGAATCGCCACACCACTAATATTATGACTTACACTGATATGTCTTTTTCCAGAGGTCCAAAAGGAGGCTGTGGCAGCACTGACAGTGGCCCTGGATCTTCAGTCTCAAGGGAAAACTGACAAAGCCATAAAAGTCTTCCAACACGCTCTGGCTCTTGACCCATTACATGCTGACATCCTAACAGCCTATGGGGAATTCGTGGAACAGCATGAAAATGACGTAGTCAAAGCTGACCATCTGTACAGAAAAGCTCTCCATGCTCATCCAGAACATGAAAAGGCACTGGACAACCGACGCAGAACACAACCAGTTGTAGAAGAAATTGACCAAAGAACTTTCAACAGAATCGATCAGAAACGGGATAAACTGTATCGTGTGCCTCCAAATCATCCCGGGTTACGACGAGCTAAAAAAGAGTCCTATTTCTATCATATATATCATTCTAATGCTATAGAAGGAAATACTCTCACATTAGCACAGACTAGGTCAATTGTAGAGACCCGTATAGCTGTGGGAGGGAAGAGTTTGGCAGAGCAGAACGAGGTCTTGGGTCTCGATGCTGCTCTAAGTTTCATAAACAGTACTCTACTTGGTCGTGTAGGGCAGTTGTGTTTAGAGGATTTATTAGACATTCATCGTCGTGTCCTCGGATATGTTGATCCTACGGAAGCAGGGAGAATCCGAAAAACTCAGGTGTTTGTAGGAGATTTTCAACCCCCTTCACCCCAAGATGTGCCAATGTTAATGAACCAATTTGTAGATTGGTTGAATTCAGAGGATTCATTAGAGCTCCATCCAATAGAATTTGCTGCTCTTGCACATTACAAACTTGTAATAATTCACCCATTTTATGATGGCAATGGGAGGACTTCAAGGTTGTTGATGAATCTGATTCTGATGCAGGCAGGATTTCCACCTGTGACAGTGAAGGTGGAGGACCGTCTGACATATTATGAGACAATTCAGATGGGGAACGAGGGTGATATTCATCCTTTTATTCGTTTTATGGCTGAAAGTACTGAGAGAACTTTGGATGAGTTTATATTATCTGCAATAGAGAATCCTGTATATCATTCTCATCAAATAAATCAGACCAGCAATAAAGGACGTGTTATCGACATGGATGAAGATGATGACGAAGATGATGACTATGATGATGATGAAGATAATGGAAGTGATGGGCAGGACATGGAGGAGGAAAGTGATGATTGAAAGGAAGATCACCAAGATATTTATTACATTATGATCAGATGATGATTATTAATATTGTTTGGAAGATGCTATATTAGAATCAATAGATATAAAGAATCTGCACCAAAAGTGATACTTGTGTATAACAGGAGAATAGTGAAAATAGAGTGATTGTTTTAAGTTTTGATGTAATTATTGTGATTATGGTTCAATTCATCAAAATAATTTTAGTTACCTGTTTCTTTCAAATATATTAACATGATATTATGAGTCAACATCAGGGATGTGAGATATTTGGGATTTCACTAGGTGTTATACAAATCATTCATATAATTTGCACATTGCTGCAAATTTGAGTGACCATAGTCAGGTTAACCTTTTTCATGACGATGACTGGAATATTTTCAGTTTATTAAATATATTTACTCTAATGTTAGCTTGTTCTGTATGATCATACTTTAGCATTTTAGTGATCGGGTTAAAGCTTGAAGGGGTATTTGTCAAAATCCTAATATTAAAATCAAAAGACAAAGAGGTCCTTGTGTTCAATTCCTGTACTGTAGAAGATTAAGTATCTGAAGACTGAGTGTATGCCATCATATTGTATCACTGAGTTGAAGACTTGGTATATTTGTCTGAAAGTACCATGTTGAAAATTAACTTGGCACAATTCTATAGAGGTCAACACAGATTAACATGAATTGACTTATCAGTCATCTCACATACAGACGTGATGCTCTTCTCTCATTTGTCTCTCATCAAAAAAACTTATGCTTATATTAAAAATATAAGGTTTGGCATACTTATCTGATCAAAATGGTACCATGGTTGTCACAAACTAAAATATTTAGTGTACCTTATCATCAGTCTTCTGCCTGTTTTGTTCAGTAGTTTGGAAACATGATAGTCTCCACACTAGTTTTAACAATATTGGGTAAATGTTTTGTTGAAAACTTAGCATGATACATTTTGTTGTTTTTGTGATATATATCTGAAGTAATGATGTTGACACTATTTATGTATTTATTTGTCTTCAACAAGTGCTTTTGTACATGTGTGTTTCATGTCCACCACTGAGCTGTGGAAAGGTTAGGATCATGATGAATATGTGGTGGAGCTTTGTAAAGTTGATGTGATGCACGCATGTCTTCAGTAAAATAAGCAATGCCTGGCCCAGTCCGGGGAAAAGTGAGTCCTTTTGAACGAGGGCTTCCTGTAATAGGCATACTGATGAAAACCAAATGTGTACACTAGGGCTGATGTGATTCACTTATTTATTTGGTGAATTAGTTTGTATCCCTGATTTCGATTCTTTATTCGCAAATTGAATATTCCTGAACATTTCCAGAGTTGTTTACTTGAGTTTGCAAAAGGGAATGTATCCAAGCCAGGTCAGATAATATACTATTATTAGTCAACAGTCAATCTGTCAGTCTGTCTGTCAGTAATGTGATCAGTGTTCATTGTTAAAAACTCACACTATCAACATAGTCAAAACATTTCAAATAATTATTTTGTCATTGTTTCACTCTCTATATTTGCAAATACATCACCAGCTTTTTTGTTATTGTATTCATTGCCCAATATTCATACTTGTTTTCCAATATTCATGATATGAATCATATTCACCTCATAGTGGAATCATTGCAGCCCTGGTGAACACACTTGAATTAGAAATACCCACTCACATGGCAAACATGACACGATCCTCATTTGGAAATGATAGTGAGTGAGTTTAGTTTTGTCGGCTTTTAGCAATATTCCAGCAATATCACTGTGGGGGACACCAGAAATGGGCTTCACACATGTGGGGAATCGAACCCAGGTCTTCAGCGTGACTGGTGAACGTTGTAACCACTAGGCCACCCCGCCACCCTAGAAATGATAGGAACCTGGTATATTTATAACACAACACAGTAAGTCACACAGACTGCAACAAATCGAGGTTCATGCTCGTGTCTGCCCCAGAACTTGCTGGCTGTCAATAAGCTTCTAGAAGAATTAAATGTTTTTAAAAAAATATTTTGTTCTTGATGCCAGTGAAAAATCTAAACATGCCAAAGAAAATCAATTAGTCTTGCCATATTTATAATCATAATAATCAAAATACATGAATACTTGTGTATCTGACATGTCTGATGGCACAGCTGTTTAATTCTAGTAGTGGTAGAATGTGTCACTGTACCAGTATCAGTTGTTATAACCAACCTCGGAAAACATGACTTATGTTTTGTTGTGCCCAAGGTTTTTGAGTACATGATGTGTATTTTTGCCAAACTGATTTGCTGTTTTAGTTTCACATCCCTGCAAAGGATTATTTACTTTGTGCATGAAGAATGTGATGTTGAAGTTAAGTGATGTATCACCTTCGTGTTCTTGGAGCATAGATCTGTTACATAGGATGTGGGGACAAGGTTAACAAATGTGTGCATAAATATAAGGTAAAGGGTAAATATAACATAGACATTTGGGCTTAGGATTATAATAATTATAATTTCTTGAAATATTGTTCGCTGGGTATGTGGTATTTGGAATGAATTATGTGAGCAATGTGTAGTGTGAATGTTACTCTGCTTCCTTTCATAATTAATTTTAAGTTACTAAAAGGCCATGTTTACGTTTTTGAATTTCTAAGGTAAAATTCTTATAGGGTATGTTTCACACATTATCAGTCCATTGCTCTTCATCAGTCAGAATTCCCTGTGCTGAGTTGCTTCCCTTAGATGTGCAAGGATCCAGTGATAGTAGGTTTGAATTAAAACTCTACTTGCTTTTGATCTTTGGTTTGTGGGCTCCAATGCACTGCTTATGTGACAGAAATGTTGCACAGCCGACATCTGTATAACATTTGTGGATAATTCTCTTGTTTCTTTCTAACAGGTTGTGATATGACTATGATAACTTAAATATTAAGACAGCTTAATTACATTGTTTATCGTGAGTATTGTTGCCATCCATGTGATGTGACCCTAAAATAATAATACACTCCACTATGTCCAGATGCAAATGTGCCCATGAAGATCTGGATTAGAATTGGCCTTCAGCAACCCAGGTTTATCGTAAGACACGGCTAACAGGATTGGGTGGTCAGGATCTTTGACTAGGTTGATGCATGTCATTGTATCCCAGTTCTGTATACCGATGCTCATGCTGTTGATCACTGGATTGTCTGGTCCAGACTGGATTGTTTACAAACTGCCGTCATATGGCTGGAAAATAGCTCAGTTAGGCACTAAACAACATAGACACAATAGATACAAATATGTCGCTATATTAATTCAAGCAAGTTACATTCACATACGTTGCATTAGTTTCATGAATGACAGTATCTCGCAGAATATTGGTGAATGAACTCAGAGCCTTATGCTTGGGAACAGGGCCTATTGTGACTGTAAGATGGTATATAATAATAATACTAAAAACTTGTATAGTGCTAAGTAGTGGTGGTCCGATTCATGGAAATATGATGAAGCTTGGTCGCAGTGACTAAACGACCAAGCAATCGATCATGATTTCACATAATCTAACACAAACAATTTGGGGTCACTTGTTTGCATTAACAATAAATTTACAAGGTTGGCTTTGTCTGTTACATTTCATAAGTACTACAAGCTTGTTCCAAGTCATGAGTGAATTCATCTTAAAGACTCCTGGAAATTTATCTCCCTAACATACTAGTCATCCTTTAAAGATGTGAAATTTGCAAATGCATGTATTGAAATTTGCTCAAAAAGCCGAAAGAACTACATGTTTTTTCTTTATTTTTTGTGCATTAACAAACATAACCAGGAAAATTTGATGCATGGCGGTAACCAATTATGTTCGATGATTGATCGGTTGTAATGAACCAGTTATCAATTATGAGATTTTAACCAATTCCATGTCCAACCACTAAGTGTCTGCTCAAAGTGCTACAAAGTAATGTTTGAGTAGAGTTAATAGTGCAGTGAAAAGATGCGTTTTAAGATGTGATTTGATTTCATATATGTGTTCAGTATGGTATTATATTACTCAATTTACTGTGCAAATATTTCTGTTGAATGATTGTAATGTTCAAAATGGAAAGATGTTACAAATAACTGACAGATAAAACAGGTCAGCAGTCTGTCAATACAAACAAATGTATGAAACCTATGTATCCATTGTTCTGAAATCCACAAAATCCAGTGCCATGTTTACTTCGGCAGAGATTTCATTTGTTTATGTAAATGAGTTATTCTAATGATGTCTGATATATGCTCTGTTGGAAGCTGATGTGTTATACAGAACTGGTTGTATGTTCAACATGAAGAAGTATAATACAACAGTACAGTGTAATACAATAGTACAATACAATAGTACAATACATGAGTAATGAGACTCTAGTATGACTATCTTACCTGCCTGGACTACATGGGTGTTTTAACAGGCAAGAAAACATGTGCTTGTGATTTCTTCTATCCCAGCACTTTGGTTGCTTCCTAAATATTTTATCATGTCTGTGACTAGTTGTCAAGGAAACATATCTCTGCATATACTAAATAAATACTGGTGAACAGAACAGCATTGACTTACACAGAGCTATGTGTGTTTAGTGCATGTTTTAAGACATCCAGGTATTTGTTTATCTGTTGTGTTAGTTTTATCTGTCTTGTCAACTGGCGTATCAGTTTATCTTTTGTGTTAATAAGGGGATGCTGAATAAGAAAGATATCAAGACATCAACGATTCAGGGTCCCTGCTGTTTTTAACTGTCAACGTAATCAGATCTAGCAGTTTCTAGGGATATATAAAAAGATTTAAATTAAATGTCCATACTAGACAAGTTGGGGAAAAAAGTTTGTTTCTCTAGAAAAAAGTTTGTTTCTCTAGAAGGATCATGTTATCAGTCACCTCATGGCTATGTGGCTGAAAAGATGATGTTTTTATTTGATCTCAAAGTCAATATCCATGTTTTTGAAATGTTTCTTTTTCAGTTATTTGTTTCTGTTTAGATAAAACTCTTGAAATAATAGTTCAAAGTTACTTTAGAAATTGCATGTAACAGAATATGTTATTTTACTATTTTCTAGTGTTTTCCAAATCCAGAAAGATATTTGTAAACATGCAAAAAACAATAATTTGGCAGATGACAGCTGTATCTTTGCCTTGTGTGGTGGTATGAGGTACCACGTCTTAATACCTCTGTGAGGTGTGTGTGTATAGTGTCTGTGATGAATGGCTGGTGACTGTACTCAGCTGCAGTTGGTCTGATATTCTGTGATCTACAAATGTTATTTATTTAATGAAGTATATTTTGTGGTTTAATTGTTGTTGTTGTTTGTGATTTCCCATGAAGATTAACCGACGGAATTGGTCCCGGGTTTACAAGAGTGGATTAAAGTGAGTGAGTATGGTTTTATGCTGTGTTTGGCAATAATCCTGCAATATTGCCGCTGGGTGCAGCTAAAATGGGGGGATTCATACATTTTACCCATGATGGGAATTGAACCTGGATTTCAAGTGTGACAAGCAAATGCTTTAACCATTAGGCTACCCTACCTCCCTGGATTTAAATGAGAATTGGGTGTTTATAATGTGTGACTTGGAAGACTGACTGGCTGAGTTTGGTTTTATGCCGCTTTTAGCAATATTCCAGCAACATCACGGCGGGGGACACCAGAAATAGGCTTTATACATTGTACCCATGTGGGGATTCGAACCCGGGTCTTCGGCGGGACGAGCCAACGCTTTAACCACTAGGCTACCCCACCGCCCCGTGACTTGGAAGACTGAGGGACAATAGGGCACCACTTGCTTGTTGTATGGGGTTGCTAACAGACTCAGTTCAGACCTGAGTTTGTTGATGCATGTCATAGCTCAACATGACAATTCGATGCTCATTATGTCAGTCACTGGTTTTTCTCGTCAGATTCCCAGTGGTTGTTGAAGCTTGTCAAATCTCAACTGCACAGGTCGATGCTCATGATGTCAATCACTAGATTGTCATGTCAGCCTCACTGAGTTTGTTGAAGCTTGTTAAATCTTAACTCCACAGGGTGATACTCATGAAGTCAGTCGCTAGATTTTCTTGTCAGAACAAAACCTGTTGCTAACAGGTTTAATCACGATATTTATGGTGAGCAGTGATTAGATTAGATTTGACTAGTTATTTTTGCTGATTTATTTGATTTTTTTTCTCCATTTTGTGATCGAATTACACAGTCCGACATCAACCACTGGCATGTCTGAAAAAAGACATGATGAATTACCAGCCACAATAACTTCTGGCAGAAACAGGGACATAAAATGCACTCACTCATTGTATGGTCCAGATTCAATAAGTCACAGGATGCTCTGATAATGTATTACAGTATTCATTCACAAACTTGACAATCTCACCTAGCTCTTGTCAGTTGCCAAGGTGATATGCCGGTTCTGCGCTTGCTGTCCTTCAGTTGCAAGCTCTTGTTAGGGTTGTAAAAGTGTACTGCAAGGAGTACGCTAAGTTGATTTAGTGTGGTGCTCACACCTTCAACCATCTGTTTTCTAGTTCAAACCTGATGCTATTCGGGTCGTTGTGATGCAGTTGTTTTACTGCTGACTAGCTCCAAATTTAACCATTAATCGAATTACACAAATTAATGTCATATTTTTTTATTTTATCTTCTGTAAGAAATGTATATATTTGAAATATGTTTGTATGAAAATGTGTACAAAAAATAAATATTTATACATAGTGGACAAATATCACAGTCTAACATTGCAGTAGGACGCATACACGATACACATTGCTATGAAGGAAAACGACTGACTGAAGAGTCGTAAAATCACACACACAGCGGCGATAAACACGGACTGGTCACATAATGAAGATGTGGCTACGAGACAGATGAGATTAGAAAACAAGCATAATACACATTAATTATGCTATTGATACATTACACTGTAACAGTGGAAAGAGTCTTATTGGATCCCTGGCCATAAATATGAAACACTTTTCTTATGGCATGTGGAGACTCTGCCTCAGTATCAAAAGAGAGACCAAATCTTAACCTTTGCTGTTTTATTGTATATTTCTTGGTTTTCAGATCCACTGAACCTCAAAGGCAGGTTGGAGGAAATTATTCCAGTTTTGAGCTATTGTTAATGCTATTGAACCTAAATAATGCATTTGGAAAATGAATCACAAATTATTTTGTAGACTTTTGAGACAGGTTATTTAGGGTCTCTGATCCGTAACGGATAGACGATGTACAAGCAACGGTCATAGGTGCTCAAAACAGCGCACCCTTGTTTTTATGTGAACCATGTAAGTTATCTGTCAGTTCTCGCAATAATGCCAAATGAGAATTGGGAATTAATTTACTCATCCTACCGACCCTATTTTGTTAAAAAAAAGCCTTTTTCTTTAATTCAGCATTCAAAAGCATTTTTTACCGTAAGACAAATAACAAACAAGCCTGTCAGTGATAATGTACAGGCCGAGAAGCACGTGAGCTTGGCTGTTACGTTGCCGCACCATATTTGCCGATCATGAGACGTTGAGAACGATGTGTCCCTACTCTTCTTGCAAAGGGGCTGACGCTTCGGACCCGGGAGGCCATTCTCCTAGAGGAGGTCCTCTCTGTAACAGAAAGAATATTTGTTGCACAACCAATAAAAAATCAAATCAAATCAAATATTTGTTGTATAGAAACAGCTTAACTGTATACACGAAGAAACACTGTAATTAGAGTGAGTGAGTGAGTATTGCTTAACGCCGCATGTAATTATTTAGAACTGACAATAATTAACAGAGGCCCAGATAAGCTGCGTATCCGGGTAAAATACGCATAAAAACTTTCCAATTACGCATTGAAAAATAATTGTTTTGTACCAATTACGCATTTAAAATGATAAATACGCAAAAAGTTTAAAACAAATGCGTACAAATATTTATAAAAATCGCTTGTGTAATGAAAAAGACATCGATTGCTATCAAGTCGTACTGTTAGTATAGGACAAGTGTTGTACTCTCAGTATAGAATGAGTGATTTTTTAAGAAATCATTTCCATTATATTTAAGTTGGTTTTGATTAGGTATGACATAAGGCAGAACATACCAGCTTAGTAAGCTTACTCAATGACATAATACTTAGGTGAGTAAAATGACTGAAATACGCACATATTTGAAAGCAGTGGGTAACGGAAAATGAAATACCCACTCAACATTCATAATACCCACTCCAAAAAAATACCGTGGGTACAGTACCCACATGAGCTAAATCTTATCTGGAGCTCTGTAATTAAACATATACAAATGTCCATACTTCCTGTGAATATAGTATTGTTTATTCGAAGTCAAGAGCAGCTGAACTGGTTAAAGGGACAGTAAGCTCGTGATAATTGGCAGTCCTGTCAATGTTGGTTCATATCTCTCTGACACCTCTCGCTGTTTGATTAGAAATGCATTTTCTTGGACTCACAACCTGAGTTATTCATCAACTTCGTTATCTTTTCAAAATCAGCCCAATTTGCAAATACAATAATCTGTCCCTCAAGCCAAGTAATCCATATCGGTAGTTGTTTCGTCCACTTGACTATCGTAAGACACTGCACGCACTTGTAATAGTCCTTAACTTTACGTAATTATCTGAATTATTATCATTTTCAAATTAAAGTGGACTCATAATTTCTGTGAAAAAGAAAGAAACGGTCGTTATGTTATACGAGCTATAGGAGGTGGAATATGGCCTTACATGGTTTGTTGTAAAATGATGAAATATTACTACGCCATTGCTGCCCGATGCGTTGAGAACATAGCGGATTAAGCTGAGTGGACCCGACAAGTGACGTTCGTGAGTATTTGAAGATAGTGATGGGTCCACATTGACACTAAGTTATAAATGCAGCCGTGGCATTTGTTAAAAGGTCTTGACCAGACTAACAATGTCAATGGACTCCAGACCTTGGAGTATATGATTGGTGCCCCTAAGTCCATCTTGCAACTGACCTGTCCGTAAGCGTCCAGGGTCCTGGCATCGTAGAGCATCCACCGGATTTCCTCAGTTCCTCGCAGGTTCTTGTAGTCTACAGGGAACCTCCCGTCCTGGAACACACGTCACTCAAGTTAGTAACAACACTCGGGGAATAACTGTTACTTTCGCCACTACTCGGCCCTTTCCGTAACTTCCTCTTTACGGAGCCACCCTTAGAGGGTCACGAAAATGTCTCTCGGTCCCAGAATTGTGTTTCCGGAAAGCCAGACTATGTCTTTTGACTTTTCACCCTGTTTACTGGTGATATAAATTAGAATAGACCCGCGACACCCAAAAGCGTGTCGTAAGAGGTTCCTAAATTGGATTGGTTAGCCAGACTCAGTGGCTCAGTTTGTACCGTGTACCCCGACGACAATACTAATATGACTATTATGAGTGTGCATGAGGTTTTCATTCTCAACTCCCTGGGGAGTTTCGTGACAAGGTAAAGTGCCAATGATACGAGAGAAGGTTAACAGTCTCTTGCTATCCGATACTTGTTTTGCCTCGCCCAAACCATATATACTAGCCACATTAAGAAACTGTGCATTGTCAAAATATTATCCCAGTTGATAAGTACGATAACAATGTCAAACGTACAGATAAACTTTAATGGAGGGATCATGAGACCATAACAAGTTGGGAGAATTTCAATTGAAAAGTCAATCACAATGACGTCACGAGTCCACAAGCGGGACAGGGGTCAAACGACCATGTCACAAGCTCAATAACGGGTATGTTTGACATCGGCATTGAGAACAGCAGTGCATCGACGACGCATAGAGCCTATGAAACGTGCAAGGAAGGCTTGTGCGATGTCACGCCAGATTCTCTCAAGTTCTGTTGCAAGGTCAAGAACGTTATCTGGCGGATGAGGAAGACGGCGTAGACGTCGATCCATCTCGTCCCAAACATGCTCTATCGGGGAGAGATCCGGTGAATTTGCAGGCCAAGGCAGTAAGTCAACGTTGTGGTGTTGCAAGAAATCCATAGCAACCCTTGCCGTATGAGGGCGGGCATTGTCCCGTTGGAATTTAACCCAGGGCCATGACGTTGCAGAAAAGGAATTGCCACAGGTCGAAGAATCTGATCCCTGTAGCCCACACCAGTTAGTTAAGTTGCCCTGAACAATCACCAAAGAAGTTCTTTGGCGTGCTGTTATTCCACCCCAAATCATCACGGAACCACCACCAAAGCTATTCCTCTCCAAGACACAGGCCTGTGCATAACGTTCTCCCACGCGTCTATAGGCACGTTGACGTCCATCACTATGGGAAATGTTAAACCTGGACTCATCTGTAAAAACAACATTTCTCCACCAAAACAAGGGTCTGCGGACATGATTTCGGCACCACATTCGGCGAGCTTGTCGATGACGTTGTGTCAGGATAGGCCGTATGGCGGGACGTCGTGGTCTGATCCCGTGATGACGTAAACGTTGTCGAACTGTGTTGGGGTGGATACGGCGAAGTCCTGGGATGGTTCGGGCAGTCATCACTGCAGTCTGAAACCTGTGGCGAAGATGGGTCACCCTTATCCATCTGTCCTGTCTTGGCGTTGTTACACGTGGACGTCCACAACGTGACCGATCGATGACGTCATTTGTGTTCTGGTAGCGTCTCACCAGTGCAGAAATGGTGTTCCGGTGGCAGTGGAAATGTGCAGCCACTTGTCGTTGAGACATTCCCCACGGACCATCCCAATGGCCTCATGACGTTGTGCAGACGTGAGCCTTGGCATGCTATGCGTTTCAATAGCCGTTTAATTTTTGAACGATCGCAAGGGCAGGGGTTGAGCTTTCCAAAGTGACAGTATTGTGGCATTCATTTGCTCTCTTTCTCTTTCTCGGAATGCACGTGCAACAACGTATTGCACGTCTCAAGAACGAACCCACTGACGTCACGGAACGTGGCACGTGCATGCATGTTGATACATGTCACTAATCTCTGAGTTTACATCCTTATGTGTCTACACAGGTTTGATAAATTTAGATTTTAAATTTTTGTATGCACAGTTTCTTTATGTGCCTAGTATATATGTCGCCCCGATAATAGATGTAATGATGGTTCAACGCGTCGACTCAACATTCAACTCTTAGCAAATATTGAGTGTTATATATGAACCAGTTTTTAAATAAGTATTCAAGGGCAGGCACCGGACTCATTATTTATCTGACTTACCTTGTCAACCCGAGATTCAATTTCTTCAGGATTCCTCTCCAACAAAATCCGTGCGAAGGCCATCAGCTGGTCATCTGGCAGTGCGCATGCGTAGTGGAGTGGATACCGGTTAGACTGTAAACAGTGTCAAATTGTAAATACAATCTCGCGTGTGTCCATGTACACCCAGCAACCACTGTTTTATCTTCATTACCCAGAAAGAGGTCCTTGATTTGATTCCTTTAAATACCAGATTAACCTCAAAGAACCCGTGAAGATCCGATCTTCAGCAACCCATTCTGGTCGTAAGAGGCGACTAACAGATCGGGTGGTATGGCTCGCTGACTTGGTTGACACATGCCATTGTATCCCAGTTGCGTAGATCGATGCTCATGCTATTGATTACTGGGTTGTCTGGTCCAGACTGGATTATTTACAGACCGCCGCATTACAGCTTACATATTGCTCAGTGCGGCGTTAAACAACGAACAAACTTATAACACTTAAAGACAACGTGAAGATCCACACTGGTCTTCACACCGAGTAGGTCTAAACTGGTTATTACCATGTCTACACGTAGACTACTTTTCACTACGTCTTGACCTACACAGGTAATTCCGATGTCTGAAACTAAGCTGGTTTCCACATCGTGTTATACTGAATTGGTATAAAACAGCCGTTTATCTTAGTCATCTCTAATCAACCGTCAGTGAAATGCTATTTGTGATACATGTGCGACGTCAGACTTGAAGGTTGTAGCCTTACAATGATGTCTTGTCCCTTCTAGCAATGTTTCTATTACTTCAGTCAATGCCTTGCATGGAACATTTTCCACATAGACTGGTTCTTTTTGCAACACTAATATAATGTTTGCAACTTAAGTAAAAACTGTACTATAACTTTTCAACCGACAATTTACGTTTTGGGGAATAATTTAATTTGTGAAGCTCAATTTTTGCGTTCCTCGCCGTGATATTCATGGAATATTGCTAAAAGCAGCGTAAACTCCTACTCACTCACTTCAAGAAAAATAGAGGATCTCACTAATATGAAAAACAACAACTTTTTTCAACTGGGCCATTGTCTGTAAAGATAAGGAGTCAGTAGTCTGAAATAGTTGCGCCGTGACCATTGCATGGAACGGATGGTCATTTATTTTTTATTTGGTCAAGAGTACCACAATCCAGGCGCTGATACTCGATCGTTAGGGGTCGTGTCCAGTCTAGGTCGAGACTTGTAATTGGTATTTGCTATTTCTGGTACGACATTGAGACAGTGTAATTAATGTAATCGTGTGTTAGCATAATAAAACCTGAGTCAGCAGACAGATTAACTGGCACTGGAATGCAAGGATTGCAAATAGGCCCGAGACCATTCTCTCTTTAATCACAGCTCTAAACTGGATAGCAGAACATATAGGAGACGGTTTTACCTCGCGTAAAGGGCACTTAGTTACACTGGAAGAGTCTATTTCCTTGAAATGTACTGCAGTAGCTGAAAAATGCTGGTATAGAGCGACTCACGTTGTCTGCAATAGACTTCAGTTCAGGTCTGGATGTACAGAGATACTTCGTCACTTCCGGTTGGGCGAACACTATTGCTCTTGTTAATGCCGTGAAGCCATTCTGAAAACAAATGAAGAAAGATATTCATTTAAAAGGGGCGTCCGTATCCGTGTCTTGTCTGTTCATTACCCCATTTATTTTTATTTCATGTCTGCGGATACCGTTATGGCAACGCGCTACTGGAACAAATGCTGAGAATTGCATGAGAGCTTCGAGTTGGTCTGATTGTCTGCAAGCTTTAATGAAAGTCACCTATCAAAGGTTCTTCTCTTATTTAGTCCGGAGAGGTAGTGTAATAGTTTATGTGCTGCTAAGTAGGGCTGCAACGAATACACTACACTCAGGGGCAAAAGAAACGATACCATATTATTGAGGCTAATTAATAGAAGATGACAAAAGATAAACAGAAAATCAATGTTGTAATTAGAAGACAAATAGGTGAGGAGCATGGAAAATCCAATTCATTAATCTAGGCCAATAATTGTTTGTGATAATTGCAAACAAACACATAATATTCATATGTCCTGTATTCGATCACTCCAGTAAGATGAGATACGCGAATGTCTGTGACACAGACACTCATGCGAGTCAATATCGAGTGTGGTCATCACCGGTATCGATGCAGGCTCTAACACGACGTCGAACAGATGAGGTCAGACGTCTGATCACGTGAGGAGGTATCATGTTCCATTCCTCCCTCAAAGCTTGGATAAGGGTTTGTCTGTTCACTGGGGCGACCTGTCTGGCACGAAATTGTTTCCTAAGATGGTCCCACAAATGTTCAATGGATGAAAGATCCGGAGAGCGTGATGGCCATGGCAGGACAACAATGTTGTTGGCGTTGAGAAAGCCTTGAACACGTTGAGCTGTGTGACATGGGGCTTTGTCCTGTTGAAATACGGTTCTTGGATTCTGTTGCAGGAAGGGTAGAACAACTGGCCGAAGAAATCGATATAACGCTGCCCATCCAAATTCCCATCGACAACAACCAGATCCGTCTTTCTGCCACCACATATCCCTTCCCACACCATAACGCCGCCACCACCACCATATAGCTCAACCTCCTGCACGCAGCAACGTGACGTCCGCTTTCCTCTGCGTCGATGCACTGCACTGCCTCCAGGTTTGTTCAGGAGGTATCTGCTCTCATCAGTAAACAAGACTCTCTCCCATTGTCTGCGCTGCCAACCTTGAACGATACGTGCCCATCTCACACGTCGACGTCGATGTAGGCGCCTCAGTGCTACACCACGGTAGGGTCTCCTGGACACCGTCCTTCGGCTGATACGATGACCCAGCGTAGTCGATGCTGATGATGTCACAGTGAGGAATCGGTTGCGCAAATGCAGGCTACGCAAGTACCGGTCGTCAGCTACAGTCCGTTTGAGTCAGAAACGGACTGATGAATGGCAAATTTGATCATTGTACAAAATTGCCACATAAATATAAATAGTACACATGTTTATCATTTTTTAATACCCAACAGCTTTCTTATATACTAGCCACATAAAGAAACTGCACACAGAAAATGCCTTCATAATTGGAATACAACACAGCAAAGACGAAATGATGTAGACACTTTATAAGCTGAAGTATCGGACCACAAGAAATTGTCAAAAGAACATGAACAATATCCGTAACGATGACGTCAGAAGTTCAAATTCGAGTAGGGGGTCACACGACGAAGTCACAAAGTCAATAACGGGTATGACCATCATGCGCGTGAAGCACAGCAGTGCATCGACGACGCATAGAGGCTAGCAAATGATCATTGAAGGCCTGTGGAATGGTTTGGGACGTGGTCACTGCTGTCTGGAACCTGTGTCTGAGATGAGTAACCCGAATCCATCTGTCCTGTCTTGGCGTCGTTACTCGGGGACGCCCAGAACGTGGGTGGTCGGCGGCGTCATTACTGTTTCGATAACGCCTGACCCATGCAGATATCGTCTTACGATGGCATTGGAAATGTGCTGCCACCTGTTGTTGGCTCATTCCTGCTCGAACCATTCCAATGGCTTCATGACGTTGAGCAGATGTTAATCTTGGCATGATGTGCATGTGACTTCTCATGTGGATTTGTGAACGTTTAAATGACCAAAGATCAAGCTTTCGACAGTGACAGCAATTTCAGAGTTTCACATGTTGTGTGCAGCTGTACGGGCTGCACGTGCAGTAACACATTGCAAGGCCATACGCCACCGTCAATGACGTCACGTCGCCTGGCACGTGCATGAGCGTTTGATTGTCTCCAATACTTGCTATGTTCACAAAAGTATTTATGTATAAATACGCTGGGTGCCTATATTTATATCTTCTGTGTGCACAGTTTCTTTATGTGGTCACTATCTCGTCGTGCACGGGATACACATGCCTGATGAAAAATGAAGTTGAATGCTGACGTGAAACAGTTGATTAAAGTGTACGATTTTTGCCGTGCTGAAGCCGAAAGGGGCAAACCATTTTATGCCATTAATAAATTCCGTAAGCGGGCAGCAAAAGCTTTAGGAGTATCAGCAAGGGTACTGACAAATGTTCTGGAACACAAACATTGTGAGGGTGATGCGAAGCAGGTAGGGTCGTGTCAAAACCACACAAATTAAAACATTTGGACAACTTTCAAAAGAACTTTGTAAGGCAGTCTATCAACAAGCTCTATTCTGAAAACAAATACATGTCGCTGAAAATTTTAAAAAAGCATTTGAAGCAAGAACACAACCTCAGAGTATCAAAGTACACACTCTGGCGACTCTTACACTCTTTCGGGTATCGTTATAAGAAAATTTCGGGGGAGAATAGGTCAGTACTCTGTGAACGCCCTGATATCGTTCGCTTGAGCAATAATTTTCTCAGGGTTATAAAGAAGAAGCGCGAGGAAGGGTTCGAGCCAGTGTACTTGGACGAGACCTGGGTCAATGCCGCGCACACTGCCAGCAGTCAGTGGGTACCCGATGGGGGTGATAAGGGGTCACGTAGAAAGCTGCCTCTAGGGAAAGGAGAGAGACTAATCATTCTCCATGCTGGTTGCTCCAGCAAAGGCTTTCTCCCAGGATGCGACTTGGTATTCAGGGCAAAGTCCACAGATAACAGAGACTACCATTCCGAGATGAATGATGCGGTTTTCCTCGATTGGGTTAAAAACAAGTTGGTGTACCAGCTCTACCAGAGAAGTCTTTTATCGTAATGGACAATGCCCCATACCACAGCGTGTAGGACCCCGACAGTAAAGCCCCGACATCGAACAGTCGAAAAGGTGATATGATATCATGGCTCGACAAATTTCAGATCGCACGGCCTTCAAAGGCAACGAAGCCTCAGCTATATGAGATCATAACAACCCACAAAGGTGAACCTTTCTACAAAGTTGACAGTTACATAAAAAGTAAGGGTCACGATATTCTGCGACTTCCACCCTATCACTGTGACCTTAACCCCATTGAAATAATATGGGGTATTGTCAAAGGAGATGTTGCCAGATCAAACACAACTTTTAGATTACGTGACGTAGAGGTTTTGGTTAAGGAGTCCCTTAACAAAATCACGACTGAAACTTGGCAAAACTGTGTCAACAAGGTAGCTAACATCATTGAACAAGGTTACTGGTCTCGGGATGGCTTACAACAGGCAACTGTGGCACCACTTGTCATCCCTTTAAGTCGTGACTATGACACTACGACGGACGAGGAACCGGCAGGTCTCCCGGAATAGATTTTGAGATGTCCCTCGCCATGACTGGCTGTTCCGTTTCTGCGGTTTCACCCCGCCGCGACAGATAACAACTTTTGCGTTTTCAATGATGATAGTTTCTTAAACAACTTTTTTGGTGGAGTCCGGAAAATTTTCAAATATAAGAAAGCTGTTGGGTCTTAGTAAATGATAAACATGTGTACTATTTATATTTATGTGGCAATTTTGTACAATGATAAAATTTGCAATTCATCGGTCCGTTTCTGACTCAAACGGACTGTAGGGTCGTGACCCGAGGTCTGCCACTCCTCTGTGTCCTGCCTGTCTGTCTGTAACGGGTCATCAGCCTGGTTATTGTCAGTCGGCTACAACCGAAGATGCTGGCGACGTGATTGTGGGTAGCGCAAAGCTGGATCATGCCTATTGCCCTTTCTCTCTCTTCTTGCGATAATCTCGGCATGGTCGCAAATGTAATCGTAAAATGTGGATGTCCATAAACATTTTTACGTGCTTTAATACCGAATATTTGTCACGTGTGTCATGTGTGCACGTGCACGAAACTATCGTGAATAAGTTCACTTTTCTGGGTTCTTGCTTTGCACGTGCATCACTGTTTTCATTGAGTCAGCTTTGCTGCATTCGGTCGAATGTTTCTAGCCATAAATACTCAAATTATCATGTTAAAAAGTTTAATATCGTTTCTTTTGCCCCAGAGTGTATGTGGCGAATATGATACGTATCATGAAGATTGGGTAACGGATACGAATAATTATTCACAAATTCAACATTGTAGTTAAGTGATTGATGTACAATATGGGATGCCCATGTTGACAGTTTTGATTTGTCACGGCAATAACCAGTGATCTCATGACACTCAAATTTGGTATGTAATAGTTATAATCGACAGTACCATGTGCAGTCTTGGCAAACTAACATGACTTGCACTACTGCAATGCTAGTACATGTTCCATTCTTGCATATCTCACTTTGGAAAGGACATAAGGGTTCAAGTAAAATATGCTCCCTTAACAAAATCGTAAATATTCGTTAATTATATTCGATTCTGGTGACCACGAATAACGAATTGAATTCATGAAGGGCTACGGTTCGATTCACCGAATATGCGAGTGAATCGTTACAGCCTTACTGCTAAGTATTAATAGTTCTTCCTGATTATGGTAGTAGAAAATGAGTCTTTATCCCAGATATTAAAGGCGTCCATTTGTTGGACAAAATATCATTACGTAGTAAGAAACTAATGCCATTATTTTAGAGGGGGCGGTGTAGGCTAGTAGGTAACTGTTCGCTGTGTGTGTGTGCGGAGTGGGGATGGGTGTGGGTGTGGTGGTGTGGGTGTGGTTTGCACATTATTTCACGAAGTCCAAAGGGAAGCGGAAATCCTCTTCTGAAAGGGGGGGGGGGTGAGAATAGAGATCCCCCCGAATCCGCCCCTGCTGTTCCAAACCCACATGGGTGCATTGTGTGGAGCCAGGTATTCCACTCAACGATATTGCTGGAATACATGTATTGCTAAAATCGACGTAAACTGTACTTAATCACTCACAGATGGCATCAATAGACTGACTTGTATGAGGCCTAAATATTTTGAGACAGGCAGTGTTCAACCCGAATAGTATACTTTTGCGAAATGAGAACATTACTTTCGATTCCCACATAGGTGAAAACAAGGTACGGAAGGATATACTGATATCTGGTGTCTATCAGTTAAAGGGATTTCATTGAAATGATACATAGAACCTGCAAGAAAAATGAGAAAGCCTCAGTGAAGGCATTAACTCTTACCTTATCTTGATAATTAGCTTCATTAAGTTTCTGAACTTGTGCGAGGTCGCCCCTGGCAACAGCCTCGAACATTGCTAACCCGCGGGCCTGTCAACAGATTGGTTAACAAGTTAGCATCAGCGAAGGTACCCTTTACATTATGTTAAAACAACGCGGACCACCTGACCCCCATTCCAGTCCGTCTGTTTCCCATTGGGTCTGAACCAGGCAAAACAGTGACAGAACGAAGACCATCGCAATCGGGTACCATGACCCGCAGTCAGCTTACAGAACGACCATCAGATCCCCATTTTGGTCTGTAAATAATCTGACATGTACAGTGACAGAGAGCATGCGTATCGGTCCACGCCATCAGCTCACAAAGCAAACCTCAGATCACAATTCCAGTCGACTCTTACGCCAAGCTTGAGATACTGGGGACCTCTTTTGATTCTGACGCACCGCAGAGTTAAGATCAAAGGAGATAATCATCACATCCACGAATATGTGGTATGTCACACAACATCTAGACTCTAGTTCAAGCCGTCGATGTAGTCACCTCCACACTTTGAATGGTGTTTCTGATTCCGTTCTCTCCAGCTTCACTTGCGAACTTGCTGCCCTGCAAATAAAGACGACACCCAGTTCACTACAAACACAAGAGGTGACAAGGTAAAACATTTACAAAAAACATCCCAGTCTCCCTTCGCCTTGGTCCACTTAAGCCGTGAATGGGTTGATTCATCGGCCGAGGTTCTGAATTCACTGTTCGTGTATGCGCCCCTTTCGTGTCCCAGAAACCTGTGTTCGAATCCCGGACTCGTCCTGGCTATGTCATCTTGCCCGTGCGTGTAGATTTCACCAAAGTGGCAACAGTCTAAGAAATAGTTTACTTCGGGCTTTCCTCCCATGTCAAACAGGCTGAAAGCTATAACCGAAATACTGATCAAAGCGGCGTTAAACCAAGTTCACTCTCCCCAGGTGAATTCACGTTTTGTTTGTTGTTAACTCCACTGTATGACGCTGGTCAGTAAATAATCCAATTTGGACCACACAAACCAGTGATTAACATCGCGGGCATCGATCTGCTCAACTGATTCAGTCGCCCATTACGACAAGCATGGGTTACTGAAGGCTAATTGTAACCTCGGTCTTCAAGAGTTTTACTTCATGTTGAATGCCATCAAGGCAACTCTGATGTATGACGTTATGGAGAGACACTCAACTTGCAAACATATGTAAGCGATAATTCAATGAAGCGTCACAAAAATATTCCTGATAATACTGCGACGACTGAGCATAAAGAAGTGGGGTTATTGACATCTTCAAGATAAATATTGCACTTATACATCAATTAGTTTTGTGTGTGTGTGTGTGTGTGTGTGTGTGCGCGCGTGTGTGTGCTTGTATTACTCAGGACGTATGTCAGCCTCTACTGACTGTGAGTGAGTGAGATTTTACGCCGCTTTTAGCAATATTCCAGCAATATCACGGCGGGGGGACACCTGAAATGGGCTTCACATATTGTACCCATGTGGGTGTGACGAGAGAACGCTTTAACCACTGGGCTACCCCCACCGCCCCGTGGGCTTTACTGAGACATAGTGAAGCGTCTTGCTAGCTTGCACGCACCTTGCAAAAGTTTAATAAACTTAGTATAGTGCCATTTGGTTTTGTTACAAAACGCCCAGACCCAAACCGTTTGTGAAATGACCGATCCATATCCGCCTTTATACCCAAACGAGGCGGGTGCAATGCGAGGGACAGTTGTTGTTATGTTTCTATGATTGACCTACCAGTTGCGTTATATTGAGGCTGTCCTCGCTATAGAAATGCACGGGCAGGTACAGGAGGGAGAACCTCATGCTCTGCTGCTCCACGAACTGAAACAGAAACAGAATCAGTGAGCGAATATTGTTTTATGACACTATGAGGAATAGTCCATTTATTCCACAAACGAAGTTAAAACTGACATTTTACCAATCCAACCAGTGGTTGATATCACGAGAAACGATTGGTGATATATGGGTACGGTGGCACAAAATTAGCTTCAGTTGAAAAGATGGTCCACTGCAGCGTCTACAGTAGGCCTGGGTGAGTGAGTGAGTGAGTGAGTGAGTGAGTCTATCACTGGGCGTCAGCCTTATGTGGAGGAAATATAGAAGTGATGCGAATCTTAGACGTTTAAAACGTTGATGAAACCCACGGGTATGGTGAAACATAATCGGGCCTGGCCGAGATTCGAACTCACGATCAAAGGTTTCTGGTTTGCCTCGGGGACTCAACTATACAAAACGATTTGGACGAATGACTCGCCCGGTTTTTAAATACAGAGGCTTCGGCTATTTTCTGATGAGATGCAGCGGGATTGGATGCCGGGTAGTGGATGATATCTCTCTTCTGTTCAATGTACCCGTGAAGATCCGGGTTAGAACTGATCTTCAGTAACCCATGCTTGTCGTAAGTGGCGACTAACGGGATCGGGTGGTGAGGCTCGCTGGCTTGGTTGACACATATCATCGGTTCCCAATTGAGTAGACCGATGCTCATGCTGTTGACCATTTGATTGTCTGGCCCAGACTCGATTATTTAAAGACCACCGAGTGTGGCGTTTCACTCACTATTGTCACTTACTATTTTCAATGTCTAAGATTCTTTCATGGTAAACTGGGGGTGAACATGACTACTTAAAGCATTAATGAGTTTGGTCAATTAATCTGAGTCATGTCAATTAACAAATTAAAGTATGTATACTACATGCAGCCAATGTAATTGGCATTATAAACAGGGAAAAATAACCTTTGTTCCAAAAACCATTGGTAAATGGCATTATATCCAGTTTGGCATTATAACCAGGGTCATATAAGGGCAGGAATTCCGTTTTGGCAAAGCATGGCATTATATCCAGGGTGGCATTATAACCAGGATGCACTGTATTCGACTCTTGCCCGGACAAACCAGTGACAGATATCATGAACACGGCGTACATTGAGATGCAATCAGAAAAGTTAGAGACTAGCAATCGTATCAATTACTCGATTCTAACTTTGAGCAGTCGGTCTCAGGAAGGCCTAATCTAACCCAGCTCCGCGCTGTAAGGATGGAACATTCTGAGTGGACTTACCTTGTCTATCGTATACACGACATCGGTCCTCCCCTTCTGTGTGGCCAGCTCCCGGGGCGTCACTCCGTGCTGCAATTAACACACGTCCATATTGTACAGCAGGTACACTAGTTACTGAATACCTATTGTGTAGCATCGTGACCAGTATCTATGGCTAATCCACGGTTATTACGTAGCCATGTGACTGGTACCGTGGTTATGTCCGCTATTGTGTACCCTCGTGCCTTGTACCCATGGCTATTTCAAGGTTATTACATATCCTTGTGAATGGTACCGTTGATATTTTTGGTTATTGCGTAGCCTTGAGTCTGGTACCGTGGTTATTTATAGGCTAATGTGTAGCCTTGAGACTGGTACCGTGGTTATTTTTGGTTATTGTGTAGCCTTGAGACTAGTACCATAGCTATTTATAGGCTATTCAAAGGCCATTTATACACCCATTCACAGGACCGGTAACAGTTTAGTGTTACAGTGGCTATTTAAAAGGTAATATGTCTTGTTACTGGTACCGTTGCTATTTCAAGCCTACTATATAGCCTTCTGACTGGTACCGTGGTTTTTCCGAGGCAACAATGTGACTCTATAACCTGTGTTCGAAATAGTTTCAAACTTTTGCCAGCCGGTCGGGCTAGCTATGCCTGAAAGATACAAGCCCACAAAATAATTCACTAGCCCGAAATTTAATGTATAACATAAGCAAAAGCTTACAAAAAAGGTAAAATACCATCATTTATCAGACCATAAGCTTGCATGATTTTAAAGTGCATTATAACTTAACAAGTCGGATAGATAAATATGATTCCATGAAAATTCACTAGCCAGTCAGGCCAGTGACTGTGTAGATTTACTGGCCTGACTGGATTTTTACTAGCCACGGGCTATTGGGCCAGTGGATATTTCGCACACTGTCTTTAACAGGCATGGCAACCGTAGCATTGTATAGGCTATCTGGGACGATGGCTATTTCTATGATATATTGTATCTATACGTAACCAGCATTTCAACTATCTCTTGTAGTATTTACACAAATGATTATCGATTAGAGGATTCCTCGATAACATCTTAGTGAAGAAGAAGAAGAAGAAATATAGTTTGTTAACGTGTCACATGCTGCAATTCATTAAAAAGACATTATATTATTACCAGGATTTAAAAACAGCATCCGGCCGTATCGCCTATGAGACACAGATATCACAGTTGTATAAAAACATTGGCGATAAAATCACACCCACATATAGACACACGCAAGTCCAAACATGTTCACAAACACAAACACATGCACACACGCACACGCACGCACGCACACACGCACACATTCACATTCATCTTAGTGGAATTTGTGGAGTAAATGTTACATAAGCAGGTTTCCCCAAGGGTATTAATTGTTCTCCCTTCAAAGCTAATCGGTTTCATCACGCATTTGAATCGGACTTTCTGCGTGGAATGGCAAAATCAAAACACGAACCTGGCCATGAAGTTTAAACTAATGAAGAAATATGACTTCACCTTCGCAATAATTAACGTTCCCTCCATGTGGATCAATATTCCAGCAACTCCAGACTTATTAATAATTTAAGCATGGTCGTCTAATTGGGTATCCTAGTAGTTAAAGCGTTCGCTCGTCACGCTGAAGACCCAAGTTCGATTCCCTACATGGGTACAATGTATGAAGCACATTTCTGGTGTCCCCCGATGTGATATTGCTATAATATTGCAAAAAGCTGCATAAAATCCAACTCACTTTAAATAGAACCCCAAACGACTCTCGCTTTGTATGATTACATCATTCTTATCCTGGTTAAGCTATAAATATCAATTGACTACAAGCATATATTCCCGTATTTGTTCAGCTGAATAGCTGGCTTGCCTTTGCATGTGTTTGTGACAGAATACCTCGAACACCTGGTGTCATCATCCTTTGGTAGTGATTCATAAACAGACACTTATGATACAGTCAGATACATGCAGGTTTGGTACAATAAATCTGTTGGATTGTGGTTACAACATGGCAGTTGGTCCTGGGTCCCAGCAGCATTCGAAATTAACGTTGGTCCTTTGGTCCTGAAGCCGTCTGAAAACCATTCGGCCCCACAGCTTTTGTTTTCTGCAAGTCGTTATGGCTTTTTCATCCCCAATATCTAAGAGTATTATTTCCATATTAAGATATAGGGCCTAGACATTCTAATCAGGCCCAACAACATTTTATGGTTATAGGTCCTTACAGAATGCATTTTTTCAGGGTTAAGGGCAAACGCTGTCCTGGGTTCCTCTGTGTCCACGGGGCGGTGGGGGTAGCCAAGTGGTTAAAACGTTCGCTCCTCACGCAAAACCCGGTTCGATTCCCAACATAAGTGCAATGTGTGAAACCCATTTCTGGTGTCCCCCAATGTGATATTGCTGGAATATTGCAAAAAGCGGGGTAAAACCATACTCACTCAGACATCTGTGTCATCGTCCTTGCTGTGCCCTTTCAACATAAGCACTGTGACAGGAGCATAGCTCACCTGGTTCCTATGTGTGAGACACGTTCCCCCATGTGCCACTATCAGCCAGTGTATCAGGCTCTCCGATAACCCCTTCTCTATTGCCTGGAGTATAGCAGTGTTGCCACGCTGGAAAACAGAACCGAACATTTTTAATACAATAAACAACGGTTATAACGAACTCAAAGAGACCACTAATTGTAGTTCGGTACAACCGTAGTTTTTAACAGTTCGTTATATCCGTCATTTCGTTATATGCATGTTCGTTTTAAACGTAGTTTACTTATCAATTTTCACGCGTGATTTACATTACTACTACATAGCATCAATCAGGCTCGGCAGGGCTAAGGCTGTTGAACAAGATCCGGAACAATATATCTATCAGTTATAGTCCGTTTGACTATTTGACCGTTTGTTGCAATTATTAGATTTTCTGTTAGTGAGCTATTCATCGGTCTCAAATGAAATCAAACAGTCTGTGATGGTAGTGAGTCAGTAAATATCCTTGCATAGCATCTTTAGTCGTGTATATGTTGTTGAAAGCTTTTTGCGACATAAGACTCACTTTGGGCAGCACGTAGAAACCTCAAATTACAGTCACATTCTTTAACGCACAATTAGTTTTCAGTCCTCTTAAAATCATAAAAATATCCAACCGACCAATACCTAATGCGAATAACAAGTGAGTAACAACCCAATGGCTGAAAATGAGCACTCAGTGTGTTAAATATAACCGTTCACTCACACTATCCTTCTCCGTCCTTTCCGTGTAATCTTGCACAGCAAAGATGTACTTGGCCATTTCCTGACTGACACCATTCTCCAGAGCTTTATGGAACAATGGCACCGTTGTAGACACCTGGAAGACGGCATAATAACAAAACAATAATGTCTTTGAATGGCGCTTAAAAGTTGGAATGATGAATAAGTACTTTTGGATTAACAGCTCAACATTGAGGATGATGCACAAGTATTGTTAACAAGTTAATATTTATCAGAGTAATTAGATTTAATGTTAGACTGAAATTTAAATAAATAAATAAATAAATAAATAAATAAATAAATAAAGATAGATAGATAGATAGATAGATAGATAGATAGATAGATAGATAGATAGATAGATCGATGATGAATGGATGGATGGATGGATGGATGGATGGATGAATGAATGAATAAGTAAATAAACAAATAGATGAGAAAGGTTATCGAAAAAAATAATCATGAACGTGCGTTTGAGAAAAATAGGCTTTCGGCGTTACTGAGAAATATACCAGTCTCTCTGTTGTGGGTATAGTCGGTATGAAATCCATGAGTCGGAGAACGACCTGGCGGAGCGAGGAGGTCCGTTCTTTCTCCCGCACTAACATGGGACGTCTTAAAAAGTTTGATGCATCAATTTGAGAAACTCAATAGCTTGGCATCGTAACTAAGCGTGGACATGGCAGGAGGACGTCATAGGTGGTTCTTCAGCCTTACTAATTCAGAACCTTTTAAGCCACATGTTGCACGAAACCCAGGTTTTATATCACGTCGCGTGTGCCCTGCTCGAAGCTCATGATGTTGATTACTGGATTGTCTGGTCCAGACTCGATTATTTACAGACCGCAGTCACATAGCTGGAATATTGCTGAGTGCGGCGTACAAACAAACAAACAAACAAACAAACAAACAAACGAAAGACTTCAGCAACTCACCGTGTCATGTTCTCGGAGTCGGACTCGGTTGACTCTGCTACCCGCTTCTACTAGCAGCCGCGCTATATCGAGATTATTACTCTCTATAGCGTGAGACAGAAGGGTTGGTCCGAGGTGATCCTGTCGAGAAAGATTAACATTGGTCATACATACCATTGCCAATGATGACTGAGCGTTTGGTATCAGTGTTACTTCATCACATTGTCTGCTTTTCAGTGGAAGAAAGTGAACATCTTAGGTGTATTCTCGAATTTGACTTACAATATTATCAGATGTGATGTGCAATATCCTTAAATGCTCACCTATGACGTACTATAACCATTGCAGAATTGTCCCGGCCCTCACCCATAACGTTCTACAATCCCAGCAGAATTGTCCCGTCCCTCATACATTACGTACTGTAATCACAGTAGAATTGACCCGTCCCTCACGCATGACTTACTATAATCCCAGTAGAATTGTCCCGTCCCTCACCCATGACGTACTATAATCCCAGTAGAATTGCCCCGCCCCTCTCCCATGACGTACTATAATCCAAGCAGAATTTTCCGCCCCTCGTCCACGTACCCTCCATCGTATGTTGACGGAACATCCTTTCCCCGTCGATAGCATCTCCTTCAGGAGGTCAACATCCTCGCTCAGCACTGCGTGGATCAGATCCTATGTGAGGTACAGCAAGGAAACATGACATAACAAAATGCAAGAATATGCCATGTTCCGGCTGTCCTAATACGGAACCGAAATATTCTACGAGTTTATGACCGAAGAACACCCAAGCACAAAGCAGTACGATTTTATTACAGACATCCTCCTCTCCCCGTCCCCGACTCATGAAGAAAGTGAAAAGCATTTCCGGTTAAATGATGTCACTTCCTGTATGAACACCGACACCTTGTACTGCCTCGACCTGCTTCTAATGCTTTAAAGAAATGATAAAGAAGTACAAAAGTGTTCGTTTTTCAAATATGCAGGAATTCAACAAATGCATATATTTAATGGTAAACTGTACAAAATTTTATCGTTTTCTTGACTATCAGTTCTCAAGTGATAAGTTATTTTAAATCTCCTCGACCTGGGCGTTTGGTTTGACTGTATCCACAGGTGGTATTTTGTGTCGTCTGCAGCTATTCTTTGCCGTACGATTGTTCACCACCTGCCAGACATCCAGTTACGTGCATGGAGCTGTCTGGAGGACATGTGATGGATAACATGCTATCTGACATATATGGCTGCCTTTCAGTAAGGTTCATAGGGGCAGATCATAAGTAAAATGAAAGATTAAAACGCAAATTTCTGAACATTTGTGACGACCCCTTAAAAGGTATTGTAACCATTGGAGGATCCAGGAGGGGTGGGTGTGGGTGTTGGTTCAGGGGTTCGAAACCCTGAAAATTCCTGGATCCGCCTATGCTGACAATAGAAAATCCCTTTGAGAAATTTTTGATAAAGCGAATGGGACTTGCAATTCTTTCGAGTGTGTCAAAATGACAGTTTCTTGAGTTCACTAGTGTTGTGTTACTAGAAGGACGATCACATTCATTTGGTTCAAAATAGAACGTTTATGATTTTGTGCATTGGCTTAAAATATATTCCAAACATTCTTGTCAAGCGTACATGTACACAGAGTAGCACTACTAAACTGTATTTTGATAGCCGTGATGAAAGTGTAATTCTATGGCAGATTACGTTGAAAAACACAGGGCGGATACAGGTTTTTGAGAAAGCGTGGGTGCACAGTGTATTTTCACCCGTTTACACGAGAGTTTCAATGATCATTTAATAAACTTTCAGGACAAAGGGGTGGGGTGTGGGGGTGTGCGCACACAATGTATGAAATAAGCCAAAACCCCAGCCGAACATCAGGGCTGGTAACTTCAAAATGTTACCAGCCCAAAATGGATTTAACCAGACCAAATATGGTGAATTTACTCAGATGTATGGATCATCTAAACATTTTACCAGACCATCGGGCTGGCTAGCTGTAAATTTAGACCGTCCGTCAGAAATCTAGACCGTCTCGGGCGGTCGGACGGGCCTTATTTCATTCACTGGTGCACACACCCTTCTGGATCCGCCTATGCCACTCATTCACTCTTACACACGCATGCACGCGCACACACACCACTTACTGACTTACACTGGTTGGCTTGTACTCGTGCAGGATTCTACAACAGTTGGTGACCTTGGGATCGATCTCGGCTCGCGACATCGCCAGCTGCAGCAGAGTCTTGCCTTCCTGGTGACGACTTGAGCCTTTTATAGTAGCAATCTAGGAGGTCATAAACAACATGGCCTTTTAACAGCCTCTCTATAAGCAAGACAGGCTACTCGTGTTTATATAAAACAATATACTTATCGATGTTACCAGTAGATATATAAATATAACAAATCAACGATAGAGATTAACGAATCTCCATCCTCCACAGACTCTACTAATAATAATTAACTTTACAGAATCCATCTGGAAGGTGCTCTGTGGTGCTGTACACGAGTGAGAGGTATTGAGAGGCTTGCAGAAAGTGATGTGTTTGATCTGTGTTGGTCATAGGCACCCTGAGTGCTAGTAGAAGACTGAACCAACGAATTAGTGGGTGGGGGTGAGGGTCGCTCAATGTCTGTGAATGTGTTCGCGAGAGAAGGATATCAAGTTTTAAAGTTACAGACCATAAAACCTCTTCATTTTCGTTTTTCACGCTATACTTTTCTGATTTTCGTAGTTGCCAACGGCAGCATCTGATGTGTACATTCCTAGATTGAGGTGACATTCACTGAACTCTCTTTGGGGGTCCGAAGAAACACTTGCTCCAGCAATAGACAGAATGCATTACAGTAAATCGTAGCCCAACACAAGTACACTCGAACTGTGTAAATTAGTTTGCCGGATTCGCTTGTCCTGGGTTCGAATCCTCGTGTCTTCCAGTTTCCACCAGTTCTGATGAGAATGAAATACTGTTCCGAGCAGGGCTAAACTAAACACACATACACTCACTCACAGATGCCAATTATTGGTGTTTTCGCAAATATATCTAGACGAATCAGTCAAGATACTGCAATTTAAACACACAAACATCCATGTGAAACATACAGCGACCATACAATTATCCCAGGGAACGCGTTAGATAAACAAGACGCAGACATTCGGGTAAATACGGTATTGTAGAAAATCTAATTGGCACGTGTCAGGAATTTTCTCGCCCTAATGGAACGTGTGAGTACTCTAATTTCACTGGGTGCCGTTTCTGTAGGCCCTGTTTCACCCGCCAAGCTATTCACGATCGACCAAAGAACTCACTTAGACTCACCCAAAATAGGAACCTTATTTGGTAAGGTACACATACATCTTGGTTAAATCCTGTTTACAAAATTACCTGATTTCAGCTCAATCGCCATATTTTAAAAAAAGAACCCAACCAGTTCAATCATGGAATAGGAAAAACACTTGGCCGAGTTTTTTACGATTGAATTCTGTGTCCCAGGTATTATAAAGAAACTGCCGGGTAAAATTAAAGAACACCCCCCTGTATGACGGTTGATATAGAAACAAAGGAGAAATGGTTATTCGATTTTGATGTATTTGATACGAGTGTCACAGTTGTATTTCAGACCTTTAATTTGCAGTGTTTTGGAGAGTCTTCAGCTTAGCAACGCTTTGATTCCGTTTGTAACTGTTTGGTCAAATTACATTTTCAAGTGTGTACTTTTTTAAAGCTCGGTTGCTACGATCTGCGGATGGCGGTTTTTGCGGGAAATGCATTTCAGAATGTCAAATTTCTTTATAATTGGACGTGTATGTGCAAATATTACTTTTTGAAATGTATACTGAGTCAAAACAGAAACTTCACATTCTTTCTTCAGGGCACTATAAAAGAACAAGAGATGGTAAGATGGTTAAATTGTTATTATTTCATTGCTGAGATCTGTGTGATGTACTCGATACACTGACAGTGCGATAATCAGTTCCATTAGTCTACACCGCCGTTCCAAAACATGGGTATACAGAATGTCAAGTCACAAGAATAAAAATGCGAAATTTCTCAGTTCAATATCGTGTATGGCCGCCCCGCGCATTCACCACTGCCAAACACCGTCACCTCATCGACTGCCTGATGCTTGTGAACACGTGGTTGGGGATTCTGCGCCATTGCACTTGCAAGGCAGCGCCAAGTTCCTGCAAATTCTGAGGTTGGTTCCTAAGACCACGAAGCCTTCTCCCAAGTGCATCCCAAACGTGCTCTATTGGATTAAAGTCAGGGGACCTCGATGGCCAGTCCATGACGTTGATTCCAGCGTTTTGAAGGAAATTTCGTGTCAACATCGCGGTATGCGGCCGAGCATTATCATGCTTGAATTGTAGACCTGGGCCATGAGCCGCCATGAAAGGAACGAGTTCAGGGGTAAGCACCTGGTCGCTTTAAGCAGCAGCTGTGAGGTTTCCACGGATGACCAGAAGTCGGGAACGGTTGTTCCCACAGAAAGCACCCCACACCATGTAACTTCCGCCCCCGAATCTGTCGACTTCCTGTACACAACATTGGGCATACCGTTCACGACGTCGACTCCAGACTCTATGCCTGCCGTCCGCGAATCTGAGGGTAAACCTGGATTCATCGCTAAAGACGACTCGATTCCAGTCTCTCTGGGTCCATCGGAGGTGACGTTGGGCCCACAGCAGACGTTGACGTTAATGAAACGGCGTCAATTTTGGCCCACGATATGGACGTCAAGAATGGAGATTGGCAGCCCGAAACCGATTTCGAATGTTCTGTGAGGACAGTCGACCTCGTGATCGACTGCACGTGCAAAACCTGATTTGGCACTAACGTCATTTGCACGACGAATGGATGGGTTTGCGTGGGTTTTGCTAACGTTTTTCTAGAGTCGAAAGATAGGGAACCCATTTCGGATACATAGATGTATCATCAGAGAAAAATTGTTTATTATTTTTCAAATTACATTTTGTAAAGTTTCTTTTTTGACTCAGTATATTTCATCTATTCCAAACTTTTATGCACGGTAAAGTATAAAATACAACAGTGTTAGAAATGGGCATTACTTGAAGAATATGCTAACATGAAACAAACAGGCAAGTGCGGGTTTCGACTTGTAACTTGTTGATTCTATGGCTAGATGTTCATGATATCTGCCACTGGTTTGGATATTTAAGATTCGATTACTCACAGACTGCTGGAGGGAATGCCAACGTTAGAATCTATCGACAATGTCGCTTGTCTTTTGTGTAGTATCAGTAGGATTTATGTTACCTTGACGTGTCAGGACGTGTTAGGTTACCTTGACAACTGATCACGTTACCTTGACGACGGCTCCAACGCTGCACCACGTGTGTTTGCAGAGGCGATCTAGAGTCTGTGATTTCCCCTGCATCACTGCCTGGACAACACCTCCCTGAACACCAGTAATGATCATTACAATTTTCATATTCATGGTATACTCAAACATAGTAGAAACGAAACACAGGTTAATGAAACGCTTTCTTTCAATTATATATATATATATATATATATTTCAAAGTACTATCTATCTATCTATCTGTTCAGTAACAATCACAGACAGGATGTCTTGAATTACATATATATTAGATGGTTCCAGAAACTTCGAATTAAGGCTGTTTTATTATTATTTATTCGAATGGTACGTTCCATAATGCTCTACGACTGTCGATGAAACATGACCACTACAATTTTCTTCTTGATCTCTCATAAAACTACATTTGGATTAAATGAGAAACACGTATTTTGTGCGATGACAGAAATCAGAAGGAGCAGAACACACAGATACACACACACACCACCACCACATCTCCTCGACCGACATTCTCAACAAAAATCGCCTCTGCAAAACTCAGATCAAGTTCTAGCTACTTGTAAACAAAGTGAGTGAATGAGTGAGTTTAATTTTACGCCGCTTTTAGCAATATTACAGCAATATCACTACGGGGGACATCAGAAATGGGCTTCACACATTGTACCCATATGATGAATCGAACCCGGGTCTTCGGCGTGACGAGCGAACGCCTAACCACTAGGCTACCCCACCGCCCCTGTAAACACAGATCTGAGGACATCCAATTACAGGTCACGTCAGAACGATCTTTGGCGAACTGTGGAAGAATAACCCAATCAGAAAGCAGCTTTGTCGAGCTTCTCGGTACTACTTTCAAACTGCCGACTTCCATTCCAGACTAGACGTTGAGGAATATCGATTCAAATTTTTAACGTAAACTACAGGACGTTCTGGAATGTCAGATGGCTGAGACCGCAATACAGTAATTACCATGTGCTGTCTCCTCCGTTTCAAATGTTTACTTTATTGAAGCGAGAGATGCACGATGCTTGTGACGGCATAATTCGCACCGCTCGCAACTGTCGTTCAGAATACACCGTGTTATCTTTTTCCAGGCTGCACCATTAGAAACGCATTTGGACTGTCAATTCTTCAATCCGTTAACCAAGGCTGTTATTGGTCTGATCGTTCTGACGTGAACGGTAATGGGATGTCAACGGATATCTGTTTTGCGGTAGCAAGAACTTAGATCCGACTTTAATGAGATTGGTCGACAATAGGTTTCAGCATGGCCTTTAACTTTCGGAGAAATAATTGTGTAAGTTTTCCAAGAAATATTCAAAATAATGAACGCTACTGGCCAACTTCGCATTTTCAGTGAAAACCACTGAAACACATGGAAGCTGATGACAACCATATTTTTTTTTGAAATCTGCAAAATGTCGATCCATTATAGTCCCTCCAGATTATGGAACACCATCGTTCGCCCCCATTTTGCCATGTTCGTGACAACTCGCCGTTTTCCTCACGTCTGTCGAACTTTAAAGCAAGACGTTCGATGCCCTATACACACGGCCAAAGCACACAAGTATTTGAGTGTGTGGTTTCCAGATGTGCATGAATTGGGGTTCACAATGTTAAATCCAGAAAGCAATTTATAATGAAATCTCAGCAAAGAAAATGTAAGAGTTGTTCATGCAGCTCTATGAAGTAAATATACCGGGGCTACATAATTCAGAAACAGAGATTTACGACAGTCGTAGCCAGCATTACGATTGCTTTATGGTAGCGCCCTCTCCCGTCACAGTTGTTGGCCTTCGGAATCACTAGTTGCCATTGTCGGTTTTGTTCATATACTCTCTCTGCTTTTATATAGCATCACGTGGGCAGTGGGGCAGTGGTTAAAGCGTTCGCTCGTCACGCTGAAGATCCGGTTCGATTCCTTACATGAGTACAGAGTGTGAAGCCCATTTCTGGCGTCCCCCGCCGTGATATTGCTGGAATATTGCTAAAAGCGGCGTTAAACCATACTCACTCACTCACTCCAGCATCATGTTTATATCAAATTAAAGTGGATACATTGCATTTTGAATAATAGTTTACAGTAAGGGCAGACTGCAATAGTTGAAAACTGTGTGGATAAAGCCAATGGAGTCCAGGGCCTAGATTTTCGAAGCTCTCTTAGATAGTCGTAAGTGCCATACATTAACATTAACTTACGACTATCTTAGCGCTAAGAGAGTTTCGAAAATCTAGGCCCAGAGCAACTCAAGTAACTTAGAGTTCAGACTGGATCAGACTTGTGCATACATCTCTCATAAGCAAGACTCCTTAATACAATCAAGTAGTTCATAACGATGGCTGAACGGCCTAGTGGTGATAGCGTTCGCTTATCACAGGGAAAGTCCGGGTTCGATTCCTGACATGGATAAAATGCGTGAAGCCCATTCCTGGAGTCCTCCGCCGTGATATTACTGGACTATTGGAAAAAGAGGCGTATATTCATTCACTCACTAAACATTGGAATACTGCCTCGCATACTCGCGGTCTTTACCTTTGTCTGACAGCAAAATGTTTAAAAAATGCGAGAACACGCGGAAGCAAGAACGCGATATAATTGTCCAAAACATCGTCTTTTTCCGAAGTCGCATCCTCGAGATTCCAGAACGTTAGAACACAACGTTCGGACATATTGTCAGATCTGTCATCTTTTGTAATGTCACCTGCCTCGTCAAATCAGGTCAAAATGACACAAAACCGTGGGATAATGACATATATAGGTCACCGTTGAAGCTCCTACCTGGTATCTTAGCAACAGATCTCTGATGGCGCCTTCTGCAATGTCCAGCGGTGTTTGACCCAGCTACAAGGACGATGTAAAACGTAGTGTCATGTCAGTCAAACATCAGAGTATGTACAGTATGCCTAAGACGCTGAAACCTTATGTGAACTAGGAAATTGGGATATTTATTACAGGTTTAAAATTATAAAAATAACATTTGCTCAGGGTAAATGCGTGCTTAAACACTAAGAACAGTTCCGTTTGTTTTATACTTAATTCAAGTGTCATGTGAACTTCAACCAAACATAAACATTGAACAAATGTATACCATAAATATTATATTTCGTGTTCGTTTACTCTGACAGGGTTAAGTGATGCCATGGTAACAAAGAGTGACGCAAAGTCAGACATTCGGAATGCACAAGGGAAGAAGCAAAAATTTACCTAGGATGTTTATATCATTCTAAATGATTAATATTACAAACATTCTTCAGTATTATGACAAAACGAATAGTAGTGACATCATATTGTAGCTCACCTTATTTCTGCTTCCCAGATCAGCGCTGCACTGTAACAAGGCTTGGGTCATGGCGTAGTTACCTGCCCTTACGGATATGTGTAATGCACTATCTCCATCCTGAAAATTGCAGTAGATGATGCTTACAGTAAGTCTACGTGTAAAAACTGTCTCCCTTATGGGGTGACCTTTCCAATATAGTACAGTGAGTGAGAGAATGATTCAGCAATAGCATTTCAGGCTTGTCAGTTTGAACATATATAGTTGATAGTATTAGCGACGATATATCCACGCTAAATGGTTACCATAACATGCGTGGTGACCCACCCAATCCTCTTGGGTGAGAGGGTATATGGCGGCGGTCTGTAGATAATCTGGACCAGACAACCCAGTGATCAACATCATGAGCATCGATCTACGTAGTCTGGATATGATGACATGTGTCAACCAAGTAAGCGAGCCTGACCACCTGATCCCGTTTGTTGCCTCTTACGACAAGCAATAGTTGCTGAAGATCAATTTTAACCAGGATCTTCACGGGTTTATCTATTATGACCGAAATAGGCCCATTGGGAATCTTGTGGTGAAAGTGCACGACCGGGTTGATTGAATTCCAGGTTGAGTCGCTGTAAACCTCATGTTTGACTGATCAAGTATTGCTTGATTCAATTTGTCAATTAGGATGTTATTTTGTTATTCGCAGCACACAATATCATTCGTCAATACACCCATTAACTCAAGAGCAAGGTTCTATGCAAAAACAACCATGTTTCGTACGGATTGAATCACGAACTTTGGTGTACAGTGCGTCAATTAAAGTCAAAGTTACGCGAACAAAAACTCGATTTGGTCGCCATATGTCAATATTACTCCTACTTTTATACCCAACCGAAACATTAGAATCTGTTATTACGCCATCCCATGTGCTTGTACAACGTGTTACGAACATTTCACGCAGAACACTTAACATGCTACGGAAGACGCACATCAACCAATGCTGCTTTCGTCAACGCGAGTGGATTTCATAGCACTCAACTTTACCTGAGACCAAACCGTTCATTTGAGAGCAACTAAACATTCGCCCAAATGGGTACCTTTTTATGACGCGGGCGATAAAATCTTTCAAGCACTTTAAATTCTGAAAGGTCGTTCAATCATTTAAGATTCATCCTAAGATTTCAACACATCGAGCAGTCAATGTCACGATATGGTCTAATCTCTGTGCCAGAGTATTTGACACTGAAACGAGAACGGCTTCCGCGTGTTGACGGTCCTTGAAGCTCCGTTTGGCAATAATGGATTTGAAGATCTCACAGCACTGCTGGTTTATGGATGAGGCGGGATCACGTTTATTGGTTGGGGCATGCGCAGTGCAGTTACAAAAATGAAATGGCGTTTTCGGGCTTTCATGAAGTAAGTAAAAAAATCAAAGCCAGAGAATAATCCTTTTCGAGTATCTGTGGAAAGTGATAATACTAATTGAAAGGAGTGAGAGTTATATGGATGGATTACTGGTAACCAGTGTAGATACCAGGTCCTCTGAGAAAGCCAGCACAACAATAAAATGGTCTGGTGGCAAGAGGTGTTAATATATTGTAGAAAACGTGGTTCTGGTTGTTGAGGGGCCGTGGGTAGCCTATTGGTTAAATCGTTCTCTCGTCACGCCAAAGACAGATTCCCTACATGGGTACAATGTGTGAAGCCCATTTCTGGTGTCCCCCGCCGTGATATTGCTGGAATATTGCTAAAAGCGGCGTAAAACCATACTCACTCACTGTGGTTGTTGAAATCTGTGTCCTCAATTGTCAGTTGTTTGTGTGACGTCTTACTATTTGTCACTATTGTCTGAGTGAGTGAGTGAGTTTTAGTTTTACGCCGCTTTTAGCAATATTCCAGCAATATCACGGCTGGGGGCACCAGAAATGTGCTTCACACATTGTGCTCATCTGGGGAATCGAACCCGGGTCTTCAGCCTTAACCACTAGGCTACCGCACCGCCCCACTATTGTCTGACATACATTGGCCACCTATGTCTAATTATATTGAAAAAAAGGTTATGGATAAAATTTCTTTATTTTCGTGAGCTATCCATAATCTTTGTTCAATATTGTACATCCCAATTTCTAAAATACCACGCAAAAACGTTATGTCTAAGTTTGTCCAACCGTCTGTTGGTGATTTATGGATTTCTCTTAAAAATTCCACCTTAGGTGAACTAGAGATATATCCAATCATATCGTTTCGGTTGAAACCAAAATAGATGCAGCCAGAAGAAATTAGTACTAAAAAACAAAATGCTAGACGTTGCTGTGGTTCTCGGAACCAATTAACCGTTTCGATAAAACCTAGGTGAAAAACGCCTGAAAGTCTTAAGCTTAGACAAGCGAAATTTTAGATGTCTCTTTTGTAATATGAAACATAATACTGGTCTGTACCTCTTGAAGAAAATCATTAAGTAAAATATCGAATAAATGTCTCGTTAAAATGAAAAACATGCATACTGACTAAAAGAGACGCAGTCAGCTCCAACAAAATGCCCTTTTGCAATCGATGGTTTTATAACGAGATGGTAATGCTTTAAACTAGCTAATAGCTTCATGTTTTAAGCCATGATCAAACAGAATCCGTCATTATGAGCGGATTACCGATTGCAAGTGCGCGAGGGCCTGCGTAAAACAAATAGTCCTGTGTGCCGAGGATGATACCCGTGTTTACTTACACTATTCTGGACGTTGACAGGAACACCGCCCTGAACCAACACGTAGACGTATACGACTGGTCGGCTTAAACAGTGGTGGAGAAGAGTGGCTCCATTCTGTTGTCAGAGACAAAACAAGCAAGTTTAAATTAATAATATATCATTTTTAAAGAAAATGTATAGCAAATCAAAAATCAAAATCTTTATTCCAGTACTCACAAGGCCACGGGCCGATAGTACAATCCAATATGAATACAATATATAACTTCATGGAACTTATACATATGACATTAAATCATTAAAATGTATAGCACTTAGGATGAATAATTATAACAATAAAGGACATATTTGTAGTGCACCAAAGGGGCGACAGGGTAGCCTAGTGGTTAAAGCGTTCGTTCATCACGCCGAAGACCCGGGTTCGATTCCCCACATGGGTACACTGTATGGAGCCCATTTCTGATGACCCCCGTCGTGATGTTGCTGGAATATTGCTAAAATTTGGCGTAAAACTCAACTCACTCACTCACTCACTACCATTTCATCTTAACTGGACGTTATACACACGTATTCATATGAACGTACACGCATTCACGTACTCGGTTGTTATGGCTAGATACCAAATATGCCGTAGCCAAACCATACCACCATTCAGTATTCATTAAGTTCACTGGCCATTACACGGACTAAGCTCCAATGGATATATTGTCCACATAAATCAACTAAAAAGATTTTGTGAAGAATTTATGCATTAATGTTCATTACTTATCGTAACATTAACCTTCTGCGTCCACAGACAGCTGCCAAACCACACTAATGTCCGGTATATCTTGATGTATCACCCTGGCTACAAAAACCATTTCCGTGATAATAAGGAATCTCTACTCAAAGAAGACCCCAATACACGATTCCGATATAATAACCATGTGTTTACGATCACGACCAAACACTGATGACAATGTGAGTGCATCCTGTGTCATAGGAGTCACCGTTACGAGCATGAAATATTGCATCGTTTTCGTTAGTAATCTTGCCTATATACGAATATACATGTACTATCATTGCAATTCATAAACTACCGAAATGGTATGGTTGTATTTCGGAAATAGTGTCAGCCAAGCCAGAAGTTCATACATTTTCAAATTATTCCATCCCGGTGAGGATAAAATTTAAATTTGTGAATTAAGAGTTGGAATAATTTGAAAGTGAGTGAGTGATTGAGTGATTGAGTGAGTTTAGTTTTACGCCACACTCAGCAATATTACAGCTATATAACGGTGGTCTGTAAATAATCGAGTCTGGACCAGACAATCCAGTGATCAACAGCATCAGCATCGATCTACGCAATTTTGGAATCGGGTTATACAATCGAGAGGCGTTTTTAAGGTGTACATCACATCTTCCCTGTTACGAAAACGAACCTTGTAAAAGAACCTGGGCCCAAGCTTCTGAAGTAGTCTCCGCGCATGCTCAGCTCCACTACGTCGCTGTACGGGGATCACTTCCGGTGACTGAAATGTAAAACACGGGTATTGAAAACGACAGAAACCTCATAACTTCGCAATAAATGATCTACAAGGAATCTTCAAGGACATGAAAACCCGTGAAGATCCGTTTTAGAATTGATCCTTAGTAACCATGCTTGTCGTATGAGGCGACTAATGGGATCTGGTGGTCAGGCTCGCTGATGTGGTTGACAAATGTCAGCGTATCTCAATTGCGTAGATCGATGCTCATGCTGTCGATCACTAGATTGTCTGGTCCAGACTCGATTGTTTACAGACCCCCGCCATATAGGTGGAATATTGCTGAGTGCGGCGTAAACCTAAACTCACTCACTCAGTGACATGAAAACCTTTCACAACTGTCGATAGTTCTACATCGGAATGGAATAGGAAGATTTTCATTTCTGTTAACTTGCAGTGAGTCATACTGAAGCAAAGTAACTCAGTGAGTATTGTTTCACGCCGCTTTTAGTGCAATATTCCACCAATATAACGGCACCAGGGACACCAGAAATGGGTTTCGCACATTGTACCCATGTGGGGAATCGAACCTGGTTCTTCGCCGTGACGAGCGAATGCCGTAACCACTAGGCTACCCCCACCGCCCCCTAAAGCAAAGTTAAGCAACCACTGTAGTTCCCGCCTTTACTACAACACACAGTTATATGCACAGATGTGTTTCACATCATGTGTTTCAGATTTGATCAGTAGCTCAGCTGTGTTTCGGCCGGTGGGGGTCACCGTACCAGCCGGCTCCTCTTTGAAACTTAACTTTACCTCAATCGTTGATCCAGCTTTTGATCCTATTTTTGTCTACATGCAAGGTAAGTTAAAACTATAATCAAACTTGATTAATTTACCTAATTTACTTAAAGGCTATCGAATCAGTTTATGTGGTGTAGAGGGTAGGGGGTTTGTCCGAACAACGGATTGGTCGTAGTTCGATTCTTTGGTCATGTCAAGGCCTTGCGGTGAGGTTGTCTAGTGGTTAAAGCGTTCGCTCGTCATACTGAAGACCCGGGTTCGATTCCCTACATGGGTACAATGTGTGAAGCCCATTTCTGGTGTCCCTCGCCGTGATATTACTGGAATATTGCTAAAAGCGGCGTAAAACCATCCTCACTCACTCACCATTTTGTTTTTAAAAGCAAAGTAGAAATACTTTGTACAACAATGTTATGAACACCATTCTCATGAGAAATTAATCTACAGCAGAACTTATTCAACAACCAAAGGTCTTGCTTTGTATCTGAAGTGAAAACTGTAAATTGAAGTCAAAATGTGTTAGGTATTATGTATTACATAACAACTCTTTGAACAACTGTACATGAATAGTGTTAGGTTCACAAATATAGACTATATAATAGAATATAATGGATATTGCACTTTGTCTTCATGTCAGTCACTCTTAGTCAAACATAGGCTAACACAATCTTTATATGAATAGGACTTCCTCAGAAACAAATTCCGCTTAGTGTCAAGTGAAAAATAGCTGTGAAAATTATATGACTGGATTACTGCCAAATCAGTGTCATGATAAATATTAACTGCAAAATCTCAGTGTCCAGTTTTTACTATACACTTAGGGCCTGTTCGATTATTGCGAAACTGGTTTTGGTTTCTGAAACTGGTTGCTCCTGTTATAAACGAGTGTCTAGTTTCGGGTACATGGTTTCAAAGTGAAACTAGTTTCTAGTTTTATAAACGAGTGGATGGTTTCACCATCCGGTTTCAAAATGGATACCAAAAAATGTCTCAGCCACTATATATGTGGAACGGATTGGATGACAGCATTGCCGAATGAAATATTTTTTGTCACTTTATCAGTGAATTAACAAATAATAAAGAGATGAGATGCTTTTGGAGGTAAATATTTGCGTATATGTAATTATACTGTTACAAGTAATTATATATATACAAGTTACATAAAATAGTCATGTTCAGTAGACTGGGGTTTTAAATAATATTTTCCTAGTTCTCAGTTGATTTTTATCATTATTTTGGTTACAGAAACTGCTGCTCTATTTTGCCACCAAGATCAGCTGAACTTCGGTTCCGCCACGCTTGTTATGAGAGAACGCGAAACCAAAACTGCGAAACCTGCCTCGGAGATGGTTTCGAAGTTTCCGAACCCAGTTTAGGTTTCGACATAATCGAGTTCATGGTTTTCCAGAAACCAAAACCGGTTTAGCATAATCGAATAGGTCCTTAGTTACAATCATCTCAACAGCCCCATGCTGAAATTTCACCGGCCTTCACCAAGTATATATTAGTCATCTTCGTGGAATTCCCTGAGCTGTCTAGTTTCAGTTATTCAACTTTTACAACAAATAATTTATAATTTGCTTGAAAAAAATATTTTGAAAATGTTATGAATTGAAAACACGACTCCACTGCCACGCTTGCTGTGTTTAAAAATGGTAGTTGCACCAAATCAAAGTTCTGCTCAGAATTCTCTGAAGAAATGTCTGAAATCGATAATATTTAATCAGTGATATTCCAACGGTTGGTACACTGTTAATATTCACCGTGAAAAATATCACACTCACTGAATACAGTTTCAAATGAAACATTGCATGCTCATTAAGTATGCTTCGGTAAATGTAGTTGAAAATAAGAATAATTAATTTTCTGTGACCTTACTGTCATTTTCGTGATGATTATCTTTATTAACTTGCTGTCGACGATTATGTAAGTTTGAGTTTGTTTATCCCTGTATCTGTCCAGGATATGTTGGCAAGACAGTAACAATACTAGACTACATTACTGCCCCGGCGCTAATTATGTTGATGATGATGATGATGATGATGATGGTGACACTTACAGCATCCTGTTTAGTTTCATGTTGAGAGGGTGCCCCTCTGTCAGTTTTGGCAGTGCTGTCTATGTTGTTGTCCATACTGAGTGTTGACGTAGTCGCCAAGGACGCCCACAGCAATGGCAATGGCACATAGATCTGTACGCTCCTCCAGGCTTGACCTTTACCTGTGAAGGTGGGAGTAAAATAGGGTTTAACGCCGTGGTCAAAGTTGCAAATTTACGGCGACATGATTGTTTGTAACTGAGACTAATCCCAATATAATTGGATTGACCCATCGCCCCACAGTATATATTGAATACCCCACAACGATCATGATTCCAAAGGTTTCCAGTCCTTGTCTTATTCCCTCAATACAGAGCACCTGCGTATTTAACGTCCTGGCCACAAACCATCCTCTCTCTCTCTGTTCACAATACCACAGAGGTGGTCTGCTATAAATACAGCAATGTGTCATGAGTGAGTGAGTAAAGGTCGATTTAAATGGGCGCTTGAACGCATGGCACCATCCGGAGATGTTGTCATCAGGGACAGGCATTTGGACATTTTTTGAAGGGATTAGGATAGGGGTAGGGGTGGTTTCTTTTCAGAAAGCGGCGGAGGGGTAGCCTAGCAGTTAAAAGCGTTCGCTCGTCACGCTGAAGATCCGGGTTCGATTCCCCACATGAGTACAATGTGTGAAGCTGATTTCTGGTGCCCCTTCTTGGAATATTGCTAAAAGCGGCGTAAAAGTAAACTCACTCTTTTCAGAATATTTTGTTCCCGAAACACGACAAAAAACAGTTGTCCTCAGGTTTGACTGAACCTGATTAACTGGTCGCTTGACATGCTGGATGACCCGAGGAAAGTGATAAAGACAGATTCCTTGTTAGTAAGCTTTTAGCAATATTCCAAAATACCAAAACAAAATGGGCTCCACTCGATGTACCCATGTGGGGAATCGAACCCGGGTCATTGGCATGACGATCGAATGTTTTAACGATTGGGCTACCCCATCGCCCATAGTCACCATTACGTTGTCAATGTACAGAAGAAGAGATAGACCTATTGGCTTGTTTGCATCATCAATATCTGATGTCTGACTAAAACGCACATTTAATGTAATAATATCTATTTTACCAGACAAATTGTGTTAAGAAATTATATAAAATTTGCTAGGCTCCATTTTTGCTGGAACCAAATGCCTCTTCAACACGCATATATTCGACTGGAGTCGTCTTGTAAACCAGACCTCCCTCAGGCAATGCTCACTTTCAGCGATATTGATTCAAGTTACCCATACACCACTTTGTTGCGCAGCTACAACCTTTCATGTAATTTCTAACGGGTTCAGGTGCATTATGTGCAATACTTGATAAGAAATTGTTCGGTTTATGAGCAGCCTAGACTTGAAGATAGCGTCTTGTTTTGATTGTGTTTTTAACGCCACGCAGAGCATTATTCCCGCTAATTGATGTCGGTCTTAAAATCATGGAATCTGGACCAGAGTGAGTGAGTGAGTGAATTCAGTTTTACGCCACACTCAGCAATATTCCAGCTATATGGCGGCGGTCTGTACATAATCGAGTCTGGACGAGACAATCCAGTGATCAACAGCATGAGCATCGATCTATGCAATTGGGATACGATGACATGTGTCAACATGTCAGCGAGCCTGACCACCCGATCCCGTTAGTCGCCTCTTACGAATCTGGACATGACAATCCAGTGACTCACATTATGATAAGCGATCTAGCCGTTGTGGATACGACATTGCCATGCGGGTGAGACCCGGTGTCTTGGTTGATAGCTTGTCAGCGAATCCCATCGGCGTTGTTCGCTGCTCATAACATCAATCACTGGATCATCTGGTCCCTACTGGATTTCATACAGGCCGCTGTCATGCAGCATGGAATGTTTGCTGAGTATATTACAGAACGATTCCTTTTCGAAATGTGCATTATGAGCCCTGGTGAAGAATATCTTTACCCGACAACAGCAACCGATGAAATAACCGTGTCTAATAATCGACTAATGACCAAGCAACGATCGACAGTCTCTTAGAAACTGTACTCTATGCTCGCCTACAGCAGGTGTGTTGACTAAACAGTTAACAGTTTTACGATGTCGCAAAACAACCACGTGCCCCCTCGTCAAGCCGATTCCAGAGACAGGACAGAGTGCATTGGAAAGTTAGAAGTGTGCACTCAGTCCGCTAGACTAGCGGCGATCAACGAGGACGTGAACGCAATAAACCGGGCTCAGTCTCTTCGAGTCACAATGTGAAGGTGAGAACGTGCAGGAATAGGGCCGCGAACCACTTTACTCTCAACAGTAGACTGGTTCCACAGTTGGTTCGCGCAGCAGGCACAGCAAGTTTAGCCGTTTACTAGATCAGGTCGACAGAGGTCCATTCAACGACAACAGGAGTTGACGGGACTGGTCTCGGGAGACGTGACTGTTTCTTGACGAACAGTGATTGAACTGAGCGACCCGGAAACATCTTGAGGAGCTTGACAAGTGGAAAGCTTAACAGCTTTATCGGCTGTGCTGATAGATTACTGCGATCCCTTGTTACAAGTAGTTGAGAGGTTGCTAGTTGTCACGATTGATGTGGTACTGCACTACCTTAAGCCAGAAGTAGCGAGGTGAGGTTAGATGGGGTTTAACGTCGTGTTCTAGATTATTGAGACGTGGATACATGCTTAGGTTGTAGTCGCAGCATACCCCATGACGGTTTGGGGCGATCTGGTAGGTCTGTGGTTAAAGTGTTTGTTCGTCACGCTCAAGACCTGGTTCGATTCCCAACATGCCTACATTGCGTGAAGCCCATTTCTGGTGCTATGTGACAGCGTAATTTGCTGCAAGAACTCTCGTGTAATAGTATAACATTGTTTCCGTTAGGTTTCAGTAGAGTTTGATAACATAGTGTTTCAACAATTATTAGTTGCTAGGAAACTATTTCTATCTAATGTAAGCAGTGGGGAGAAGTGTAATCGGGAATATTCCAGAACAGTATGGAACCTTCTGGAGTAGTAGTGAGTAAACATGGTTTCAGCAATATTCCAGCAATATCACGGCGGGGGACACCAGAAATGGGCTTCACACATTGAACCCAAGTGGGGAATCGAACCTGGGTCTTTGGCCTAACGAGTGAACGCTTTAACCACTACGCTACCCCACCGCCCCAAAATCTTCTGGAAGGTGTTTAGACAATATGAGCGGGCAAGCGCATACCTCTTTCATCTCACACTAGGTCTAGCCCAGTGGTTCTGTATAGATAATTATTTTCATCATAGGTATCTAGCCTGGGCCTTTATTGGAAATATTGCATGACTTCATTGCTAGTTTCACTGTTATTTTTGCATTGTGAACATTATCATCACTGACAGTATTGCTATTTCCACTGTTATTTTTGGATAATGAATATTATCATTACTGACATTATTGCTATTTCCACTGTTATTTTTGCACTGTGAATATTATCATTACTGACTTTATTGCTATTTCCACTGTTATTTTTTCATTATGAATATTATCATTACTGACCTTATTGCTATTTCCACTGTTATTTTTTCATTATGAATATTATCATTACTGACCTTATTGCTATTTCCACTGTTATTTTTTGCATTGTGAACATTATCATCACTGACTTTATTGCTATTTCCACTGTTATTTTTGCATTGTGAACATTATCACTGACAGTATTGCTATTTCCACTGTTATTTTTGGATTATCAATATGATCATCACTGACTTTATTGCTATTTCCACTGTTATTTTTGGATTATGAATATTATCATTACTGACAGTATTGCTATTTCCACTGTGTTTTTTGCACTGTGAATAATATCATCACCGACATTTTTGCTATTTCCACACTATCTTTTATTTGAATATTATCATCACTGATTATCAATATGATTGCTATCACTGTTATTTTTCATTATGAATATTATCATCACTGACTTTATTGCTATTGTGTTTTGCTGTGAATATTATTTTTGCACTGACTTTATTGCTACTTTTTCTATTTCCACTGTTTTTTTGGATCATGAATATTATCATCACTAACTTTATTGCTATTTCCACTGTTTTTTTGGATTATGAACATTATCATCACTGGCATTATTGCTATTTCTATTGTTATTTTTGCACTGTGAATATTATCATCACTGACTTTATTGCTGTTTCTTCCGTTAATTTTCATTGTTGATATTATTCATGACTTTATTGCTATTGTTATTTTTTATACAGACATTGTAATTGTATTGTCATTGGACTTTATACCGATACTATACTATCATTGTATTTCCCTTAATTTGTATTGATGTCTTATGAACCTAGTTCAATTTATATTAGAACAGTAAATTGTATAACATTGTTTTATTGTTTCAGTTTAGAAATCGACACGTCAGGGGAGATATACGCAGATCGATGACATCAATGAATACAATATCAGAAAGTCTCCTACCTGTAATTAACACTGCAACGATTGTTTCCAATTCACGACCGAGGACAATAAACACATATATGACATCAACACAGCAGTGTCGCCGGGGTGCGTATTTCAATACCTGTGATTGATCTCCAACGTGAACGCTATTGGCAAGGACCCGTGATCGCGAGGTGTAACAAAATAGGTGATTTGATTAAGCCTGACATTCAAATCACAGGCGAGAGCCATGAGGTTATTGCTAGTGACATGCGTAGCGAAGCTAACAGCCCGGGGAAGCAGAAAATGAGATTAAAGACCCCACACTATCTGGCATGTGTGAGGGTTCACACCAAATTAGGCTTTCATTGACATACTTGAAATAAGAATCAATGCCGGGTTATCGACTGGTATTGACTATCACTCAATCACTGGTGACGAGCAGTGATTACCAGTCAGAGACAACGTTAAGCTTGCTGTTATTAAACTCATAGCTGTACCTCTAGATAAACTATATCCGGGCTCTTTGAACAGCCGAATCAAAGGAGCGGTGTGTCATTTCATTGCACAGGGTATTAACGTTCATATTGCCTTGTTGTTGGATATGGTAAAAAATAGTGTTGAATGTTGTAAGACACGAGTGCCATTCCCGATAACGCATTTATTGCACCGCCTTTCACTATTAGGCTTCCATGAGCAACAACAATCGGGGAACTAAACAGTGTTATAAACGTGTACCCTTTTAGCTTGT